TTTTTTTTTTTTAAATTTTAGGACTCATGTATTGGAACTCCGGTTACAATGCGAGTTGACCCAAACGGTTTCTTTTTATACTGGGTTGATCAAAATAATGAAATGGACATTTTGGATATCACCACCATCAAGGATGTAAGGACTGGACATTACGCGAAGAAGCCCAAGGCAAGTACATTCAAAGCGTTGATAAAAATAATTCATGCACATATTTAACTTTCGCTACTCTACTAATATGTATGTAACATCGAACGGAGTTGAAGGATCGAAATAGCTTGAGTAAGTCCGGAAGTTAGTCTTTGCATTCGTAATGACAAGGCTAGAATTATTTAAGTCAAGCCTCTCCGTACTCCCGCGCTTATGTGCTTGTTGTCGCTTTTATTTATAGTTAATTGGAAAAAAAGAAGCCCGTCTAACGCGTGCATAACGATTATTATCAATATTCCCCTAAAGTGAATGTAGACTTGTTTGTTTCTATGCAGATAGGGGGCTCCTTACCTACACACCCCGATACGAATAAAAAGATTTTATGTTATCTCTAGACTCAATACTAATAGTAGACAATTTTTGTTTGTCTATCACGTATTTAGGATATCAAACTTAGGCAAATCGTTACGCTGGGATCTCAAGATACGTTAGAAGAAAAAACAGTAACTGTTTGCCATGGCCCGGATTTCGTCAATAATACTTTTGTTAATTTTTGTTGCACCAAAAAAGAAATTGCCCAGGTAAATAATTTGAAACGTGAACCGTTAAATACACATTCGTACATATTTTTTTCTATGCTTATAAATATTTTACTGTGTACATTAAAGAGAAACCGATTTTATATATAGTTGTACGAAATTTTCTTAAATAAAACTTAGCACTGGTGCGATGGTGTGATGCGATTGGCTTACAGTTTATTTCAACTTAACGGTTCAGTCAATATGTTTTTAAAGAAGGCCCATACTAAGCTTTGTCTTCAAATAGATAAAAATGGCAAGATACCAGTAAAAAAGTGAGTCTAACTTCAATCATTATGGCATTGTTCACAATGATTATCATTAATTATCATTAATAATAATTTTAGCATAGTCAAGCTATTTGCGCAGCACAAGGATGATCGAAAACGAGTTGAGAAGGCATTGGAGAATATTGGATTACCATCTGGTAAAATTGAAACTGTCGCTGTTTCAAAATTTTCATTCGAGGAATTTTATAATTTATACAAGAATTTAACCCACCGTAACGAAGTTGAAAAAGTGTTCGACTGCTTGTACGCTTTCATAAAGAATTTTTAAAAATTCATTTCAATTAATATTTAATTCAATCAATTTCAGAGTTGGCAACACCAAGCGGAAGTACATGACAACAGATCAATTAGTGGATTTCCTCAATAAAACACAACGCGATCCTAGGCTTAATGAAATTTTATATCCTTACGCGAACACGCAAAGGGCCAAAGAGATTATACAACAGTATGAGCCTAATAAATTCAATATTCAAAAGGGTTTGCTTAGTCTCGACGGATTTTTAAGGTAACATTTATACCTATACACGTATATTATAAATAATATTTTATCTTAGCTTATATTTACTAATCAACCATTTGGACATGTTTACCTTCAGTTAAATAATTGGTCTTAGTGTCCATTTGAGGTGATATTATTATGCGATTGTATTATGAATAAATCATTATTTTATGTTCGTCCTTTAAATAACACTTATGTAACAATTAATAATTTCATATATTAGATGAAAAATTTCACAAATTTTTCAAAATATCTTCTTCTTGTTTCCAAAAAATGTCACTCTACATGCGAGAAAGGTGTTAATGAAAAGTCTTATGTAGCTTAGTATTTTTGTGCAAATTTTATTAATTATTTCTCAGTTCAATACCTAAGAAGAGTCGGAATATATTGAATCAATATTTTTTTTAAAAACATAGTTCCAAGAAATAATATTTGAGAACCTATTATTGTGCTAATTTTGTATCTGATCAGCATATGTGTTTGAGTTAGCTAAGCTAACTCATCTACTAATGAAAAAACCAACAACTGGAAATGTTGATGCGAAATTAAAAAAAAACAGCCATAAACTGTAAATGTAACACTTGTTGCTGCCAATATTTACAAGCATTAACTCAGTGCATAAATATTGAATTCACATCATCACCACACTATTACCAGAGAGAATATATAATAGTAACTCACTCCCAGTTATAATCAGTAAAAGTTCATATTAGTACAACGTAGATTTGCACAGTGCTTTAAAAAATGTTTCGTGAGATGGGGATGATCTTGCTTTTAATCGAAGAAACCTTTCCGTACTATCAAGATTTGCAATGACGTAAGCAGCCTTGTACCACATATTCAAGATACTTTTTATTTGAATCTCTTTATAGATATTTGATGTCGGAGGACAATCCTATTATGGCGTTTAATAAACTGGATTTGTGTGATGATATGGAACAACCTCTCTCGCATTATTTTATTAATTCTTCGCACAACACCTATTTAACGGGACATCAATTAACTGGTAAATCTTCGGTGGAAATTTATAGACAATGTCTTCTAGCTGGTTGTAGGTATGTCTTATGCATTGTTAATCGAAGCTAAGACTATCAAATTTGTTTTCCTAAGATGTGTAGAATTGGACTTTTGGAATGGCCGCACCGAAGAGCCAGTCATTGTTCATGGCTATACATTTGTGCCCGAAATTTTTGCGAAAGACGTTCTCGAAGCCATAGCTGAAAGTGCTTTCAAAACATCAGAATATCCAGTGATATTGAGTTTTGAAAATCATTGCAATCCTAGACAACAGGTAAGCTAGAGAAAAATGTTCTTCAAAAATTTCGAAAATTTTGTAAAATATCGGAATTTGCTGCAATTCAACTTGCGCTAAATTTACATTGTGTGTAGAATTTATTAATTGTTGATTCAAGCTTTTTATGTAAATTAGGCTAAAATTGCAAATTATTGCCGGGAAATATTCGGTGATATGCTACTAGATAAGCCCATTGAAACGCATCCTTTAGAACCAAATGTTGATCTACCGCCTCCATCGCTACTTAAACGTAAAATTATTATAAAAAATAAGAAAAAACATCATCATCATCACCATCATCATCATCATCATCATAAAAAAACTGAAAGTAGTAAACAGCTAACATCCCTTAACTCTGGTAAGTGTGTGCCTGTGTAGCTTGCAGGTAAACAACTTTATACTTATTTTTTGAACATTAAATATATTTTAGTGGACGTTGCGAATAAATCGACACCAGTTTCACAAGGCCCGGTAATGGACGGTAATGGCCACGATGGGGAAACGAACATCCATTTGGAAGCGGGAACCAACAGCGGTGTACCACTCTTGCAGGTAGGCTTACGAAATAGACACATATTTCATTTGTTTTTTCAATATATTAAAATTTGGAAAGAGAAATGACAAATAATATCGAATTTCAAGCTCCTCTTATCAGAGAGAGGTACTTTTCTCAATCCATATATAATAATATATATGAAATTTTTTTAGCAAATGCGGCAAAGTTCGAAGGACAGTACAGGATCATCGGATACGGAAAGTTCAAGCGAAGATGATTCGTTGCCTGCCCCAGTCCTAGCTCTTTCCAGTGGAAACGAGCCACCTTCAGAAAAAGTGCAAAAAGAAACGGAAGCTGGAGCAGAGATATCAGCCTTGGTGAACTACGTGCAGCCAATACATTTCAGCTCATTTGAGAATGCAGAAAGTATGTATATAGCAGCATATTAACTTTCTCAAATAAAATGAGACAAGATTTTTGATTCAATAGAAAAAAATCGTTGCTACGAAATGTCTTCATTTGATGAAAAACAAGCTACAGCATTGCTTAAAGAGCGACCTATTGAATTCGTCAATTACAATAAGCACCAATTATCTCGTGTATATCCAGCCGGCACTAGATTCGATAGTTCCAACTTTATGCCTCAGGTAAGTGTTCGATACAATAGCGGAATTAACTTTACTTTAAATCTCTGATATTGTAGTTGTTTTGGAATGCGGGCTGCCAACTGGTAGCGTTGAATTTTCAAACTTTAGATCTAGCTATGCAGCTTAATTTGGGAATATTCGAATATAATGGTCGATCGGGCTACTTACTGAAACCGGAATTTATGAGAAGAACTGATCGTCGTTTGGATCCTTTCGCCGAAAGTACGGTATGTATCTTGAAGATTAAATTTGCATAGTTTTTGCAAAACCCTTTCTTCATTCTCTCGTCTTAAATACATTTGCACTAATTTCGTGCGAATATTTAAAAGCAATAATAACCCACAAAAAATTCTTGACAGTGTTTGCGAGACAATTTTTGTCAATTGACGAACTTTTGAATCAAAAAATTTTTTCCATCAGTTGATTTGAAAACTGTAATTATTGTTGTTGAGGTATTTGCATAAGTCTTAGGAGGTCTCAAGGTTCTCTCAAGGTCATGGCCCTTGCGTTCATTTTATCTTCACTGAAGCATTCCAAAATTTTCCCTTTTCCATATTTCAATGATAATTTCATCTTCAGATGTTGTACTTTGCTAAGCTAAGCATATATTTTTCTGAAATCTTATAATTATTGATAATTATTAAAACTTTTAGAAAAAGATCGACACATATTTCCTTTACACTCCATTATTCATTTATTACCCTTTTTATATACAAAAAAAAAGGGAAAGATTCGGTTAATTTTTCTTTAAAATTCTTTAGTTTACTTTCTACTTATATGACTTATCTGTTGGTCTGTCTTTATTTGTGCGCAAGGCAGTAATAAAGAAAAAATCGCACGACACTGCATATATTATATTTTTATTATGGTTAGGTAATAAGTAATGTAATATCAATTCCGCCTGACTTGGCCAGTGCACCTGTGTTCTTCAAAAGAATTAAAAATCGGTTTTTAGCTCACTACTCATACACTATAGTAGATAAATGTACACAAATTTAAAAGCATATTATGTGGGCGATGTAGTGCCTGTACGAATTCGTCTACCCAATATTATAGTGTATCAATATTTGACTATTTTTTCAATACCTTATAAGGCGCAGAAATAAGTTTCAAAATCCCCATAAAGTATAAAAATTCTTGGTCAGTTTCAGATTTGAAGTGCTCCTAAGTATGTCCGTCTGTTCACCTGTCCATCTGTTCGTCTGCCCAATTGTGTAGTATCAGTGGTAACGATTCCAACTTTCGCCTAAAACAATTGCCTAAAAGATGCGAACGAACTTTGACTCGCCTAAAACGACGACACGCCAATGCGACAAAAAGTTTTATTTTGGAAATAGAAAAAATCGGCTGCATCCATTCTCTACTATAAAGCAGTTCTTTCGTCTTTTTAGGATAACGGTGATGGGTATAAAAGATTCGAACACAACCGAATAAATTTTCTAACTTGCTTCCTTTATGTTTATTAGATAAGTGTGATTTAAAAAAAAATTTTGTTAGCTATAAACTTTTAAAATGAAATAATTGATAACAACTCTCTATAAAGTAAGCGTCTTTTATGATTTACAGCTAAACTTGGCAGCCAAGGTGCTTAGAAAAATTTAATATTATTTTGTTCGCAATAGTTTTAGTGATATTTGCCTAATATCGATATACGTTGCAAAGCATTCCTAATAGCTTCTTCGCTTTACCGATTCCACATTTTCAATACTTATATATAGTATATATATGTAAATAAAAGACTCGACGAACTATTACTTATTGATTTTATAATTGAATACGTGTCGTAATATATTTATTACAAATTTCATATAAAATTGACAAAATATATGCAAAACATTTACATTTTATTTGCTATTTTTTACATGCGCCACATTAACATTTAACATTTTGATACTGTTAAAGGGAAGAAAAACAGGAACATCGGACATCAGCATAGAATATCGATATGTATTGTAACATTTATTTTTAAGTAATTGGTTTATGTCTTTACTTTAGTGAACTAAGATTGAAAATTATAATAAGAAGTAAGATAACAGATCGATAAAAGCCTGTAACATAAGTGTTGAATTGAGCTGTGAATCTTAACAGATCGACAAAAGCCTATAACACAACTGTTGAATTGAGCTGTACATCGTAACAGATTGACAAAAGCCTATAACAGAGCTGTTGAATTGAGCTGTAAATCGTAACAGATCGACAAAAGCGTATAACACAACTGTTGAATTGAACTGTAAATCGTAACAGATCTCATAATTACGAAATTTGAGATTAAAAAAAATAAACTACGAATATGTTGGAAAAAATATTTTATTTTGAAGAAAAAAAGATATGCATCCGTTAACTTAACGGGTTTATGAAAATAATTAAAACAAAGCAATAACAGCAATTCTGTTGCCTGTGTTGAAAGAATTTCGTGCGCTGTACTTTTAGCATAGCTGAGAAGATCTTCGTGAGTAACATAAGAGAGACGCAAGTCTTTTACTTACTCTCAATCTGTTCTCGGCTCCTTTTTCTTTTTGCATTTTGATACCAGTTTTCATGCACTTTCTGTAATGAGATAAATTCATACAAAGAACATATTTTATCATTGCATATGCCCGCCAAAGAGCCAGCGGATGTATGCAAATTTATAGCAAAGGAAGCAGCAAATGAATTGCTTTAATGATAATGATAAATGTTGTTGTTGTAAGTTTTCCATTTCAGAATAGAAAATACAAACATTTCACTTAAGATGTATGATGCTCTCTTTTACAAATCTAATAACAAACTGTAGTCAATCACATATACAATCCCGACATTGTAATATGACAAATGAAATTACGTCGGATGGTATTATTTGGTAAATATTATCAGCTTTTCATTTTAAAAAGAGTCTTACAAGTGGGGTGTAAACGTTTTTGCATCGTATGTGTACAGCGTTGTTGTGTGCTCAAGAAAACATTTCATAGCATTAATCATTTTTGACAGAATTTCAATGAACAGAGATTTGACCTGAGCTTGGTAAAGAATTTTTTTTTTTTTTTTATTCCAAGGCCACTTAAATATTACAAAAGTATTTCCGTGTTAATCAATAAATAAAATCTATTTTATTAATAGGTGGATGGGATAATTGCCGGTACTGTTTCGATTACGGTCCTATCGGGACAATTTTTATCCGACAAGCGAGTAGGTACTTATGTCGAAGTGGATATGTTTGGATTGCCCGCCGATACAGTGCGTAAGAAGTTTCGTACTAAAATTGTTCGCGATAACGCAATTAATCCTGTTTATGATGAGGAGCCATTTGTTTTTAAAAAGGTATGTAGTAACGGAAGTAAGTTTACGTGAAGTGATCTTAATTAAAAACGCTCAGGTTGTTTTGCCGGAATTGGCCAGCATAAGGATAGCTGCTTATGAAGAAGGTGGCAAACTTATCGGACATAGAGTGTTACCTGTTATTGGTTTGTGTCCGGGCTTTCGTCATTTAAGTTTGCGCAATGAATCGGGTCAACCATTAATTCTAACCTCACTTTTCCTTTGTATCATCGTAAAAGATTACGTTCCTGATGATCTATCCAATTTCGCCGAAGCCTTAGCTAATCCTATTAAATATCAAAATGAACTAGAGAAACGTGACAAACAGTTGGCAGTATTAACGGAAGATACGGAACCAATAGAAGAAGATCCAGCTACTTTGTGTAAGTAAAATAACACATCAAGTGAATTCGCAGAATATTCATCGGTCGAATAAACAAATTCATAAAAATTTTGAGAACTTTCTGAAAATATATTTTAAATTCTTTTAATAATTGATCTGATCAGTTTATTTGATTAACTTTTAAAGAAAAAATTTCTTCAGAAAGCAAATTACTTTCTAAAATAATTTATGTTAGTTATCGCGACAATAAGGTCGAATTTTCTTTATGCATATACTTTAATTTAATCAAATTTTCGATATTTGCTCAGGTGGTCATAAAAAGATCGATACGAGACCGATAGAGTCCATGGCTCTTAGCCCTAAACATAAGACGAGTTTGACAGCTGCAACAACAAATGTTGAAGTTACGGGCGAGCATGATTCCATCGAGTCAGCTGCAGCAATTACTTCAAGTATACAGCATCAGCATTCTTTGGACTTAACTGTACAAACCTCTGTAAAACAAATAGAGACTTCACAGTTCGACGTAGACATTTTAGAAGCCGAACCATTAGAAAAAATTTTCGAACATAAGCTGGTGCGTGAAAAGCGATTAAAGATGGAAAAGAAATTGGAATCTCTACGTAAAAAGCACGATGAAGAAAAAATAAAAATTGTCGAATCTCAATTGGGATCGTTGGAAAGGAATAGAAAACAAAAATTTGCTATTACAAATAAGCTGGTGAAACGTTTAAGCAACAAAAGTTTGTAAGTCATTAGCCCTTTTCCTTAATTCAAAAATATCATAAACTTTAAAAAAAAAAAAAGAAATTGTCTATCATCCTACAGTAGTAATCATCGAACAGAAGTGCCACCTTGTGCGCAAGGCTTAGATAATAAAAATAAGGATAGCCCAGCTTCGAAAACTCAATCAGAGAAATTATCAATTGCTTGCCACGAGTATTCCCAGAAATACCGTGAAGTACAAGAGAAATATTTTGAAAGCGTTTACGCTACAATCGAAGAAATTATGATACAATCACAAGCCAATCAAATGAAACAGCTGAAGATATCTCTTGACAAAGTTACCAGCGAGGTTATGCATTCATTGCAAGAAGCTCGAAGAAACGAAGTTAAAAGTTTAACTTCCGTTCACAGAGACAAAGATGAGCTCATAAGGTGGGAACGTAATAAATTCGCTATCAAAAATATTCTTGAACAGTCCGCACTAATTTCAACATATTTTCAGAATGAAACGGGAAGTGGCAAGCTCTGTAGTGGAACGTGGTGTTGCGGAGCGAGTGAAATTGAAGCAGGCTTTCGATAAGCGCCGAGAGGAATTGCAAAGGGAACATGATGTCGTACGAAGTAACTTTGCTGATCATCGAGCAAAGGTGAATAGAAGTACTTTGTGATCTGTGTCAGTCCATTTATGTGATTTACAAATAAATGCTGATGTCCATATACGCATATGCGCACCATTTTGCACTAAACTTATCATTTGGTTAGGCAAAGCAAAAAAATCGTTTCAACAATTTGTTGAATTTTCAATTTAATAAATTAGTCAGTCGATGCTTGTTTGTTATAATTTTAAAATTTGAAGTAAGAGTATTGAAGGTGCCAAGCTAACTTTAGATAGCGCTCAGATTAGTCCAACATTAATGAAAGACAAGTCACTTCTCGCATCCTAATTGCTTATGGTGGTAGGGGGACCATTCAAAACTCAAACGTTACCATAAAAAAAATAAAAAAAATAAATTAACATTTTCTTTACTTTTTTGCAGGCAAAGTATATTGTAAACCAAAGTTGTGAGTCATCAACGTGCGCTACTGGCAATGGATTTCTTGTGCTTTTCCTAAACTCAAGCAAATCACAAAGCAACAATTTGGCCAGTGGAAGCAGCAATCAATTGTCTATATCACCTGCACGTTCAAATGACAGTATCGGCAAAAGTTCGGATTGTGAGGTTGCTGCCCTGAGTCAAATCGAAAGTTAGATTTATCTCAAAGTTCTGAAAGTTACAACAAATTAATTAAATTCGAATCATTCATTCATTAGTTCTTTCTAAAGTTCTAAAGGCGAAAGCAGCATTCGGCCTATAAATCCAAGTTTCTAAATTAATGAATCATATGATATTGCTCGAGCGGCAGTGAAAAGCCGTAGGCTTCTTTTTAAATTTCGATAGATGGGTATTAAACATGGACCTAGATGTGTCTAAAGTAAGTAAAAAAGTGCTGGACTTGAAAAGCAAAGGAATTCTTCGAACAGATTAAGGCTTTTTAAAAGAATGTATTTTTATTTTATTATTGGGAAATGAGAAGGCAATATCATACATATATATATAGAGAAGGCAGACCCCATTCACATATAAATGTAAATAAATATAAATTTAAAACAAATAAAAATATAATTTGAATTGTACGTTAATTATTGTCAATCTCATGTAATTAATTTCAAAGTGGTTGTGTTTTCACTTCAAATGTATATTAGTGTTGTTCGTTACTCCTATTTTATTTCTTTAAAATTAAAAAAAAAAAAAAAAAAAAAAAAATATGTAAAAAAAATTTATATTGTAAAACTAGTTACATATTAAAATGTTCAAATGAAATTAAATGAAATATAATCGTCATATATTTATAGTTATTAGTCACATGTGAAAGCAACTAGTCGATCAATCTCAGATCAATTTTATTTATTTAATAACGAATTCTTTTTACTATAAAATTGAAAAATCAAAATGTTTAAGAAAATTTGTATACGATTAATGATGATCTTTGTGACACTGTGCACACCTTCAAACGATTATTATATATTGTGTATATTGAATTAATAAATTAAAAAAAAAAAAAAAAAAAAAAAAGCAAATATTAATAATGTCATTTCGCCTCGTTCTTGTCATTAAATGTATTAAGGTAATTTTCAAATCCTATTTTTCCTCTACTTCCCCATCAATATATTATTTTGCCGTGCATATTTAAATAATTGATAGATTTAATGCGATTGGACAATCACTTCAAAATTAACTCTCAACAATTTGTGAATATAAGGGCTAATAAACTAATCAAGACGTGGCACATCTTTATTTATTTATTTATTTTTATTTTTTTATTTTTTTTTTTCTTCGCACGGAATAAATTATTTAACATACATGTGCATCTCTGCGAATTCCTATAATCTACTTGCGTAAATTCATTTAATTGAATTTTCCGAAAATTTCCTTGTCTCGTCGTACACAATTATGAAAAGATAATTTTATTGAAAATGAAAATTGCACATAAATGTATAAAAATATAAAACTAAACTAAAACGCGACAAATGCTTGCATCTTTCAATGGAATTATAGGCAAACGTACACGGTACCTATGGATAGTAATGTAATGTAAAAAATAAAAGATTTTTTTTTTCGAAATGTAGATGTAGATGTAGATTCTCACACATCGACTTTTATTGCTCCTTAACATTGTATGTCATTTTTATAGTTTTCCCCATTGTTAAAAGAATTCATTTCATAAAAATGGCTCGTAGTGGCTGTTAAGCTCCACACATTAACTAAACTAAACTACAAATTTTGCAAAAAGAAGAAAAAAAATTATTTTTTCGCTTAATTAATATTCTAAGCCTTTTCGAATAGATGGAAACAGTAAAAGAGTGTTTCTTGAAATTTCGGTCAAGCATTTCAAACGCTGTTTAGATCGAAAGAATCTCTGCTGCTGAGAAGTTTCAACCTAATTGCTCTAATACACTAACAGATGTCTTCACAAGATATTTATATTCATAAAGAACCATTACGAAGAAAAAATATATTAAGGATATTCAATAGGCTTCCATGATGAGCACTTTTATTTAATCAATTGTGGAAGTTGAGGAAGTCAGAAGAATAATCTAATCGGAGTGCATTCTTTCCACCTGAAAAGAACGGTGGCCTGTCTGTGCGTATGTTTTGCGCTACTGTATATGTATGTTAATCAATGCTTGTATACTTGAAAGTCAAATAACTGATCATTTATTTTTAATTATTATCAAAACGGTGCAGCTGACTTAAATTAAATAGTATGTACAATGTGTAGTATTCGAATGTAATAAAATTGTAAGAAACAAACTGAAGCTTCAAGGTAGAAATTATTGATCTATAATGAAATGTTGCGCGTTTGATGTTAATGATCGAACACGTACGTATACCGTTGCATTTTATTTCATTCTTTCAGAAAAACTTTTCATTCAATTATTTTCTAATCATTGCATTGTTTAACAAGTTAAGTAAGTATATATGTAGTTATGTTGAATACTATTTTGCTGTTATTTTGCTTAAAGAATAAATAAATGTCAAGTTACGATAAATGTATTACTTGAGACAAATTCAGATGAATTGCGAAATTTATTTCATCTTTCCGATCTTTTGTCTCAATCTGGTTTTTTTTGTAGTCTTATTTATTAAAAAACAAAATAAATAAATAAAAATAATTTACTAACAGGGAGTAGTTGTGATAAATTCATTTATAATATTTGTTCATGCGGCGAAATATTCAGTTCGGGTAGTTCACGTTAAATATATAAAATATGTCTGGCCCTTCTTCCTCGATTGCTTCTCGTATTTTGTAGATTGTTTCTCTCATACTGCACAACCCCAGTCAGGGTTAGTACAACATTTGATTGTTTCTCTTCAGTTCTATGACCTTTTCATTTGTTGTCTTCTTTCTGTACATTGAAAGTACATGTAGTAGAATGTAGATGCCGTCGAGTACATTAGTGAACTTCTTATGCTGTTGGGTATACTCAGTTGAGAAAATGGTTTGCAACAGCACCGCAACAACACAAATAACTTGTTATTGTATGGAGTATACTGCAATAACATAATGAACTCTTTTTTTCTGCAGTGTGTACTCAAATAGTTTGCAACACAACCGCTACGCTACAATACAATAGACTTCCCATACTGTACGGTTATACTCAGTTTAGAATTTGGCTTGCAACATTATCACAACAACAAAATTAATTTCCTATGGTGTTATGTACATCGCAACAACACAATGAACTTTCTTTACTGTACTGTAGGGTATATTGGTATATGGAAGCTATTGCCACTTGATATTTTCTCATAATTTTTAGTATTGATCGACATCTTTTTTATCTTCTTTTTGCATTTTCAAAGAGGACAATAAATAAATCCAGCCGCACTTGCAAACAAAACGACGACATCCCTTCGAACACAACTCCCTTGCATTTAAAAAATTACTTAAAAAACACCGTAGTTCATTGTTTTAACTTTGGTTTAATGAATATGTGACAGTTATTTTGTTATATAGACAAACATACCGAACAGAGCCTTCCAGCCACCTTGTCCACATTTCACTAAGTCAGTGTGACACGGGATTAATTGAATCATTTTATATATAGTTGCAAAAAATGAATATCGAATTTAACCAATGGGAAGACTTGTACTTTTTTTCATTTTTTTTATTTTTTATATGTAAATCAATTAAAAATCTTTAAAATCACTTTTGTTTTTTCAATAAAAAAAAACACTATTTAATATTTATGCCTTCAACAATAACTATGCAGGCTATAAAATTTCTTATGGAATTAAAGTATTTGCACCAAAATCATGCTTAGCAAAGAACCAAATACAAGACCGCAACTTAAAGAGGCGATCATAAAGCTGGAAGCCGTTTCCTTTTCACGTCTTGTAACAAACCTAGAAACAAAAGATAAAAAATTCGTTATATGTTTTGATTCAGAAATCGAAATTCGTTATATAATAGTTTATCTATGTAAAAAACAAACAATTTATTATTCCTTCCGCCCGAGGACAAAGTTGCATAAAATGACAAGTTACCCTCATACCATCTGCAATCCAATCCAATCAATGGATAAACCTTGTTCGTCACTATTTCTAATAAGAAAAATAATATTAAATAGAGTTAGGGGATCGATGGAATTTTTCCTCAACTTTCATGCTAACATGAACATATTACCTAAAACTTCAGTCGCAAATCTGTTTTTTTTTCAAGGTTCTACGAATATGACAGCAGACGTGTTCAACCGGACCGTACAAAAAAAATATTGAACATTAAAATTGATAATAGTTTTATCATGGGGCTACTATTTGTATGTAGCTTTGCTAAGAAATAATCACTTGTCATAGAGAAAAAGAGGAGTAAAGTTCGTTGTGTTCATGTTCTCCCACGTTTAAGCGCGTATCTAATGAAAATTTGATATGATAGGAAAAACAAATAAATGTACAACGTAACTGAAAAATAGTAAAATTGTTTAATGATTTTTAAAAAAGTTTTTCTTTATATAGATTTTGAAAATACAGAACCCGCATGTCCCGCGTATTGAACAGAAAGAAGTATGCGTTTTCGTTCACCTTATTTAGTTGATAAAAACATACCTGGGCGCCATTATAAGTAAAATGTTGGCTAAATATCCATTACTTAAAGCAAATGTCGTCATCAGAACAATAAAAATTGTGTCGGAATGTATCCACACTGGCAAAAAGTTGTGGGAACTGCTATTGCAGCATAAAAATAATGGTATATAAAATGTACGAAGGATAACCATAAGCAGAACCGTGTAAGCGTTATTTTTGGGCTAAATTTAAAAAGCATTTGAGTTAATAAATAACGTCACTGCTTCTTGAAATGCGTACTTGTACCTTTTCACACATGCCTGCTATCACTCGCCCAAAATAATCGCCAGAATTGAATATCAAGTAGTTAGCAACCGGCCTGAAATAAATATCTGCACATAATAATAATAAGAAAGAAAATGATTAAACAAACGAAATAAAAGTAAAAACGCCCCCTTTTGGGCAGCCATCACAAAAGCTCCAACAACAATCTTTTAGCTAAAGCTAAAGTTATATTTTTGTGTCTCTTATCGGGCATAAATTATTATGTGCCGATCAAGAAATATGCGGGAAATAATTGTAATTGTAACTTGAAGCATCGAATTTTATCAATGTTTATGTGAATGTATTGAGGCTTTAATGAGGCTAAATATTGCCCAATGCAAATGTTGCAAGTATGAAATATGATGGCGAGTATAGAAATTACCATTCCATGCTTTCCCTTCGCCATAGCTTTCTGACTGCACTAAGACAGTTATGGACGGATAAACCGATAGAGTTGTAGTAAAAAGTATACAAATTGTTACGGCATGAATGTAGATTTTGCTAAAAACGGTTGTTACACATAATTGCGCAGCGTTGTCGTCGCCAATGACACCATTCACCATATACGGAGCTCTTATATTTTCCTCGACATTAAGGTAATACTGAAAAAACGGTTTACTTTCCATGATGGCGTAACAGACAATATTCAACAGTATTAAGACACTTCCTACAATGAAGAAGGTAAACGCCGTTATCGTGGGATCGCCGGCACCAAGAGCCAAAACAATTATGAATGTTAAAGCCGTTAAAATTCCACCTAAAGCCTGGCCGGATACCATTGCCGTCATATACTCCGAAGGGAATAAACCAGCTACGCCAAAAACCCCTCCAGACATTATGGCTGAGCAAACTAAAAAAGCAAAAGCAAAAGCAATTCATTTCATTTCATTTCGGAACTGTATTCTTTAAATATGATCCAATATACTCTACTTACCATTTAATATAATTACTATAAAAAGAGTTAATGCAAAAAATAGCTCTTGCCAGGCATCTGTGTTAAGTTCGACGAATGCAGTTGTTATAGCAAATAAAAGAAGTATAACGCAGAGGGTACCCAAAATTTTAAGACGTACGGGTACGCGTTGACCAAAAATAGCGTTCAATACAAGAAAGCTGGTACCAGATATAGACGCCGTTATTGTCAGGTAACAAGGGAAACTTTTCTGCAACGGACTTAAATCGGCCAATTCTGCATGGCTAACATTAAGGCTTACGTTTCGAAATTTGTACATCCAATACTTGAACGATGATAAAAAAAAAAAGATTAATTTTGTATTTTTGTAAATAATAAGCAAACGTAACGATTTTATATATACATATATATATAATGTAATATGATATAACAGCTTCATAGGAAAACTTACTGAAGAGTAATTTATTGACTACCATATGGATCTAATTTTTTTTTGGGCTACAACTCTTAATTAATATTAATTAAACGCAACTAATTCTTGAATAAATTATTCATTTTTTTTTTCTTAAGGACTTGATTATATTCGCTGTTCTACGCACAAAAATTATTGATCGATCGGCTCAGCAACCGACTATCGAAAAAATTCGAATTCGAATGCGAATTCAAAATCCGCCTAACGATTAGGCGAACAAGCAATTTCTGAGTATAATAAAATATAATAGAATAAGTACATGTTCACTAGGTCGACCATTAGAGACTCAAATCATTCTCAAAATTTTCTCTACGAAAATCAAATATATATTTGAGAGCCACCCAAAACGACCCAGAGCATAACAATCTAACAAATATGCGGACAGATCATTTCCGAAGGTCACAATGCATAATAAAATTAGTGAAGAAGGAAATGCAAAAATGATATACGAAATTTGAGTATTTTAGAGATTTTTTTAAAGCAATACTCCATTGGCTACCTTAAAGGTGTTGTTGTGTAAGCTAATTGCGGACGGGACATTTTCTATGAAAATCGAATCATCGCTAAGGCGAATAAAATGTTATTTGCTTTCATTTAAGCGAAAAGTTTATTGCTAAACGGCTACAAATGAAATGCGATTTGTTCTCAATAATTGAAGGGCGTACGAATTATTTAAATACTTACATCTTCCGCTGTTATAAAGAAATTCCATGGTGTCATTGTTGCAATTCCCAGTAAACAGAATACAAAGTACGTGTAGTTCCATACATCCGCTGGAATATCGGGTGATACAAATATATCATTGTCCTTATCCCTTTCCAGAATCTCTTCATTATACTGCGTTTCACTTGGCAAAGGTAATGTTGCGGGTGCGAATGGTAGGATAAAGTCTGCATCTGTTGTAATAGATTCAAAAAATAAATTTCTTAGCATTTTAAGATATGTGATAGCGTATGTCTAAGGGGAGGATTGTTTCAGCAATTGATGGCATTAGGTTGAACTGTCAGGCGCTTCAACAAGTATGAACTTGTTCGCTTACGAGAAATAGCATTTCTGGCACTGAGTGCGCACATCAGGCGGAATGAGTTTTAAGATTAGCGAACTAACATTTGGAGATACGAAAAGTAAAAAATGCAAAAAGTACGCAAAAGTTGTCTTCTTTATGTAACACTGCGAAGATCAAGAAAACAACATCGCAAATGGCAGTGCGCTGGATTATCTCGTTCCGTATCTGCTGATGTAACAAATGACAGCAGTTGAACCTGACGAGGATATAAACAATGCGGTGGCTGCAGTATGTCACACTTATTTGCCAGCGAATGGACCGCCAGAGATTGCCTGCTAATCTCCCTAATTTGTAAGAGATCCCAACAATTCCAACTTGATTGGATATAAGAAAAATGAGGCATGTACCGGCGTAGGCGTTAATTTACCACCAATCACTTATCATTTATGTTTGCAATAAAAAACGGTTAGTTTCTTTTGTTTGATAAAGTTTCTGATAAAATTTATGGGCATGTGCTTACATTCACTTTGTTGATGAAAATTGACCTCATCGTTATCGTCATCATCAACAGCTAACTGTTCGTTACTGAGAAGTTTACAGCGTTCACTAGTATCATCAATATCATCGTATTTTAACATTTTCTATCATTTCGATCCACAAGATGAACTTTCAAACTTGCTCTATTTATTTGCTTTTTTTTTTAAGCCTTTGTTCTGCATTGAAATTGGTTTTCTCCTTTATTTGTTTTGTTTCATGAATTATAGTTTTTAGGGTTTTCGTGCTCATAAAATAGTTGATTTGATAAAAGTTGAAAGTAATATCCGCGAGATATTTAGAAAAATCTCAATAGATTATAATTTCAATTTACATATCCGCTACCAAAGGAAATGAAAGGTAAACGAGCCTAAATATTATTTTCCATAAACAATAAATTAATAAAAATAAATATCTTCTTTTTTTTTTTAAGAAAAAGGCTAACGGCTATCCCCTGTTCCCCATGGCGAAACTGTTCCCCTAAGTGTTAGTAGATCCAATGTTAATACCAGAAATAACTTTGAAAGTATATATTGACCTAAAACGATCTATAGGTAAAATATTGTTGCAAATATTATCAATATTTCTCCCAATATTATAAATATTTTAAAGGAAAATTTTAACTTAAACCGCCTATTGGCGGCAGAAAAGATAGGAGTAGAGATAGGTTTACTAGAATTACGATTCATCTAATCGGATACCGTCAATGAAGTCCATCCCGCTTACTTCGTCTAAGATCTTTCTTTCTTTATGCGGATTATAGAGGAAAATAAGAAGATTTACAAGATATCAAGTTTACTGCAGTCATTACCATTATCATTAATATCATCGTCTTTTAATATTTTCTACCAATTTTTCGTTTTTTTAAAGCCTTTGTTTTGGATTGAAATTATTTTCCGCCTTTGTTTGTTTTATCTCATAAATTGCACTTTGCAGGGTTGTCGTGCTACTAAAATAGTTGACAGCAGTTCTGCTGAAAGTATCGTTAGCATAAACTGCAGTCGAGTGAATTATTGTTTTTTATTTGGAGCAATAAATTTCCGGTTCTATTTTCCTTTTTCCTTTAATTAATGGACACAATTTATTTACCGACCTCTTAGATTAAATAATAAAACCTTACCTTATCGTTCACAAGCCAATGCATTGAAAAAATCTCTTATGAATTTATCGAGTGATGTTTTAGCTCAAATCCATATTGAAATTCTTTTCAATCAAAAAAAAAAAAAAAAATTTTTTTTATTGAAAACTTCGTAGTTATTCTAAATCGGTCCACTTTAATTTCAAGTCTAAATTAACAATAATAAATTATAAACTAAAAGTGAAACGAAACTTAACAATATCTATTTATAAATGATTTTTGACCAATATTTTCGAAAAAAAAAAAAAAAAAATTAATAATCTAAGGAGCAACTTCAGCTCAATATTTTTAAAAATCCAACGCCATTACTAGCTATCGAGCTATGGTATCGGTTTTTATACTACTATACCACTTGCGATGCAGGATGTGTTGCGTTAGTGCGTACATATTTGACACCCAGATGGGCTTAAGATAGACCTACCTTTTATTATATTGATCGGTTCAGAACCACTTTCTGAGTCGGTCTAAGCTTGTCTGTCCGTCCGCTCTTGGGCCATGTAATTTTGTGTTTAATCTACGCGTTGACGTATGTTGACGTACTTTGACCCACTGCAGTAAATTTCCCCATAATAATTCAAAAATAGCAAACTATACGTTGAACGTAAGATTACAAGATTAGTAGATGGACCGACATGCTTAGATCGTTTCAGAAAATGATTCGGTATAACAAAAGTTGGGTCCTTCTAAGCATTGATTCATGCCACATGTAGGGCATAAATATTGTATCTAAAATATAAAAGGCAAAAAAATATTTATTTTCCCAAAAAAAAAGTTTATTTCGCAATTTTTTCTCTTTCGAATGTGTCTTAGCTGTCGGATATGAAACATATCCTAAAATCTTAATACTGGAAGTTGATTGTTTTGGAGAAATTTAACTGGAATTCGAAAGTTTTCGAAGTTGAGTGTCATCGAAAGCAACAATTTTGTTTGTTGCCAAAATTACAATTAAAATTAGCGAGGGATGGCAGTGACGTATTGAATACTTTAACGACCTCTATTAATGCTTAGTAAATACAAGGCTATGCTTTCGTCGTCTCAGAGGGCGAGGGCGAGGCACAAAAAATAGATAATTAATATATTACACTGCAAAAGAACTTGAACTTGGATAAGACAATAAACAATATAATATATATAATAAAAAATTTGCCTCTTCTGAGAAAGGTAAGGTTTATTCACGTATGCATTAATGCACCTGCTAAAATATTTGCATATATTTGCTGCAGATGGCGAGTTAAAATAGTAAATAATAACGGCAAAATAATTTATTTGAAACGAATGATGCAATAACTTAGATAAGGCATAAAAAAAAAAACTATATAGAAATTTTGAAATATTATATTTTGTGGGTTTCGTCTAAGAAAAACTGGAGATATTACATAATTAAGAATATATTTTCTAATACAAATTTGATGTTCTGCGAATATTTTTGAAATATTGGCCACAAATAGCTATAATATCCACTCTAATAGCTAGACGATGCTTTAACTCTATTACTGGAAAAGAATACTTATTTCGAACTAAAAACTATTTGTGGAATACGTTTGACTTTCACGATCGAGCGAGATTTTACAAGAATATGCGGAAAAAAGTTAAAAACGACAATAACGGTTTTGCATATACTTCGACAAGCAAGCCGTCTGAAAGTCCCTAAGGGGGCGCATAATAATATCCAGGCTGGCGGTGGAGTGCTTTCAAACACTGGTTGAGCTTGGCAGGCATAATGATGTGGACTTCATTTCGTTGCTTGGTTATTTGACAATGGAAACCGAGGGGAGACTGTAGGTCTTGAACGCAGACTGCCGATGGCAATATGCAGGACAACGGCAAGCAAAAAGATTTATAAAACCTTCTGATAGGGCAAACAAACTACTGGAACTAAGTAGAAGCGACCTGCGTTTTTTTACCGACTTCTACACGTGCCATAATTCCCTCAGGTATCATCTGAAAAACATGAGCATGTTTGATACCGATTCATGCAAACTCCGTCAAGGCACGAACGAAACGTTCTATCATATTCTATGCGATAGTGAGGCCATAGGCAGAATCAGACACCAATGTTTGGCGACCACTTTACTACAATGGACACGGTATGGTGCATCGACCCAAAGAAGTTGGCGGCATTCATAAGAATACTAAAACTGGAGGGTTAGGGGCATGGGCGCTTGTAATATATCTTCTAGGTCGCGGTACGTCTTGGCCACGTAACTAATAATACGACAGCAAAAGTATAAAGTATAAAGAGTCAAATATTCTCGTGAAAAAAAAAAAATTCATTGAAGATGATGTACTAAATATATTAAAGATCTGGAGCAAAATTGTAAAGCTTGCTTGACGGTCAATAACTTAAGCTCCTCCGGTAGCCATGAGTTCATAAGTCTGTGCGAACTTTCATATTTATAGCGCAAAACTGCTGTGTCTACAAAACGCCAAAGATGAAATTGTTGAACTATACCGACACCGATAAGAAATGTTTACAGCAGAGTATTATGAAAGTAAACGTAAATTAAGTATTAGGAAAGTAAATTTGGATAAGATTATGGAGAAAGCGAATGGCGTGGTTTACTGCGTTAACAGTCCTATGGTGCAAAAAATCGAAAAAGTGCTTGGAAATTATTATTAAATCGACTGAAGAGATAGCTGATAAAATTTTGATAAACAAGCAAGAGCTAATAAAACATTCATACAGGTGTTCGATATTCCTGCCCCGACATCGTGCCGATTCAGGGTATACTACTCGGAAAAAGAAAAAAACTGTTTAAATTGCGTAAGATAGGACTAAGGACTAAGGACTAAGGACTAATTTTTAATATTTCATTCATTTATTTAATTGTTCAATTCTGGAATTTAAACAATATAGTAATAAGATAATATGAATATCCGCCATGTGCATAAGCAATACAAGCAAATAAAATTAATAAGTATGTAAATAAAATAAGTATTGTACATTAGATAGGAATAATCTATTGATACAACACAATTTTTTTTAATAATCAAAAATTTCTTCAAAATAAACGATGAAAAGAAAACAAATTACATTTACTACATATGTGTATAATGTTCGAATTTTTCAAAAATACGCACAGTATGCATGCATACTATAGCGCATATTCACATAGAAACATATAGTTGTATATGTTTGTGCTTAACAGAATCTGTGCGTATACGAATGATAAGAATGAAAGAGCAAGCTGTCAAATGGCTGCTAATTAACAGCATTACTGCTACTGGTGATATCAGATATCATAAACACAAAAAGTGCCTAAAATTTTTCTAATCTCAATTTTGGGCAAAATATTGGAACATCTATGCACTTCGTTGTCGCTGCATCCGATATAAAGGGAGTAAGAGAGAGAGAGAGAGCAAAGAAACTGAAACGAACACAATCACTAAATTACGTACAGCATAACGGTGAAGATCACGTACTATGAACACGTGTATTCAACGGTATTATATCTGCTCGTGCGTGCATTAGCGCTGCAGTTTTTTTTTTTATTTTTTTTTTGCATGTGTGCGATTCTGCGCACTGTTTACTTTTGGTAGTTTGATGTGCACGTTTTTTATAAATACATTTTCTTTTTCTATAACGCATTATCTTTGTGGCATGCTTATGTTGGCATTTTTAGAGATCAGTGAATTTCTTCCTTAATGAATTGATTTTGTCACGATCTGCATGACGTGTTACACCATCTTGCCAAAGACATCGTATAATTTTGGGCATAAAAAATCAATTATCGTGATCCTCGAATGTTCATCATCGGCGGTAACTCCAATGCCTCTCGAAAGTGGCATTTTCGTCTCAAAAACAACGCCCAAAAGTTGTTTTTGTACTCATTAAATTCTTTTAGGAACATCAAGTGTGTTCTCTTTACACCATATACGGGAACCGACAAACGCAAACAGGAGCGAGTATCATTTACATTTAACTTTGCGACCACAAAATGAATAAACAATTTCTATAAATCCGTTTTTCTCATTCTTCATTGATTCTTCATTCTTTCCTTAACGAAATTTTTAGGCGAAGTTCGAAGACGACAAAAGGAATTTGGCGATTTTTTTTTATTAATCAACAATCCCATACGTCCATGCCATTTGCCCTATAGAAGATAGGTGTATGATTTCCCTTACAGAAAAAAAATGTTGCCTTCAAATATGCATGTATGCATGTATTGAGGGCGTGGAAGTGTGCAATCACTTATATCTGTTAGGCGTTAAAAGAATCGTGTGCAGCAATATCGGAAGAATAAAGAGAACGTACCCTTCTGTAAAAAAAAAATTATGACTTTCGCATTAAATTATACACACACACACACACACACAAAAATATAATTTTTATAATTTATTTCAAGGAGTATAATTCGTTACGGTTTTGCAATAATACACAACAATACATATTTTCTTAATATTATTATTATTATTATTATTATTATTATTATTATTATGTTCATCGTTATTTTAAAACAAAACTCAATAAAATACACATATTTTATATTTAAATTATCTACAAAATATTTTACATATTCTTTCTTCGTATAAATATTATCAAATACACAGTTAATGTACAAATATATATATATACCTTTGAATATTTACAAGAGAAATGAAATTTTTTCTTATTTTGCCTACTTCTCCTCAATCTCACCGCGTTCGCACTTACCAAAACTGAATTCTGGTCTACTATTAGCCTTAATACGGAAAACTCGACTATGATACAATTTTTATTTACATATCGTATAAGCGTACTAATGAGATAACTTTAAATTATTCTTATATATATATATATATGTATATACATATATATGTATATACATATATATATTTGTATATACATACATATGTAAATATATATATATATATATATATATATCTATATATAAAATTTTAAATTTTTGGTCTTTTTTTCTTCGCCCAAAATTAGTTTTTATTAATCCTTAGCTTTGAGATTGTTATTAGGTTGGTTTGGACTAGGGGCAAGAACGAGTTAAATGATCGATTTTTATTATCATTTTAAGTGTCTATATGTATGTATTTTCATTTTGAAATACAAAAATAAATGTATAATTAATTTTATATATATATGTATATATATATATCATGTATATGTACATATACATACAAATACAAATTTATATACACAAACATACATATCTATATATATATATATATATATATATATATATATATATATATAAATGTATTTATATATATAATGTAAATATGTATGTATGTATGTATGTATGTATGTATGTATGAAAACTTACAGTATAGTAAATTTTGTTAATTTCTTTCTATTTTATTATTTTGTGCGCAGTTTATTCTGTATTTCTTAGTCCCAATTTGGCTAAATTACTTAATGTAGTAATATCTCCAGGTTGCAGTCTTAAAGCTTCTTTGTAGCTAGCAGCAGCTTTACTTGTATGCCCAAGGAGGTGCAAAATTGCACCGAGATTGGTGTGTGCATGAGCATCGTAAGGTCTTAAATGAACTGCCTAAAAACGGTAAGCTTATCAAAAAAAACACAAATCACTTAGATAAAAAGCGTTATTCTTCGAAGTACCTTCCTGTACAATATTTCAGCCTCCACTTTACGATCCATTAATCTTAAAGCTGTAGCAGCTGCTACTACCAAGGAGTAATCATTTGGAGCCAGCCTTGCAGCTCTTACTCGATAGGAGACTGCTTCCGCATTGCGTGACTGCGATGTGAGAAACTCGGCTAATAATAAATGCATATATTTAACGCATTCACACATTTCAAAGATAAGTCATATTTACCGTAATGATGGTAAACGCTAGCCTGCTCAGGTGCCAACTTCAAGGCTCGCTTAAACCAAAATTCAGCTTCTGATGCCCTGCTGCTCTATATTCATCACAAAAATAAGATAAAAACTTACGTCATTCTCGATTGTTTAAATTCAGCATTTCATCAGTTATATACGTTATATACGTTAATAGTCAGATATTAATAGAACAGCCTAAATTTAATTATTTTATTTGTAGAAAGGAAAATAGTACCGAGAACAAGAACAACACGCAAACTACAAAAAGCAGAGTAAGTTTTGCCGATTTGCACTTAACGCACATTAGACCGCAACTATCCGCTCGAGCAAAGATTCAAATAATTTGTGGAGCAAAAGTTTAATGATCGATAAGGTCAATGACCAATTGATCAGTAGACAAATATTAAGAAGTCCAGATATATAAGAGCATCTAACGAATTCCGATGCGTATCGCTGTACGATACGTCAATAACGAATTCATGTTAATATGTTAACAACAGATGTATTTTTGTAAAATTACTTATATATATTATCAGTTGTGAATTCTATATTCAATGTATTCAATGCTCGGGAAGGAAATGAAGAGGGGAAAAAGAGAATAATTTTTTCAAGATGAAGAATACTTACATTTCGTGCCAAGGTTATTCCATACGACAGATGAACGCCCGCTTCCTTAGGTCGCAAATTCAAGGCCGCTCGATGGTGCTTCTCAGCTTCATCCCACTTTTGTAGTCGGCCGAAGATGTCACCTATGCGATAATAGAGAACATCGCGCATATGATAATTATGCGGAAGTTCGTGTAAAGCTTCACGATATACTGCCAGGGCACGTTGCAATTTGCCTTGATCCGCATACAAAGCTCCCAACTGCAGGTACGACGATATGCGTGCATTTTCATGAGAATTTCGATCTCGAACCCCAGTGCCATTCAGCCGTGAGCCGTCCTGCAAAACTTGAGCGGCTTCTTGACATTTGCCTAAAGCTATAAGCGATATGCCTAAATTCAAGTAGGCCACTTGAGAAGAAGCAACGATTGCCCAAAAAAATTTCTTATTAATGCAACATGATATATGCAACAATATTTAAATGTGATACCTGCTAAATTTGGACGAAAGTTCAATGCATTCTTAAAACTTTCTATTGCAAAACTGTATTTCTTCTGATTTTGATATAGAATACCTCTGCAAATCAAAGCCACAATAAATGTATGAAAATAATTGCTTTCGGGAAATGATTTTTAAACTGAAAAACTATGAAATAATAAAATTACTTTTGCGCTGACGTAAAATTTTAGACATCTCGCCACGAAACAAAAAAAAGGTTTGAAACTTGCATGTACTTTCAATCCGATTTCGGTGTATTCGCCTACACGAATGTTTGTCCTTCCGATGTAAAACGTGAGGAGTGCGGATAGGTTTTAAAGCACATTGACCGGTAATCTAATCTTAGGTGGAGTCAAACCGGGTATGCAGATCTTTACACATCAAAGTAAAACTCTTGGAGTATTGAAGAAATGTATTTCACATTCACAACAATAAACCTAACACTTTCGAAGAATATGAGTCGATATGTAGCGAGCAGCGTGAGGGTTTTTTCGAGATGTTTAGTTAAAAGTAAAAGGCATTGTTATTATTCTTTTATTTATTTATTTGGCTCTTTTTTTTTTTGAAAAACAAGACGTTCGAAAATCGACAAGTTTTAGTCTATCGAAAAATCGACAGTTGCAAGGGATTCTTGCTTTGAGAATTGAAGGAGTCAACCGAGAATAACTCGTCTAACGTGTCGAGTGTTGATATGACGTTCACAAAAGGACTATGATTTTTTGGACCCCTTAGCAAGTCGCTCTGTTACAATCACAATTTCATATATATATTTATATATATCATGTTTGATTATTATGTTGAGGTGAACATGAGAGAAACGTGAAAAGAATCCTGTGGTGATTCTTACCACATAAATGCGGATAAAAACAAATCAGTTGCGATCAGTGAAATTGTAGAATCATCGTAGGTAATCAACAGAAAGGTCTTTTCATGACGTACTGAGATTTACTGATGACGTTTAGCAAACCTATTATATTGGATTACTTTCGAAAATCGCGGTTCGACTGTCTTTTATCATGGAGACGAATTTTAGGCATTTGATCGACTTGGGAAATGAAAGTGATCTCTCTTCAACCGCGCCATAGCAGCTAAAAGACTAACACATAAAAAAATTCAATCCATAAGTAGGGTACGCAATCGACCAAAAGAGACCGTTGACGCCAGTCATGGAAACATTGGATTTCGGTTTTAAAATACGGTTATTGCTCTCTTAAATGTGGAATATAACGAGCAATGGGAATGGAATAGAAAAATAGTAATTTCCCGAAATCGGAGAGAAAGGAATAGCATAGTAAAATAATAAATAGAAAATATTTTATTAAAATATGGACCTCTCCATGTATCTTTTAGGTTAAGAAAAAATTGAAAAAATAAAACGATAAACTTTTACTTACAAATTAAAATGTACATCAGCCATGTTAGGTCTATATTTAATAGCTTCTAGTAAAATTTCTTCGGCTTCCGTATAACGAGCCTGAGAACTAAGGACACTTCCTAGATTTCCGAGAGCTATTATAAAGTGTTATAAATTAACTTGTAATAGTGTATGTGTTATAAGATTATAATGGTTAACGCACCTTTTGGTGGATTAACCCTAACTGCACTACGGTATAAGCTTTCCTCATCTTTCCAGTCCCGATTACGCAGTACCGTCCGTGCACTTAAGGTGCACAGTACCACGCACAGACTTATAATCATCATCTGTTTGGTTCTCTGCATTCTACGTGTTCTTAAGAAATCCATTATTTTGCTTAATCCAAAACCTACTATTAAACAAAAGCCCACACTAGGTAAATATAGTAAACGTTCCGCAACTACAAAGCCGACGTAGAAGAATAAGTTCGTCGCAGGCAGAAAGGGAAGTATTAGAAAAGCTAAGGATGTAATAAGCACGCAAGCGTTTGCACAACTGTTTGATGCATGAGAAAATATGTATTCGCGATGTTGCATCCACTGGTCTTCGTATGGACTGACAATGCTTAATTGCGATGATGAGGATTTAGATGAACTAGAGCTAGAGCTATAGGTAGAGGAAGCGCTGCTATCGGAACTTTTATTACTTGCTGTTGTACTATTGCTGCAACTACTGCTGCTACGGGAACTGCGTGCAATTATTTGTAATGCTAATGAAAAAAGTTGTGGCGCTGCTGTACCGCCGGAAGACATCAACTGATGACAACAACATTCACTATTCAGTACATTTGGTGTGTTATACGTCAATACGTTATTATTATTCAAGGCTCGGCATGAAGCGGAATGTTGTCCAGAGTTTATCTCTTGCTTGCAATCCGTACAAATTTGCCCACTTGTATATGGGCGCAGCCAACCTTTTTTCCAAAAGTTTGTTGTGCTGTTTCCTGGGGTATAGGACGCATTGCTGCTGGCACAATTCATCACATATAAGCCTTCTGAAGATTGACACTGCCGTTGAACATATTTATGTTTAGTGCGTGATTTTCGCTGAACCTTAGGTTGCAAGTGATAATGGCTTCCAGGATCACAACCATTAACTGCATAAGTTTGCGGCCTTTGTTTGCCTGCGCCACATTTTCGTCTGACAAGCAACGCCTGATAACTATACCATATCAAATAGGTTATAGCACTATAAAATGTTATGCTCAATATATTGCGTTCATCGAAAATCGAAATAATGCGAGGTATAGCATCCATTCCCCAATCAAAGCTGAGAACGTGCGGGCTGACGAGTAATTTAAAATTGAAAACTGGCAAATAAATAAAGGTTAATAGTCGCGTCCACGCTGAAGTCGTTTTTGAAATAGGGTTATCTGCCGAGGAGAACGAAGTTTGTGGTTTTGGAATTAACGCCAAACGGCTATATGCGACGCACACGAGCGATGAAAGAACGATGCAAATAGATCGCAGTCGATTCTTATCACATTGTCCGCAAAGAGTGCATATCAAGTCAAATATTACGCATAATAATAGAGCAGTGATACCCGTTTCTTTGAATAGCAGCGCGATAACAGACGTTATAATAGCAAAGGCTAAAGCTAACCATTGACGTTGATCGTTTCGGATTCGCCAATTCATGTGTCGTAGATAAGCTAAAAACGCCAACATGTAGCATATCGAGGTGGCCGCATCAGCACGTCCCACTATTCCTGCTATTGCTTCAGTGTGTATGGGATGGACAGCAAAAAGCGTTCCCGTCACTATCACTCCCCACATAGAAGACAATAGTTGCCTTGCCACCTTGACAACTAAGCCTGTAGCTACGCAATGCAACATATTGTTAACTAAGTGAAACCCCCATGGGGAATATCCGCTTAAAATAAAATTGAGACGAAACGAAAGCACACATAACGGCCGATACGATCCATGAGAACCCGAATCGGTCAATGCTGTCCCCCAGAAATCATTTACAAAAGCATTCTGCCAAGAACTACTGCCTGAAACATCCATGTTCGATAATATAGCACGCCTGTAAAAGTACAAATATATATGTAATTAAAGCGGAATGCATTCGGATATTGCGTAATCTATTCAACAATTGGATTGATATTGATAATCCATATATTGATAGGTGTCATCGGCAAAGTTAGCACCGACAAATCGACCTTACTCGATCCTTCCTATTCACCGCTGCCGCATTACCGTATCCTTTCTTTTGATACGTTCGGAAATGTTTACACAAGGGGAGCGAACTGTTGTAAAAAGCGGATCCTTTGGTTAATCTAAATTATTTTATTTAATCGAATAAACCGATTGATTGATTGTGTGTGTATGACTTCATGTCTCAAATTGCCAATTACCTCATGGATAGACTATAAATTGCGCAAATAAATAAATTTTTTTTTAAATCCGACAAATCGCTCAGAACATATCCTCTATACGTATATAAAACAGGGCAGACAGAGGTAGAGGTGCAGCATGTGGTCGGTAGACTAAAAAAAAATTGTGTCCCATCGGTAAGCGTTATGCCTTTCTTGGTCGTGCACTCACTATAGCTCGGCCATATTCCAGTTTTAATTAATGTAAGGTGTACGGCATGGTGAGTGGAAAACCATGGGAAATGTTTATGCCTACACCTAAATTGCACAAATTGTATCTAGAGTGTATGTAGAGGGCCATTGGATTAGAGAAAATGGAAAGTTTACAACGGTGCAGTGTTCAAATCAGTTGATCAACTCCTCGCAAACGAATTTTTTATTTTAATGGCATGAAATTATAGAAAGAGAGAGCGAGAGAGAGAGAGAGAAAGGGATACTGAAGGGGAGAATAATTTTGCGGCGTGGATTGAGTAACATTCCCGCCATAGTCGAGCAGCAAAAACAGTTCATTTCCATCTCTCCCTGATGTCGTGAGCATCCCTTAATGTTAACGACAAAATTCCGCAAAATTATATTAAATGCCTTCGCTTTTTTTAAACTTAACAACTATGACTGATGATTAGAACTTCTTGGTTTAGTTACTTTCAACATTATCGCTGATATGAAAAAGGCTAACGACATTTCTTCAGCGCGAGTGGCATTTATAATTTCATTTGCCTCTTCTCGCCTATTCCGGTTTAGTATGGAAAACCTTGTCGACTGTTTAATTACAGATTGCGATCATTTTAATTATTATCTCCCCACGGCTGGTACCCTTCAACTAAAATAGTCGCGTACAGAATGAAATGTCCAACAGCTTACTCTAACTACTAAAAAATACCAACGACTTCCATCAATTATTCAGGCATTTGATGTAAGCATTCTGTCCCTTCAGCCTAGATTTTCTTGTTTAACGGAGAGAGAGAGAGAGAGAGAGAGAGATTTTATGTGTACGAAAACGTTATTAAAAGTTCGCGTTTTCAACATGTTGCGTATCGAACTCGAATATAACACAAATAAATATTTGAGTTTTAGCTCAACTTCTCCTAATATTCTGCACAAATGGGAAGCTGTGTGTGACTTGATTGCAATTGATGAGACAGAGCTGAAGATTTTGCAAGAGCATTTAGAAAGCAGAAAAAGGTCAAAGAAAGTTGTACGTTGTGATGTGTTACGATATTATAATTTTATCGATTAATAAAGTTTTCAATTATCATCGTATAAGGCTCGTGACATGTGACAGATGCGTCCATGGTAGTTGTGAAGATTTCTTTACGTCATAGTTGGTTCTTTGATGCCTATATTCGCTGAAAAATTTGTTTTTTTCAAGTCACACCTTTTGTGTGATTGTATAGAGCATAAAATCAATCATTAAAATTGATGCTGATACACTTGTTCATGATCATTTCTAACTACTGCGAGAAATTTCCAGTTTTGCGTCTGGCATGAAGCTAGCTATAGGACGTTGTTGAAAGCTCCCAAAATGGAAATCAATCATTTTCACTCGTTGTTTTTTTTTTTTTTTTAGAATTAGTTTGAACGGAAAGTTCTATTGAAATATTAATTCATACTTAAAAGCTAATTAGATGGTAAGTATTCCCAGAGTGAGTGTATATGGTGAGCATTCTATTGAAAATAGTTGCGCTTTTGGAAGAAAGAATTTTCAAACGTTATTCACACTTCGTGCAGGATATGAGACACGTTAACATTCTCAGCCTTTTCTGCAACCAAATAAAACTGAAAAGTAAGTGCAATAAAACAAAGTCAAGCATACAATCAAACACATCGCAACCTTTCAAGCAATCTGCGTTTCGACAGGCACACATACAAAATTGGCCACAGATTTGTAACAGTTTAAGATAAATTGTTCTTTTGGATTCAATTTTTGTAACTTTCCAACTAATTTGGACATGTTCATTGTTTGACTACCGAACAGTGTGTTCACTGATCTACTATTCATTTCACTTCCGAAGGCCTTGAGTATATCGTAATATTTTTAAATATTTTAACAAGAGCTCGCAAAAGAATGGACCAACAGCTTGTTACGATCAGATTGAATCAGAATCTCACGCCAACACGTTATATAACACTTTTTATCGTTATCTCTCTCAATATGATATCGTGTAACGATTATCGCCGGTATCGCTTTTAATCGTTTTCGTATGAGAAAACTCACCTATCATCGTAGACAAAACCTGAATTTAATGTATTCAGATACAGTATGAAGGCCAAAGAGCAGCATCCAAGGCTAATATAATCCATGCTGAAAAAAGAAAGAAAAAAACAAACATATTATTAACATACAATAGTATTGATAACATTCTATAAAAGAGGCAAATGAGCAAAGCAAACAGAAATGCAACCTCCGACATGATTCTACATATATGGTGTACAAAGTCCTAAGCTCAATTTTAATTCAGTTAATAAAACACCAAGTTTTACATGCTGACAATAATTTCATAAATTAGTCAATTTGTCAATTTAAAAAAGAAAAATTTTTTTTCCTCATGTATCTGACTATAATTATAGACTGAGCCGTAGAATTTTTTTGCATGCACCGATTATGCGACATTTACATATTTAAAAATATGTGTGTTTATGTAAACGTGCATAATTATTCAATGCGAAATTATTCAGCATTTGTGATAAACTTTAAATGGGTTTGCTTAACTTGTACACAGGAATGGTCATATGTCTATTATAATAAATCAATGTGCGACAAAACTAATCAAAATGACCGCATAAGCAGGACGCTTTGTTAAGAAACTTTTCTGAGACCCGATTATAAAATTTGCTTAAATAGTAATTTTTAGTCAATAATTATTGATCTCCTGGTAGTAGAGCATTTTTGTACCAATGGGTATAATTGTGACAATATGCCTGGCGTTCAGTGTGCACAAGCCGAGTATCTTTAGGGTACGTCAGGGAGTTTAGACCTCTTTCTGTGAAGCATTGACTTTCTCGCAAAAACTAGTAGACATCATTATGTGAATCATTCATAATAAATTAACAGAAAGTGCAATAGTGTTTCATCTGACAAGTGTACTTTCCGGAATTGGAATTAAAAAAAGACAAAGGCTTCGACGCCAGAAAAGAAAGTGAACAATATGATACCAACATGTAACATGCACATCAACGCTACGAGCTTCTCAATAATTTCACTTTAATTAATTATTTTCGTTAAATATGTGCGATTGTGGAGTCGAAACAAGTTAAACAAGTTATTGTTCCTGATGCATGGATTACTCTTCTTGAAAAACCATTTCTCTTGCAAGAAGTTCTGTTTTAAAAGCAGCAACGATTTGTGGTAAATGACTCATTCATTTGTTTCTAATGATCGAACTAGTCTTTGTTAGCATCTAAGAAAACATTCAAGTGAACATCGGCTTGTTATTAGGAATCGAGCTGCGTCAATCATTTCCTTTTAGAGATTAAACGGTAATCAAAGGTATGGATGAAAGCCAATATCAGACGGTGAAGACTATGCTGGATCCAATGCAGTCTGTGGTAAACCCTGGGAGTACAACAAGTCATTTCCCAACCTAACGTACGTTGTAAAAAAGAAGAACGAAGTAATAAGTTGAGTAGGCCTACAACTGGACTCCACATAGAAAATATTATTTGTTAAGATAATCATGACGCAAACAAATAGCAAATGACGAGGTATGAAAATTTGGCCCACTTTGCATCTGCAATGTAAGCTTATCTTGTCATTTTCATTTCTTTTATAATGTTTTGTCGACTTAATGTTCTTAATTATGGGTATTGAAGTGGTGCTTAACAAAAAAGTCTTGGGATGGTGTAAATTAATAACAAAATCCTCCTCCAGATTTTTCCAAGAAAACGCGCTTTGTGCATGTTTGCGATGGCTTAGGGGTTCATTTGCAATTTGTTCCTGTACCGGTTGTAAGTGTGGCGCTATGCTGGTTGTGTACATACTTTTTTTCTTTTTTTTCCGTCTTATTTGTTTTATTGTACTTATACTAAGTTTTATTATTAATTTAATATAAGTTTTGCTTTAAGTGCCAATTGAACTCGACTGTTATTCGTTTAGTTGAGTTTCATGTATAAGTAGAATTAAAATAAATAAATAAATAAATAAATAAATATCCAATGAGCTAATTATGTTGTAAAACGATGGTACATGTCTTTTCAATGCAAAACCGCTCGTCAATATGCGTTGATCGTAAAGAAATTTGAAAGAAGGAAAATTATTTTCAAGTTTTGGGGCTTTCCCAGTATTGTTTTTTTAAGTCAATTTTTAATTTGTTTATGTGGATTTGGGGATGACTTGCATTTTTTTGCCAAGCTTAATCTGTCGAACATGTGCTTCGCATGTGTTTTAATTTAAATCAATTACGAATTCCGCGCTGGCTAAATATATTTACCTCACCCGATTTCATTGAGGGATTAAACAGTACACATATTTAATCTACAAGCCGCAAGTTTTCAAGTATTTTGAAGAAACTTTATACATTACATTGAACGCTAATGAACGACTTACTTTGAAAAATCGTTATACGAACAACTTCTGCGTGATGTGGTGTATGATGCTTTTAATTTGTCTTTACTTGTGTTTTGATCATTTCAAACGTTTTTTTTCAATGCATTTACCAGCACATCAAGTACTGTATAATCTTTATACCACATGTACAAAGGTAGAGGAAGCTATAAGTATGTGTTCCGAATCATGCCAAGCTTATAGAGAGCATTCTGTAAAGCAATTTAAGATATGATATATATGCGTGGAGTTAGATATTGCAAGGAACTCTTCAGTTGTAGTTAGCTTAATGCTAGATTTGTTAATTTTATTCCTATGACGATAATAATGTAGAAATTCTTAACTTGAGCATGTTTCTTATTAGTTTAGTCGGAATGAAGGCTATGCTGAAGGCTATTGTTCGCCCAGCAAATGCCAGAAATGAAGTGAGTTAGCAAAGAATAGTACGCGTGATCAAACAGTAAATATTCTCGCTCCTAAATGTAAGCCCTGCTATTTTTGGTATGGAAGAACTTAACATAGACAAATGCGGTATCTTTCATTGACTTGTTGCTTGCAAAAAAAGTTTCTAGAATACTTTCCTTTTCATCCTTTCCATCTTCCGATTTTAATCCTAATATACAAAGGTACAAAGTCCTATTTTCTTATTAGGTTTTGCAAGCAATAGAAAATGACAAGGGGCGCAGGTCATCTCATATTTTTGTTTAGGAAAAGATGTGAACAATGTCGTTTCATTATAATTTCCAGTCAAAGCGACAAAAAATTACAATTATGTTAAAGAAATTAGTTAAAAAAAAAAAAAAACTATCAGGCTTATATTATGTAAAATTGGCATAGTTTAAAAGTGAAAAGTAGCAACTTCGTAGTTTGTTAATGTGTAACCCGTGACCGCTATCAAGCGAAGTAAACAAAACTCATGAAACCGTTACAAAAGCTCGATACTCTAATCTCGGCTATAGAATGCACTTGCATTTTTCGTTATATTTCTTAGGGAAATCGCTAAACCAATAAAAATTAATTGCACTAAGCGTAAAATGGAAACAAAATGAAAAAACACAATCATAATGGCGTTTAAAAGAATTTGTGCAGAATTGTGAAAATTTTTTTGATTGAAAAAGTGAACTAAATTAAATGGACGCTATTTCCTCTGTTAAGTGCCTGCATTAACACTAGATAACACACTTTAGAAAACTCACTTTATTGTTATATGTTGATATATATGAATACATGTGCATGTGCATTCGTGTCTTTACTGTTGTTTGGTTCGGTACACTTATTGAAAAATAAACGTTGCAATATTGTATGAAATCGTACTTTTGTACCGCACCATACAAAACGTCTCACCAATCGAACTCATATAACAAAACATAAATAGTTAAAAACATCAGCACATATTTCACATTTTTTTTTTTATTAAACACTACGATTTTTCGCCTTGTTATGCTTTTGTTTGTTAATAAAATCTCAAACACTTCTCATTTTCTCTCAATTCAACCCTTCCGATTCTTTAGTCAATTTTCTCTAAAATTTGCACGACAATACAGGACAATTACCGAAGATAAAAAACCGATTGCATCCATGCAAAGGTCTCACCATAAACGACGAAAAACATTAGGGATTTCAAATTGGAATAGAAACTTTGAGAAAATCAAATCAAGTTAAGCGATAAAAAATTAAACAGTTTATAGATAACAGATTCTTTTTTATGCTTATTTTTTAATATCATTATTAATTGCTTTGCAATAAGGTATTGTAAAATTATTTTTCTTTCTAATTCGAAATTTTTCCTCCTTTCAATGACTTTTCTAAATAAATGTAAAATAGCGACTAAAATTTTATGCTCTTGTTATATACTTTATATAGTAAATGTGCTCAGAGTTCTTAAAAGGGCAGTGGTAAAAGTAAGAAAGTCAAAGAATTTTCTCCCCAACATGCCTACATATTTATATAAATCAAATTTAAATGTACAGCGCGTGGTGAGTTTAATTCTAATGGCAATGTTAATAATAATAACATTGGATTTAACGTCTTCGCCTTCTTGTTTGTATATTGAATATACATTTGAAATAGCGAACGACTCAAAAACATTCAAAAAATAATGATGCAAACCGAGTAAACAGTTAGAAATTAAAGTAAATTCGATGAAATAAATGATAAAGTCTGTAAGGCAAACATTTTTTTTTTATGTGTAAGAATGTACACTAAATTTTATTAACAGACACTCTTTAATGCTTAACTTTACTTTACTTAACATTAACATACTTGACATTGTATGTCACGTTTGAAAAAATTCCCGATATTTATTTACCGTTATTTTACGATAAAGTAAAATAACATATCCTGTGTGCATTTTTCTCCCTCACGCGTTCTAGTTAGCAATTCATTCCACAGAAACCGACATTACTTCCACAGAAACCGACATTAATTCCACAAAAATCGACATTAATTCCACAAAACCATATTGCCATAAATATATGCCGAAACGTTATTTAAGAAAATCAGGCATTGCTGGCTTGCTAACATGGCATTATTACCGGCGTAGGAGGTGGATATATTCATATTCATATATTCATATCCATAAAGATGTTTTTAATTATTACAATTAGTTTTAAAACTGAATGTCTTATTGTAGCTAACGACGCTACGGTCCAAGGCGATTCTTATTATTATCCTATCACGGTTAAAAAGCATGTAAGTGAAATTAGAAAAACGCCTTTCTCATGTATCAGCTACGTTGTATAAACAATTATTTGTTTTGTTTTTGTTTTTTCTTTTTTTAAATAATTTCGCATTAAATTGTAAACTTTAATTATTAATGTGTTATTAAGCAAATAAGCATACCTCCTCCTTATACGAGAAAAAAATTATTTTTTCAAAGCAAAATTCTGAAACACCGCGCAGTGTTCTTTTTATAAAAACATTAATAAAATGCACTAAAGGTTAATGTCTTACAATTTTCTTATATTTTTTAAAGTTCGTCTCTTATACAACCAATTTCTAAATGTTAACATAATAAAAATTATTAATGCTTTGTTTTTTTGGACACTCCCTTACCCTACATAAAGAATATTTATACAATTTTATATTAATTTTTAAATTTGTCAAAAACACTTGTAAAATGCTTTGATTTGCTTTGATTTCTCTCTGAAATTCGTTAGCGATTTTTTTCTTTTGCATTGATTACAAAAAAAAAAAAACTCAACAATTTTTGCATAAATTATGATCAAAATACCATCTGCAATATGACTACTAACCACACTTGCATAAATTATGATCAAAATACCATCCACAATATGACTACTAATCACACTTGCATAAATTATGATCAAAATATCATCCACAAAATGACTACTAACCAAAAATGCGATCTAATGTAGTAAAAGTTTAATCCTTACTTAGGGCAGGACTCAAAAATAGGCGTAAACGGTCCAAATTTTGTAGAGTTCATTTTTGAATGAAATTACTACAACTTTATGGGTCAATTTTCATCACCACATATTCAAACTTAGAGATTTCTGTTCTGCAAAGCATGAATTTTCGCGAAAATTCTTATTAGGGTAGGATTCAAACAAAAAAAAAAGACCGAGATAGTCCAAATTTGGCACAGTTAATTTTTTTATGTTAAATCGTTATTATGATATAATTTTCATTATGAAGCATTGAAAATGATACATTTTGGACGTATGCACTTCAGTTTGCATCATATGAGAGGCGATTTCAAAAATTTGCCACAGCCGGTCCAAAGTAGAAATGCTACCATTTAGTCACTTTTACAACGACTTTTTAGGGTAGGTCGTTATATGGGCAGTAGTCGAAAATATGGAATGATCCAAATTATTTTCAATAGTGTTCGTCTTTGGGTGAAAACATGTCACGGTACCAAATTTCGTCAAAATATCTAAAGTATTGCGACCTTTAGCTTGAACATAAATTCACATAAACAGACACCAGACGGACAGACAGATTATTCTTCTGAACCGATATATAATATAATAAAAGGTGGGTCTAGCTTAAGCCCTTATACATAGCCTGAATCTTTCATTTTCACCTTTAACACAGATATCTTTGTTCTGTAAATAGAACATAAGCAGCATTTTCGATTGCTTTCCATAAGCAATCGTCATCACTTTTGTTTAAATTAATGTTGATGAGGAGTTTTTTGATGCGTTCGGTCCACACTAAATTTATTTTCCCTACTTGTTATATTTTTTTTTATTACGGATTTATTTTATATTTATATAATTTATATATATATATATATATATGTGTGTGTGTGTGTTATTACCTTATTTATATATATTGTTATATATATATTTCATAATGACGGCATACATACACAAAACAGCATTTGCGGAAGGAAAAGCTGCGATATGTTAAAAGGGGGTTGAGGAGGCAAAAAGAAAAGGTGCCAAGCAAATGAACCTCTCTATGGGTGTAGCAATGGTTGGCCAAAGAGATGGACCTAATGCATGCCTAGAGGGAATGCACATGGCGAAAAGACAAAGATACGGGGAATGCAGGATCGGAGCAATTAGGTGGACACGTAAAATTAAGTAACCATCTGTTCTATTAAAAATTTCCTAATCTACTTTACGTTTTTTGCATTTTATTAAAAAACGATAATATACAAAGGCTCAACACACATATAACACGTAATTAAAAACTCCTTTTTTCAAATATTTATGTATACAAATTGTCACAATTGCCTAAGCAATTGAAGTTTATGTTGCTTAAAATATTATTATTATTATTATTATTATTAATTTCGCCAGAGACTAAACTCTTAAAAGCACTAGCATCGAAGGCTATCGGCTTTGATTAAAAACTCTACCGCACTTGAGATTCGAACCCACGACCATTGACTGCTTAAAATAAATTGTACAGATCGTTCAAAAAAATAAAAAAAATTTAGGGAAATTTTTTTCGGCTATAGTCGAATTTCTTATACCCAAAGCCCTTGCTGAACACACATGCACAAAAAACAGGCACTGTGTGGACGTGGGCTAGTTTTCTCCATTTTTGCACATGTACTATACCATATAGAGTGTGTACATAAAAATTGTTATCGTCATATCTGCTATAGGGTAGGAGTAATGAATGAAAATCTTCATATTTCGGGTGCTGAAAACAAAAGTTCGCGCAGTTAAAGGTGTACTCCGCCTTTTGCACATTTTCGATACCAACTCGCCTCCAAGAGCTCCCAATCTTTGTGACAAATTTCAACTTTCGCTGAACCACACAATCTACATAGATTGACAGATATGCTTAGGCTACCTTAGTATTTAATCAAGAATATATATATCTTTTAGAGGATCTCTGAACTCTATTTCTGGATATTGCAAACATTATTTCCATCCTTCGCTGGTGGGTACAAAATGTAAAAGATACATTTTCATAAAAAAAAAAATCTATTGTTCAGCAGCAGTGTTCACCATAGCGAACAATATGAAACGTTTGTGTTCTAGAAGCTATCATATGGATATCGGCATATGTTCGCATCTAATCAGTTATATCAATTCACATTGAATTTTTTTAATTTTTCTTTTTATGTAACGTTTCGGTCGTGTGTCAGTCGAACTATAACATCATTACCGAATAAATGAAAATCTTTGATGAACAAATCGTTCATATTAATGAAGACATTCTATGAGTATTGATATCGTCAAACGTGGCACCTACTCAGGATAGGCGAAAAAAAAGAGATACGAATGAAACTTTTCAAAACTCCATCAGTTACATACATACATAACAATTGCGAAAATTGAAGTGAATATAAATAAAGACGAAGAAAGCACTAATTGATCGGTTTCAATTTTAAAAATTCTTTCAAAAATATTGAGTCACTGAGCGTTTGTGTGTCTAATTAAGGCACGTCGAGTCATGTTTTCAGTCGAATAAGAGAAAAATAGGAAATCTTGGAAGGATTCATGAGCTATGTATATATAAAAAATTGTGCTTGGAATTCCTTTAATATAAAGAAAATGAAAAATTTAAGAAAATTTAAGAAAAAACCATAAAATAATCATTGCGTCAAGCGTCATTGCTGGAAATTTTGCTATATCACTGAAAGACTACACACTGACGAATTTTGAGCATCCGCGCTATCATTTGCATACAAAAACTATAGAAGGAAATGAATGCTTGAATATGTGCACATACACAAGGGCTCATCGATCCGATCTATTAACACGGCACGCAAGTTGGCATTACCCATCATTTGCCTTTCCAACTGATATCTATCAGTTGGTGGTCCGAGCTACAATCGAAACGGACACAAACGAAACAAAGATGGATTAGATTTTGAGTCTTCACTTTTTCTTTTAAATTTAATTTATTTTATAACGTAAATCATTATTATATTACACAAATTGGAGTCCTCTGATTATTATTAATTTTCTTATAAATAACAAAAAAAAAAAAAAAAAATCAATTTTTTTCTTCGCTTTCTTAATAAATATGATTTTCATATATATGTATATATATATATGTATATAGATATATATGTATATAGATATATTTAATTTTTTTAAAGAAGAAAAAATACAATTACAATTAGATGATAAGACAATTCCCCTTAATGCCGTGAAACAATGGAATGAGAAGAGTATAGGAGTCTGTCGGCCCGCTTGAGAATTGATCTAGTTTTGTCCGTCCGATATAGTTAATGCACACTCTACAGTGTTAGAAAGATCGGGAATTAGAATTGCTTAAACCACCCTAGTTGCCGACGGGCTAATTTTTCACCAAAGTGAAAGTGATGATGATATTGAGGATAATATGGTTTGTATAAAAAATAAAGTTATTTCTAAAAAGCAAAGCATGCTGTCTGAAAAAAAAAACTTTTAAGACATCTTTAACAAGCAGGAAAGTAGAAGGAGATTACCCCAGATGGAGCGGCAAATTGTCAGTAGATGCGAAAAAGTCGAATATAAAAGTTGACGACGATGAACGAAGCGATGCTAATATTGTATTAAGTCAATCGGTTCTTCCTCAAGATGATTCAAAGCAATTTTTATGTCAACAGACCAATGATACTCTTAATGATGAATCAAAACAAACCGCGTATTCGACTTTAAATGTCCCCAAATTTCGCCAAAAGCATTTGTTGTCATTAAATCCAAAATGTAATCTTAAATGACCCATCGTCTAGTTGGAGCTTATAGCAACAAACACTTTTTCAACCGCTTTGATTTGTCATTGGGAAAATCAAACTGGCCTTTCCTAATTTATAATAACAATAATAATAATTTTTTACAAATTAGCCTAAAAGTAGACCGCCGTAATTTTTATTATCAAATTAAACAAAGCAGTAGCTAAATTCTCTGTTAAAAAGGCAAAGCAGTAGTGGCATAATCTGTTAAGAGGGGGAAACCGGTAGTGGAATAATCTGTTAAATTTCAAAGCCGTCGCTCTGCTATTCATTTTAAACTTTCAATTTTTAAATTTTTTTAATCATCTACTAACAACACGATTTTTTAGATAAGATATCTGCCTTCTTAAAAAATTGACAAAGCTAATAACCATGTTACAACGCGCCACTCTCTTTAAAAAAAAGGCCAATATCTGTTAAAATATAGCCTATCATTGTTAATAATATCTGTTAATAAAAGTTCTTCTGCTTTTTTGTAAAACGTTTACGACCATTGCTTAATTCTTAATGAATTCTTAAAAAGCATTACGCTATTGCTTTTGACAAGATAAATAGTTTAGCGATGCTTCTTACGTGTTTGATAAACACACTACTAAAAATAGAAGAAGAGTTATACTGCCGGTCATGCAGTTCACACCGGTCAATAGATGGCATAACTATACCATGATTTTCTATTCTCCTCTAGCAAAACGCAACTTGAAAAGAATCGCAAAAGTCACAACATTCATTATGAAAATTACTTTCAAAGGAATAGTTTCCTGTCTCGTAAAGATGACCAAAAATCCTCAAGTTGAGGTTAACTCATCATCGTCCACGTTCTAACCACTTAGCTCGACACAGGACACACTAATTTCCAAGCCATATACATGGGAAATCATACAGTCAAGCGGCTTATCTCAGCAAGCACATGCAAAATCATTTCGAAACTTAGAAAAAGGAACTATTACGGGCCAGGGCAAAGTAAACTTTATTGTGTATAGTATACGGCGCTTATTAAATGCATTGGGCAAAATGATGGCAAGATATTTTTTGGAAGTGGTAATGATAATCTTTACAAAATAGCGAGGCAGAATCAAGGTGGCTTGGAAAAAGCCGCAAGAAGCTGCGTTTAATTCATTACGCCAATCCTAAATTGTAGTCCTATATAATTCTTTATAAATTCTTATAACTGTGCACATCTCTACATTTACGCCTCAACATCTTAGATTTGCTTTTAAAATATCCTAACACCTCTGTTTTTACGCGTTAACGTGCGCTAGCACTGCATTTTTTAGGGCAACACTATTGCATGAGAAAACGTTGTATTTTCGATATTTGAACCGGCAACGGTTTTTTCATGACGAGTGAAAGAAATTTTTAGTGAAGTGCGAGTTTGTGAAGTAACTAATGTTGCTGAAAATTGCAAAATAAACAATAAAAATTTAAAAAAAAAAGTTAAAACACCAAAAATGAAAATTGAAGAATGAAAACTGGAATTTTTGGTTGAAAAATTGATGGACTTTTTGGCTGCATGAAGAAAAATAAAAATATGTTACCTAAAATATCTTCATCAGTTTTCTAGTCACTTCAATTTTTTTAATTTTCTATAATTTAAACATACATTGGAATGACGGTATTGTTTGAAAAATTTGATTGAATTGAATATTTATGTGTTATTGTGTATTTTAGGCATTATCAGGAAAAAAAACCTAAGATATAAGGAAATTGTCCACTCTTAGCCTACTTCACAAACTATTATCGGTTACATAAATTTTTTTGGTTTTAAAATTTGTGAAGTTCTGCGTCAGCAGATAATAATAATAACACATAACTTTCTCGAAACTTCCTTGGGTAATGTGTGCCGCCTTATTGATATGATATTCCGCATTGTGCAGTAAGAAATTTACGATTTCTTCTTTATATTTTACAATATGTTACAAGGAGTGTTCGGTCGTGACCGAATACAATTTTCTAACTTATTTTACTTTGCAATTATTTGCTCTGGCGTTATGTTATGGTACAAGAATGGTGTCATGTTTGTTTTTGATAATACCCAAAACAAAAATTGAGAAAAATACATAAATTTCTAGAAATTTACAAATCATGTAATTCAAAATTATTATGTAAAAAATTTACTCATCGTTATCGTGCAAACATATCGAAATTGCAAAACCTTTTGTTTACTTTAAGTGCATCAGTTGGTTAATCGGTACAAATTACGTATCTTTGGAAAAGTGCTCCAATAAATGGAAAATAATTTTAGTACTTCTACGCTAGCCAAAGAATTAAACGAAATCATTAAAAAATACAGTCATGTGGGGTGTGCGGGGTTTTATTTATTATTATTATATTGTATATTATATATATATATATATATTGTATATTATGTATACATTATTGTATTATCGTATTTTTAATATTTTATATACATTATTATAAATATTACTCTAATTTTAAATAGAGCTAAGCAATCGTGTGGGCCTACAGGGAATGCCAGTCATTTAAAACAATTGGTAACGCGCCAATCGCGGTGCCTCAATGGTGGTGCGGAAAATCGTACGATAAATATTTGCTTTCATCTTAGGAGGCATCTGGTTGCGGTGTAATACCGTACAATGATCATTCTAAACTTTGTAGACATTTAATCATCTATACAATGCCCGCAATCTCGCAAGTCTCTGTTGAATGCACTACACCTTCAGTTTCACCTGAAAATAAAAAGGGTTCTCTAAAAAAGTATCAATTTTTATCCATTATCAACTTCATACTTGTTTGAAGTTTTTGAAGAACATTTCTCTTTAAGAAATCCCATATATATTTTAACACCTCTGTTTTTGCCCGTTAACAAATGCAGACACTCTTTTTTAATAATCCTGTGAAATGATAACTTCACACTCGTAAGAATGTATTGTACGGAGTTTTTCCTGTCTAACAATTTCGCTGTTTAATATATTTTTCTTTCGGTCGTTTTCATAAGTAAGTTTTAAAATTGGTTTGTTGTTCCTCTTGCCGCAATTGTCTCAACGTTTTAAACAAGAAATTTTCAATTTACAGCAACAACAACATGGATGAATTGGACGAGCATTTAAGGCAGTTGAGCTTGATTAATGAACAAATCAATCGGAATGGAAGTTGCGGTGAAGAGAAGAAGACTGGACAGATGACTACACTGCCTCCAAGTGCTTGCTCACCGGATCTATTTTCAATAGCTAATTTGACAAGGAAAGATCCTGCGTCAGCAAGCAACAATGTGAACAAAAAAGTCGGCCCTTTAGTACCGCCCAAACCGCAAAAAAAACAACTTGCGCCAGAGGTTTTTATTACTTACTTTTATCTTTTACTTTACAATAGCTGTTGGCGTTATTAAATAGTGTAAAGAAATTTTAGGTAGTTTCCGAAGTTTGTTCAATTAAGCCTTCGAAACAGTCAGATTCCTTTATTAGTCTAATCGAAAGATAAACAGTAGCCACAAACGCACAAACAAACAAAAGTTTCTTTGAAGTCCTCAATATATATATATTGCGAACGTAAAAAGTGAGGACTAGTCTCAGATGAAGCAAATTGAATACATAGACAGTATAGCTTCAAGTCAATACATTCGCATTTTTTTGTCATTTTTCAGCTCACCTACGAAATTTGCTAGGAAAGTATTTGTGCCAGAGCTTAAATTAACATTAAAATTAGCAACATATTTTATATCAATGGAACGTAATTCTGTTACATGCTTGAAGTACCGGAAACGATTTTAGAATTAGGAATTTAAATTGAAAGAAATGTAAAATTCGCCAGTTAATGAGAGCAGAAATATCAATTCTAATTGTAAATAAATATTAGCTTCGATTTTGTTAATTTCTGTTAAATTATTTTTTTCGTTTGGTTTTTCTACTTTCATCTTTTATTTAAGGTCCCTCAAAGTAGTCTAGTGAAACAAACGTGTGAACCACTTTACTCGCAACGATTACAAAATCTGGATAGCAGCAATAATTCAAGGAACGATGGTTATCTTTATAACTTGAAGAACGATAGTAGAGATTGCGATGATATTTCGAATAGTATTAAAGCGTCTATGCTTTTGCGTAAACAGCCGATACAGTCCACGCAAAGTCTTAACAACAAATTGGCAGTGACTTTAGATAACCCAATTGTATTGGAGCAACAATTGGAAGCATTAGCGCATCATAAAAAACAGCTGGAAAAACGTGGTAAATTACTGTCCAATCCAGTAGCAGCCGTGCAGCCTTCATTATCTGGCATCCCAAAATTATCCTCCACTTCTTTGCTTGCTTTTAAGCATAATGAACTATATGGTACAGAAAATTTACAGGCCAATTGTGCGAACATGGAAACAGAAGTCTCGCGTGATGCCAACGTTTACATTAATGTGCTACCAAATCGTCAGTCTACCGTTCATAAGCTCGCCTCACCCAAGCAAAGCATCACCAATCTTTTATATGAAAAAAGCAGTTTAGCAGGTAAATTAATAGTTTCATGCATTTGGCGATTAAAACTAATTTTCATGTATAGGTGAAACATCGCCGTCGCCACTGATCGATGTGGGTCGGAATGAAGCTAAAGATTTTTTCAATGTTCCAGACGAAGAGGTTTTATCACCACCTAGTCCTGTCAGTTCATCTTACAGCGAGTTAAGAAGGGCTACAGACGTATTTAAGATAAACAATAGTTCTGACTCCAATCAGCCATGCAACACGAAAGAGTCGTCCGATGTAGCTAAACCAGTGCCCAGCTATGGACAACATACCGTTTCAAAGTATGCAACTGCTGCAAATGAGAAATTAAAAGCTGCCGAAAATCATCAATTTTATGTAAATAAAGTCTATAACAATGATTTCAAAGATTATAATCCAATGTCACAGGTAATGCGCAAAATAGCGTTTAATACTTGCGTTACAGTGTATCGTAATTCAATAATTTATTCAGCAGAGTAACAAGCGGAACGTGTCTGATTATTACGGGTACGGCGGTTTTTCCCAGGTAAGTATTTTAGACTGTTAATATGCCAAATTCATGGTAAGCTGATACATTCGTTTAACAGAGGAAAATGATGTAAAAACAAGTAAGCCTCGATTCGTCAACTTATTTTATGTTGTGAAGAGATTCACGTGTTGACGGCAAGTCAATCTTTTATACAGCATATTTAGATGGGTCGGATAAAACTTCTGTCAAAAATAAATTCAAATAAATTCTTGCAAATTTAATTACGATTTAAAGAATTTAGTAGAGAACGCAAACTTTGCTGTAAAAGTTGAGTAAGATTGGGGTAAATGTAGGGCAGTACGTCGGTTATTGGTTTCGTCACCAATGTGCAATGCTCTGTGCTATGGACGTTGAAGATATACACAAAATATTAAAAATTTTTTTTTTTTTTTGTTAGCACTAAAATTGTCGGACTGAACGCACTGCAGAATAAACAAAAATAAAAATTGCAGAACGAATCTCGAGAAAAGCTTGAACCGTTAATACAGTTTAGGCAAAAGTATGCCGTTATCAAAGCTTTTAAAATTATATATATCAATATAAAATATGCAATGAGGTGTTCTTTTATACTCTTTGCAGAGTTCCTCTACTTATGAATCGATTTATGAACCGATTAATCCTCGGCCACCTAGCCAATCATCGACGCGTTCAAATAATTACGCAATGTATGCACCGTGCGTTAAGAACAATAGCATGACTCCAATGCCCGAGGGTGGCGGAACTTTAGCCAATAGCAGCACTAGCAATCTACTTTCTTTCGATAGAACTTGTGAAGCGAACACACCGATTTATGTCAACAACGATGCAACTATGATGCAGCAAACTTTAAATTTTAAAAATCCCAAGGAAGGCGAGGTGGAGACGTTAACTGATTTTTTGACAGAATCAATGGATTCAAGCGGTGACATCGAAGGTTACGGTAAAAATATGAATGCGTATGTGTTAAAGGTCCCGGGACTGATGATAAAAAGTATTCTTTATTTGTAAAATATTTTATTTTTCCTTCGGAACAAGCACAATGAAAAACCAGCAAATAGTTTTGCGCGTACGGATAATGACGAAATGATTTGGACAAGATTTTATTGCGTTTGAAAAACTACTTTTTATGCGTGCTAACGGTAGGCGTAGGGGCGTAGGGTGAAACAACAAAACTAAACTATGTAACTCCGCCTTTCAATTTCTATCTAGTTTTCGAGGGAGCATAGATGCCCAACAAACTTACACTTACATAACTAGGACTGAATATTTTATTAATGACTCGTATCTAGTGCAGGTCCCCGGGGCTTTTGGTTGCATGAGGTGAGAGTATCAATTTTTATATATTGATAGGAATTTGCTTTAAATGCAATGAACGCGTGGTTGGCGAGAATTCTGGTTGCACAGCTATGGATCAAATTTATCACATAGCTTGCTTCACCTGTTCACAGTGTCAAATCAATCTTCAAGGCAAAGCATTTTATGCCTTGGAAGACAAACCTTATTGCGAATATGATTATTTGCAAACGCTAGAAAAGTGCTCTGTGTGCATGAAACCAATTTTGGAACGCATACTACGAGCTACTGGTAAGCCCTATCACCCGCAATGTTTTACTTGCGTTGTATGCAGGAAAAGTTTGGATGGCATACCATTTACAGTCGACGCAACCAATCAAAATTACTGCATTGAAGATTTCCACAAGTAAGTTACAACACACAACACGTCAACTTGATTTAAAATTTTCTATTTACTAAGAAAATTTGCGCCGCGCTGCTGTGTATGTAAAAATCCTATTATGCCGGAGCCTGGCGAGGAAGAAACTGTAAGAGTCGTTGCATTAGATCGCAGCTTTCACTTCGAGTGCTACAAATGCGAAGTAAGTGAAGCCAGATAGGTTTTATTTAAGTAAGATCTTAGATTTCCAAAAGCTCTTCTAATAATCGATCGAACATCCATTGGAAAAATCGCGATACAAAAGTTGGAAAAAAAGCGAGGATAAAGTTTAAATAAAATAATTTGAATTCGTTGTCAGTACTTTGCATATTATTTTGCTTTATCGATCCGTCTTTCCTAGTGTTAAGAATATATGCACAGTCAACATTTTAAGAAACCTTGATTTGATGATGAGGTTATGATTATGATTCTTTTAACAAGAACCATCATCATAATCACAATGTTTGTGACCCTGCAGCCGAAATGAAGTACGAATATTGGGACGGACAATCAGTTTTGTATGTGGATTATCATATATGTATGATTTTTGTATTACATTAGTATTGTACGAAAGTTAATTTCATGGCAAGTAGCGGCATAAAAATCACCCACTTCCGTCCGTTTGAAGAATGATAAATATTTTAGTAACCTTGTTACTAAAGGTTTGCTATTTGGTGCTACTTAAAGTCAAGTTTGACTTGACGCTTTTTTGACAAACCGATTACACTAATTATAATATTTAAATTCCTGTGGTATCCTGTGGTGGCCACATAAGTAGATTTCTTTCGTTGTTTATTGTAAAAAAAAATGTACAGATCATCTTGTTTAGTTTAAAGCCGATTACTGATTTTCGAAAATTTTCCAAGACGTTCGGAGAAATTAGAAAAACTTGAATGACCGGGAAATTCAATCGAACCAAAAAATATTAATTATAAAAAGTAAATTTTCATATATTTAATTTATGTCATAATTATTAATTGGATTCTTCCCTATACTATGCATGTAAAATTATAGAACATTTTTGGTATATTATTGTTCTTCATATTTTTTAGGATTGTGGACTATTATTATCGTCAGAAGCCGAAGGACGTGGATGTTATCCTTTAGATGATCATGTTTTATGCAAGAGTTGCAATGCTAAACGTGTCCAAATGCTTACCAATCGTATGACCACTGACCTTTAAACAACTTAATGGATCTCACTTGCATATGCAAAAACACTTGACCAATTGCTGCAATATTCTTTTATTTATATAACGATCTGCTATTTCGCGTTTTGTAACTTATATACATATTACTATTAACATCTATAAAGTAAAATTATGCATAGAGAGGAAAAATCAATTCCGTGCGATCAAAACATTTATTGGATCTATATACTAATATTCGAAGATCCGTTTATGTAAAACCGCAAATACATAACACTACATTTCTAGATTCAGCAATGTTTAAAGAGTCACAGTTGTACATTCCCTTACTGACTGCATTTGAAGAAAGCATATAATACGTAAAAAAAAAAAAAAAAAAAATACTCTCATCAATCAATTCCTTTAATTAACGTGTGTTTACATAAAATATGAAATATATTCGTGGGGCATGACTCCACGTCGAGGATAGAACGTGTGTGAAATGGAGTAATTTAGCAGATTCGTTATATCACTCATGTAAATGTCGGCAAACCGAAACAGCCGCCTCGAAAAATATGTCGGATTGTGATATGTACGAAATACACTGCCAAATTGTTCATTGAATACTGTCTTAGTGTCATTCCTGAAATTAAAAATTAATTTAGTTTCCCAAAGCACTTTAAACGCACGCTATATATGTGAGAACACTTTATTTATGTTGCATGATAACGAAAAAATGGCAAGCGTGGCATGTGGATGCAATAAAAGTTCTGAATGATGCTGCAACGGGAGAAGAAATGAAATGAAATGAAATAATTTATCAGATCCATAATTACTACTCCATGTAATGAGAAATAGCTACCTTGCAAAACTGAGACGATTATATATGACATATATGATAAAAAAATTGCCAAATTATTCATCAAATACTCTCTTAGCCGATGTTGCTGAAATAAAAAATGCATTTCTTTTCGAAGTTTTAATATGAAAAAGTTTCTTATTAAAGGCTTTTTGTGTACGTGTCGTGTCCATTATTCTGTGATGTTATACATTTATTATTGCAAAACTTAAAACACAAAAGGACACATAGGAGGATATAGATCCAGAGGGGTATGAAAGCTGCAATGGAGAAACTGTACCACTATTCTTTCTAAACCAAAAGTGCTATGACAAGTGCAGCCAACACTTGGATTCCATTAAAATGCCGATGCCCGTAGCATATCCGCAAACATGTAGAAAATACGGTGTTGTGATTAGCATGAGTGGTGGGGGGGCGCGGCGCCCGGGAGTGAATTGTGAACGCAATACCTTCTCACAATCGTTTTCTACTTTTCACTAACACGATCAATTCAATCGATATGTACTTTAGCAAATATTATTAATTTTTAGCGACATGCGACAATCATTCATGCTGTATTCTATTCATGCTAGGTATTCGTTGTTTTTCTTTTCCATCTCCATGATCCTAACATGATCCTTTAGAAATTGAATTACGCGGTATTTGGGTTAAAGAAGGACAACATACGAGACTACTGGGATGAAATTCGTAGTTGATATATTTTACTACATATATTTGCGTGTACGTATATCTAGCGCGTACGTCGGGCAAGTTGGTTAACTTCATGTAGATTGTTTAGAGAATGATTTGTGTACTTTGGAGGGCGTTGGCAATATGGCTTTACGCCACACTTCTTTTCTGTCAGTTTAATCTCAAAAAAGTGAGAATTGATAACTAGTGAATATGTAAGTAGTAAGCAATGTAAGTAAAGATTCGCTATAATTTTTTTCATGTTATAAAAAATTGCTTAGTAGAATTTTTTTGCTGAAATTTATTAAAGCATTTGGCGAACATAAAATTTAGAATGCTTTCAATATGAATGAAACGAGGAAAGTAAAACAAATTTTATTCTACCCACACACACACACACTTCTACGCACATCGCAGCAAATATTCGCTTAAAAAGAGCAATCCATGCTCCTGCTATTGCTTTGAAAATGTTTAATGCACTTTGACGTCATAACAAGAAATTTTTAACAGAACTTTTGCTCATACAAATAATGAGATTGAAAGAGTAATCAATTAAATTAAAGCCTACTGTTGTTGGTAAATGAAACATCAAAAATTCTCTGAGTTTTTTAGTAGCTCTTATTTTGAACAAGCGGTTGGGACACATCCTGTTATTTCGATGTCTTTGAATATACAAATATAGAGAGACGGTAATAGAAATATGGTTAGTAATAGCGTCGTGATATTTTTATGTTTTAAGTGTGATTGATGACGGTTGATGGTAAACATATTGTTAATAATATACATTTCTGCTAAAGGATAAAGTTTTGACTATTTTTTGATTTTCGAAGCGACTTTTGTATATAATGCATATGCAGGCGAGATCTATATACAAATAGCGTATCTATAAAAAGGGGTGAGCCATAAGTTTTTTTCTTTTATTTTTTAATAATTAATATGACACTTCTTTATAACTTTCTATCCTACGAAATTTTAATTAAATTCGAGAAATTCATTGTGAACGAGCGATTTCTGAATAAAGAAAGTTGCGCAACTTTCCTTTAAAGGAGAGTTGATTTGAAAATTAAATCGTTATCCTATAAACAATGTCTGATGAAAATAAAAAAAAATTATTTTTAACACAAATACATCATTAATGCAGCGGCATATACTAAAAAATATTCAAACGATTTGCTTCGAAAGAGCTGACTCAACACTATTTTAAAATATGATAGGTCGAGTGAAAGTGGATAAGACTTTGCAATAGTTAAACACAAGTGTGACGCGATCCGTATGCATGAAATACGCACACATTAATGAAGAATTTCAATTGGCAAAAGGAAGAAGCTTCCCTCTAGAATTTACATTGCTTCAAAAGGTCCAAACTTCCTTGTCCCTAAACTTCCTTGTCAAAAAGGCTCTCAGAAATCATTAAAAATTTCTAGTTTGAATGAGTAATGAAATAAAAAACATCAAATTGTTGCAATAACGAGAAGATCGCGCCATATATTTCCCATGATGCTACCGACAAATTGGTTTTACAGTGCAGCCGAGATTATCTCGTCAAATCAGCGAATCTTTCAAAATATGACTTTTTACAGATTATCCAAATTCCTAGGATTTCGAAATATTCTAATGATAATGTTAGTTCTTAAATAAAGATGGAATGACATCTAATGTGTCATAAAAGACACATTGCTGATAAGAAAAAAAAAAAAAAAACTCAAATTGGCCCATCCTTTTTATAAAAAATGTAATGTATGAAATGATGAGCCGGATTCGTATGCAATTTTAAATACGAAATATAATAAAAGCTAAATAAAACCTAACTGATAATTGGCATCATGCGAGATTACCTTAATTTATCACGTTCTTGCATCCATTTTTGCAAACATAATTTCGCAGGCTCTAATTCATTATCTTGATTTTCTTCAATTAGTTGCGTTAGCATCTGTAACCAGTTTGCGCTCATTTTAAATTCCTGATTGTTCAAGGTATTGATTTCATGCTATTTAAATGAAATGCTCGGAAAACTAGTTAGTACCAAGAAAGATTGCTTATTACAATATACATACTGTTAACTCACTGATAATAGCACCCGTCCGCCAGCCATGTTCCAAAGTGACATCAGCTAAGTCAGAATAAGGATGATCGCCAAAATACAAAACACAATGACCTCTCCAACCAGTTAAATCTTGAAGCTGTTTAACGGTGCCCTAAGAAAAAATTGAATAAGAGATTAAAGTAAAGTTCAGTGAGTTAATGTCTGCTCTTGAACCCACTTCATAATAAATTTGACCCTTTTCGAGCCTTGTAACTCTGTCCCAGACATGGCTATCATTCCTTTCATCATATAAACGTATAGGTCGCGATTCATCAGTGAAAAATTTCGGTTTTCGTGCTTGTACAATAATAACGTCAAAATATTCGCGCCAATTATTGCCAGCCAGTAATGTCATACCGCGATTTCTAAACGAAGCGAAGTGTAAAAAAAACACATACATATATACTATTAAATTAAACAACGATTTCATTATTAGATCCGGGAGAGAGGGAATCGTCATCTGATTTACTACATAAATAAAGCGATAAGAAATGCTGTGATTTATTTACATCAATGCAAATCAAGTCATAGAATAATTTAATAAAAGTCAATTCTAATAATAAATGAAACAAATTAAACTAAAATAATTATAGTCGGATAGGGCCCTTGAGTAAAAGTGTCTTCGCCTAACACAATTTATAATCTATTTTCGTGATAAGGTATCTCAAAAACAACGTCTTTTTTCGATGTGGGCTACAGTTATATAGAACGCAGATGGTCTGATGTAGCAAAATTTATTTTCCTGTTGGGAATGCCAGCATTCTTCACCTATTTTCGCTCAAAGATGTTGCCATTTAGAGGCTTACTTTTCTCCGAAACACTTATACACGTTTAGGTTTGCAGAATAGATCATCCCTGCCCAAACTTAATCCAAATTTAATTCAGATTATCACAAATGAGATCTTGCAGTTTTCGTCGGAACTGTTATGTAATAAAGTGGTTGGTTATATATACTTTTGTGGAATTTTCCGTCACTGTCTTGCGTTAGCCCAACTAAAGGGGTTTTCGACAATTTTTTTGGAAATGAGAGAAAAGGTTGTGAAATACTAATATTCGAGGAAGCATATATCTAAGTATTAACAAGATTAGTTTTAAAAAATTGTAAAAAATTGCAAACAGCATGACGATCTCTTTAATTTAAGCAACTCAACGGTAAGCAACGCAACTGGTGCAAATTCGAATAATAAAAAAAATCGCTTAATCAACAAGTCTACAGTTGGACAAGTGCGCAGGGGATTTTAATAAGATTGATTTTTGCGTGTTTGACGAGCGTTTGCATGGAAAAGATTAAATTTTTACCCAGAAAGTCAATCTTCTATTAGGTGCTTGCATTAATTTTAATCAGCGGCTTATACACGTCAAAATGATAAAGTGATGGAAAATACCAGTGGACGTAACGGTTAAATTCGATGATTTTGACCTTTCTCCACATAAAACAACAATTTTCCATTTAATATTATTGAGTTATTCAGCGTACGCTGACGCTTCCCCATCCCATGGAGCCTTCAAAATTGGATTTTCGATCTTCATTACATTTGTTCTTTATTTGAAGAAGTCTGCTGCCGAAGCACACCATCACTTATATTTATGCTGCTCCATTATATCCCAATTGCTAATTTCGGTCGCAGCGAATTGACTGTCAATAGCATTTTTTGGTCATTTGTTGCAAAATTTCTCAAAAATACACTTTTGAAGCTCGAGTAGAAAGTTCCGCCACGCCCAGCGTATTCACCGGACATAGAGACTTCTAAATATTACGTTAGAGCAGGTCGATGCAACGTGGCATGGCTGGCACGCAGCTGTGCCAAGTGCCAAAAATGATCGATGCTGACAAACCAATATAAGTTTTTTCAACACCATATCGCTACGTTGCCGAAAGTATTGTAAAATGTTGTAAAAAACGATGGAAAATATTTTGATTATTATAGATTGCGGCAATATTTCACAATAGATGCTCATTTTAAGCAAAAAATAACCAAAATTACCGCAAGCACCTACTATTAATCAAAAAATCCTAACGGAAAATTCAGCAGAAAATATTATTTTACAGCTATCGCAAAAAACTCGAATGAGACCAATGAAAATTCCTGCATTTACGCAGCACATGGTTTGGAAAAATCGTACTTTGAGAAATGCGTTCAAGTTTTTGAAATACGTTACAGACACGCGTTTTATTGTGACAGATCGCTTATTAGCTTTTACCATTAGTCTACCATTCAACGACCATGAATGTGCCTTTCCATGTTCATATAATTTCCCTCAATTAGTTTCTTCTAAGATTTCATGTTAAAAGGCCCCGCTTTTGCTGCATCTTTCAAAGACAGGATCGTATGTGTTACAGTTTACACGTTACGGAATAGCACAAAAAAAAGACAAGAATTTATATATATATATATACAATATGAATCGATAGAAATCGAAATCGTTACTACAAACTTTTAATCCCTAGAGATGGACGGAAGCAGAGACTTTGCGGAGGGCTTGAAAAACAAATGGAAATTTGTTTGGGGGAAATCTTCTTTCTTTCAAGGAATGAACTTTTTTCCCGATTTTCTAGAAAGTTCAAAGACAACAAAAAAAATTGATTTCCTGAAAAACCTACGGTGGTGTAAACGTTTAAAACAAGTTTTGCTAATGCAAGCAGTAGCAAGTAGCATTTAAGAGTAAAGTCTTACCAACAGATGAAAGTAAGCGGCTTCGAGTCGATTTACACTTATGTTAAGTGCTTCTGACGGTTCTTACGGAAAAATCTGATTCTGTTTTCTGTAGTCTGCATATTTTACATTCGAAAATTACTTTCATTTACGACGCAACTGTGACAATTTCTTTCAAATACAAATCCCTTTCGTCTTTTCTAGAACACTTTTTCTAGTACATAGTCCGAGTTTCGTATTGCCTTTTTCTATTGCGTAGCATGCGGTCGACAGAGGAGAGAATATTTTAGGAAGTTCCATACAGTCAAGATAAGGACTCCAAACATTCGTATGAACCGCCCTAAAAAATAATAATAATGAAGTACTTTAGGCGTTTTATTATTTTCAAATAAATGTTCAGAATGTTCATAATGCTTCCTTTAACAGATTTAAATCTTATTTGTTAATTTACTTTTTACTTGTCAATTAAGTGTTCAGTTTTTAAGCTCTTCAGATTATCGAAGCAAAAAAATACATAGTTTTTAAAATTTGGAGAAGCAGGATAATGAAGACATTGTGGATGATAGTGGACAAAGAATCGGCATCAAATATTGTACCGTATAGATCCATTAATTTGTTCTTACTTACATGATGTCAATGACGAGTTGACTATGTGATAGGGAATTTGATCTAAACAAGAAGTTTTTCTTTTCACTAGGAATGTAAAGAAAATTCCGAAATGCAAAAAAAAAAAAAAACAAACAAAATTTGACCTCCATGCCAATATTTCCAATGATTTCTCTGGACTCTGGTATCGCAGCCGTAAGCTTTTCATAAAATAACAGTAATTAACACTCGATCCCCTACTATCAGCAATGCTGAACATGTGGCCTCTTTAATTAGCCAGAAATGCTTACTCGTAGGTCGTAAATTGGTTTATTGCACATTCTTGCAGCATCCTTCAAGAACTAAGCAACTGAATAAGAAAATGGCGGAAACGTCAAGGCCAAAGGACGCAAAGTGCTGGAGCCAGTTGTAGTTCGAATTCAAAGTTCCAGTTAAAGCCAAACGAGAAAAAAAATGTCACAATACTTCTTCCAGCAAAATCTCCTCAAATCAGATTCTTCACCCGACACTAGCAATTCTTCGGGCAGTTCTTCAAGCAAGAGTGAAGAAGAGTGACAGTGCAAACACAGACAAGGCAGGCCCACCACATTCTGGGTTCTGGGTTCGATTAGTGACGATGGTGATGAGCTAGCACCGCCAAAGATTAAAAACTAAATACGGGCATCAAAAAGCTCTTGAAATGTTTCGGAGAACCATACCGATATGTATTAATAAAAGAGGAGCTTTCATGTCGACGACAATATTAAATATTAATATTCTTGGATGAATATAGGATAACGTTATTAGTTTCGTTTTATTTGTTGATGAGAAAAAAAAAGGATTTCGTTAAAGAATGAAGTCCTTGGTTTGTCAGTTCTATCGTCGAATAATTTAAAAGAAAGGTTAAAAGCTGAGATATGTCGATTTTTTGATTTGCTTTCCCAAATGGTAAATATATAAATAGTTAAAATTCTGCAAAGCGGAATTGTTAGGGGGCTTAGTCCAGTAGCAAATGCAATCTGCTATAACTGAACCATAATACGACCAATTCTCTTGTCAAGAATTTATGGTATAAACTAGTTTAGAACAAACAAACGGAAACGAATTGCTTTTGCCGAACAACGAAGAAGTACCTCAAACCTGGAAAAATTACTTGATTTGAAGTTTGGGCAAAGATTAATTATACCTCATCGTCATCATCATCAAATTTTGTGCTGGTTAATTTTAAGTATACTATCTCTTACTTACACAAACGAATACGGGCTATTGGTAACCAAAAACAATTTTTTGCCGGATTGAAGCAGTTTTTCAAAATATTTTGGTAAATTCTCATTTTTTTCTATATAAGCTTCAGCATCCTTCATGACAATTTGATGCATTATAGGATGGCAAGCTTGCACGGCTGACTTGATGTCATAAAACATTATCTCAGGATGATAGTCAATATGGTTTTTTTCAAAATATTCTGCTACATTGCATAGCAAACACATTTCCGGAACTGAAAACAAGTCCGCCAATTGAACCATCTTCGCTTTTATGTTTGGCTTGAACGAAAATTGCGAGATAAGAGGAAACATTTTATTAGCGGCAATAAACGTTAGAATTACCTGATGATTTTTAGACTGACCTTCGACATAAGCTATTGGCAAAATACGATTTTTATAACATTTTAAAACTTCTTGGTCTGGAACTTTGGTAAGACCACGATACACAGATCCTAATTGAATTTGAAGAAACGAATCCAGTTTTAATAACAAGCCTTTTTCTATATCGTAATGCAAGCCCCGCACCGCAAATCCTGGTATATATTCCAATTTTGCTATAGCATCGGGATACTACAGACACTAAGTAAGCAAATATTAAATATATTCCAATACACTTATACCTTCAGTTTTTTAATCAGCATATCACGGCCAAGATTATATAACAGATCATGAAGACAGGGTTTGTAACAAGCCAATGTGTAATCGTAATCAAATCCGTATACTTCTACTTCACTTAAATCCAATTCATTGCATACAAAAACACCGCGCGAATTAACATTTTTTGGAAGTTTTTTTGACAGGCATTTCTCTTTTGTCAAGGTGTACAATAATTCAAAATCTTCTAAACTGCTTGGTTTTCTGTTAAGTCCGGTTATTTCCAAAAGTGGCGAAAGCTCATAGTCACTTGCCCGAGCGCTTTTAGAAGCGTTAAAGAAGCGTTGATTAAGCCCTTTGCTTTTCAAATATTTTGTAAGCTTCCAGGCGTTCCAGGCGCGTCCAGTATGTCCAAAATTCATTACTAAACACTGCATCTTTCGGGTCGAGTCAATAAAAAATGTAACTTATACGTCCAGATTGTTAAAAATTTTGTTTGTTGGTTATATGCGAAGAAATACAATTTCTTACTTGTATAATTAATTATATTTATTGTCAGCACTCATTGAAATTGTGGAATCGAAACATTTTTTTTAATTTTGAAGTTACCATGTTCAGTAGGCAGGTGCGCAGTAAGCGGTGTCAATTGAGAAATGCGAACTTTACATCATCACAAAGACACGAATGGATGGCAGTAAATCGGTCGGGAAGAGTTCGAGTAGTGATCGAGATTCCGTCTGTAGGAACTAAATCCACACAGCGAGCAGCTGCGAAAAATAATAATCTTGAAATTGTCTGTAATGTGCTAGCTGCAGCCACTCAAGTTGTTGTAAGTACGGAGTTGAACCCGGCTGCTATTAATAGGAATATCCTTAGTCGGAGTTTTTCAGTTCTCCAGTGTTTTCTTCTAATGAGCTAGTGGTTCCCAGCCGCAAAGCGACTTCGGCGTCGCACGTTCCTTCTACAACGACGCCAGAAATGATTAAGGAGTATGTGCAGCGGGGTATGCCGGAGGTGGATGTATTTCGTAGAAGTTTCTTCTTCCTTGCTATTAGTTTGACATTTCGGTCGACGAGCAAATCTGGTCCAAAAGTATATTAATAGGCTACTGTTCAACTAGACCGTGGGAAATGCTCAAAAAACTGAATACTGAAGTTCTTATAGTTTACCAGAACATCCGAGGTTTTAACGCGAAGTTAAAGAGAACTCTGTTAAACTCGGCTGTATTTGCCTGTCATGTTTCAATATTCATGGAGACTTGGCTGAAGCCGGGCAAGAATGGTTGCGAAATTGTTTCATTGGATTATCAATTCCTTCGATGTAATAGGATTCATAGAGCTCGCGGTGGAGTGCTTGCTGCAGTAAGGAATGTACTATGAAAGAGAGGCGACGCGTATAAATTAAATCATCTGACGCAGGGGGAATATAGGAGCAGGTGTTGTGCACATAAGATGACTGTAGTTCTACTTTAACAGCCACAAATTCCACGTCAATGGCAACATTGGTGATTTCAATTTGTCTGTCTTTACGTGATTTTTTAATGAGGACCTTGTTTATTTTACTTCTTTGTCGGTGCCGTTATTAACTAAGTTCGCCTTATGCAATGTAACCGCATTTATTTATACTAATTATATAAACGATATAAATATCTGTATCTCTGTAAACGCAACGCAACTCTGTTTTTCTAAACAAAAATTTTTTGGTTTTTTGCTCATTCCTGGCAAGTTATAAAAGATAGAAGGCTGAAGTTGTTGAGATTTCCTTTGCGGCAAGATCTGCCATCCATGTACGAAAATGGAAACAATCGGCCATGTCCACAGAAAGTTACAAGTAATTATATATTCTTTTTTTCACTTTGAAGCTTAATGGTTATTAACCATAGGGTAAACAAGAGAGAATGTTTAAAACTGTTTTGTACATGGCTCAAATGAAGATATATTTCCTGCCTAAAGATGCATTAATTCTAAAATAAATATAATGGGCACAACGACCTGACTCGCATTAATTTAGTATAGTCAATTTTCAAATTCTCGCGATAATACGCTAGAATTATTAATAAAATTGCTATAAGAAAAAAAAAAGTGGCATACATATGTATATGCATATATATATATTCCTCTGGATTTCTCTTATTAGGGATTTCGTTTCGATTACATAAAAATGGAGTAAGAGAAAAAAATTCTAAGACCAAAACCTTAAAGTACTAAGGTTATCGGCTCTATTGAAAACTCTGCCGCACTTGAGATTTGAGCCCGCGACCACTGAGTTGTTTTGAATGGAGCAACCACCTCTTCTAAGGTTACGGACTTATAACATGTTTCCGTTTCTATTGAAAACAAGTTGGGACAAGCATAATAACCTCATAGTTTCAATTGTGGAAATCAAATAAGAAGATGACTTAAAGAACACTGCATTCCTCTAGGAACTGCTGATGAAAAAAAAAACGGAATAAAAAGCCGCAAAATATTGAGAATGTTGAGCTGCCATGCTCATAGCAGCCCCGTTGTGTCCGCGGAATACAATTGGGACATTGATCTGCCCCCCCGACATGTAGAATGTTTTAGCCCCTGAATTTATAACCTTGCATCAAATTGTTTAAAGATATAAAAATCGTAAAGTATTTAGAGATCTCAATTACAACCGTGCAATAATATATTTTATTTTTTTTCAGACGAAGGAACATATTGTCGCTACTGTTGGCCCAAACCGAAAATTATATAGAGTATTCGTGTAGCGGCAAAGGAATGGAAAAACCAAAAGCTCGTAGTATATAAGGATATTATCTTAGTAATATATAAACTGGGATTATTTGGAAAAAATGAAAATCTCATATTAATCTCATGTTAATTCTTTCCATATATTCATACAAGTGCTTGAAATATAATATATAATCTTTTTTATATAAATGTATAAAAAATATGCATTTATCTCCCCTTGTACGTCTCCTCAATAGTCTTATACAATTTTTATTGGTGTGGCATTCGATTTTACCCTATTTTCAAAAATAAAATGATAATTCTTTCCATATATTCATATTATCAAACGCATTAGCAAAGTTTGGCAACCCTAAATTGTATGAGCAAGAGGAAGAATTGTCAAAAGTTTATCCAGCTGTGCATAAAAGTGTAACCAACTGTGCATAAAAGTGTATCCAATTGTCAAAAGGAAAATACACTATTCAAGTGTTTTCAAAGTGAAAACACTTAAAAATAACATTCAATTTCATAGAAAATCCCCAACGGCGCAAATTTTTTGAACTGACTGTCATTTTCATACGAAAACAGAACATTCATATTGTTAAGGGGGTCTACATTTCAATATTTCATAGTGAAAGTTGGCCCACATTAGAATAGTAGTTGATTTTATTGAATTGGCTTCGTGTATGTCTGCTGCGTAGGTTCTCGTGAAGAATAAACCTTTGTGTGGCAAAAATGTCCAGTGTTTGCTATTTTATGACGAAAATTGTTTCATGTGAACATTTTGATGTAAAATTTAATTTGAAACAAGTGTGTGAATTTTTTGGGCACTGTCGCTTATTAAAACTGCTCATGGCAAACTAACCACGATTTGCCAAAAAGGTCCAATTTTACGATGAAAATTCGGTTGTAATATGCATTTGGTCAAATTTGAACTACGTGAATGCATTTTTTGGACCCCATTCCTTATAAGTGTTCTCATGAACGGTTGCAACGAGTACTTTGATGAAGATGAATAGGAACATGCGACATGAGATGGATAAAAGATGTTAATGAATGCTTATGGGGAGTGTGATTTAATTGGCAAGACTTTTCAATAATATTTTCTATTGCGGTTAAGTTAGGCTAATTTGACACAGATACATGAGAGTAAATGCTCTGAGCTAATCGATGTCTGCTACATTATAGGTTTATATTAAATCATCATATGATTCTGAAATAGTTTGATATTGACTCATGATTGATAGAGTATGAATTCAGCAGTAGACATGGAATTAGTAAGTTATGTTAAAGAAATTCCAATTCAACAGACACAACTATTTTACTTGTTTAATGTAAGTAAGAACCATAGAATCGGGCAAGACCGGCCGTCAAATAATAATGTTATTCATTCATATTCAGGTCGTGGCACGATTTTCATGAATGCTGTTAAAGATTTTATTTCTCAGCTATTTTGTCATAAACTAGAATCTTACATACATACGGATAGATGCATACAGCTAGTATTTACCCAGTTTATGCGACTCAGCAGGTTCCGGATTTAGTGTACAAAAATTGTCAGTTGAAATAAGATATTTACAGAGATTCTAAATGCAATTCGTATCTATATTTTTGCATATTTTGCTTCGTGGACAGGAGAACAGCTTATAATAAATAATAGAAAACATAAAATACATATACATTTGGTTACAGTATTTATTATTTATAAAATAATATAAATGCCATTGTACAGTTGATTTAAAAATCTTAATCGCTTAATAACTGAGGTAGATAGTTTCTATACCCACCACCACCACCACTATGGAATATTCTTTTTGGGCGAATGTCTGTTGTTCACATCGGCTACCGACAATGGTTAACTTTTAATTCGAATTCTAGAATTCAACTGCTTTTTTATGTTTTTTTACCACAGCGCAAGAACGTCATGAAAATTTCGTCGAACAAAGATTAGTATATTTCATTAATATTAATTACAATGACAGATGAACATAAACTGTTTAAATATGATTTGTTCAATAGCTAAAGACAAGCGAGTTGCAACCAATGGACCCAAATTCGCTCGTCTTTACTCACCGTTCAACTATTGATTGGGATTGGGTTTGGGCATAAAATTCAGAAGGGTTTTCCATCTACATTTTATGTGAAAACGGATGTCATCCTCTTTCGATCAGCCAAACTAATGAATACCATTGCTCAGGTAGAAGGTGATTACGGCATTCGTGCTCAACCCAGAAAATATTATATAACTATACAGTAGTGTGTTACTCAACTCAAACATGCAATTGATCTACAATTTGTTTATTAAAAAAAAAAATTGTACTAAATGGAGTTTTGGCGATGGGTGAGAAAGATTTGCCCGAAAGCAGATTTGAATTCTCTTTTAAGTGATTTTAAATGTTTCGAATATTTAAATTTTAATTAGTTATCACCAGATGAGTCAGGGCCCCATGACATTTGACGGTGGATTCGGTGAAATATGAAAGCAATCGAATGGTTTTGTTTTAGACAACAGCAGCATTTTGTAGTTTATTTTTTTAAAACGTTTTTTGTTACCATAAAGTAACCCGTCGTATAAATTTTTAAAAATGACATCTTACTTTGTTTTGGCTGCTGCATGATGTCACGAAACGAAAAAGAGATTTAAGACAATTGCTGATTTACTGTACAGGCTTTTCGATCACATTTCAGTCTGGTAAAAAAAAAATCGATAGACTTCAGCAGTTGCATTTAAAATTCAACCCATGCCTAGTTGTATTAAAGAAATGAATGACAGATCGTCGTATTAAGTGTTATTTGTTTTTTGAATGCCTTAATTAAAAGGCTTTGTATAACTGGAATTGCAAAGGCTCCGTTGTTGTATTAAAGGAACGAATGACAGATCGTCGTATTAAGTGTTATGTGTTTTTTGAATGCGTTAATTAAAGGGCTTTGTATAACTGGAATTGCAAGGGCTCCGGACTTCAGATTAAACATTAACAAAACAGTGCTACACGTTTCCAATCGAAAATCGAAATCCCTCATTTTCACATTAGACCATTTAAAAAATTCGAATAGAAGAATGTAGAGAAAAATGATATTAAATTTTATGTATATAAAAAGAATGAATAACGTACCTTCACCAGTTTCACAAAGCAGACAACGGGAATTAATGCCTCTTAGAAGGCATCTTATCTGGTCATAATGGCTAGACTGTGCCACGCTTTGCAATCATCAACTGTAATAAGCTTAATCCATAGCTTTCCATATTTTTCTTCTTGTTTCTAGGTAAACAAGTAGATATTTATAAAAGCGGGAATGGGAATAGTATTGACATACACACTAGGACTGGTTGGTATGGATTGAATATATTAGCATTCTAAAATTATTTTAATAAATTTACAAATATGTACATTTTTTTATCGTTTGCTTAAGACTAGTATATGGTTGAAATTTGTTACATCCCTAATCGAACAATAGTATCATCTCTAGTGAAGCAGATAAGAGAACATGTAAGCGTACTTTCAATGGATATGAGTTTCCGGGCCCATTTTTTTTTTTTTTTTTTTTTTTTTTGTTATTGAAACTCTCCAGCCTACAAAATTAATATAAATAATCAATACGCACGTATAGTTGATCCCCGTTAATGAAATTTGGATATGGCCACAGTTCGCCTCACAATATTACTATTAATTGAACTTTTTGTACCCAATCAACCCAAACTAAATCGACATGAAAATGCAAGACTATAAGAAATATTCAACATGCGACAGAGAGCGAGAATCCTCTTTTCTTACTTGTTACAATATTTTTGGTATTTTTCTAATGCTCGCAAATTGGACAAAGAAAAAATTGACGATGCCCAGGGTGGCCTATAAAGACCACTCTTTTTTTGTATTCGCTGAGTAAAGAAGAACAAACTCCACCATATATAATTTTTTGTTCGTAGAAATATAAAGAAATACCCACAATGATAGTAGCATAGAATGCTTTACTCTAATCAAATATTATTATTCACCTATTTTACATATAAATTTGTGCATTGTGTAGTTGACAGTTCTTTTATAGTTAAAAGTGGGTATTTTATTTTTCTTCTGATAACTCGATATATGGATCGCTTGTGAATATATAATTTGTTTTTTTTTTTTTTTTTTTTTTGAGTTTCTACTAAATCTTAAATTTACTTAAAATGCTTACATATGTTGCGTGTCTCTAAACTATTTTGGATACACACTAGTTATCTACAATTATTAAGTACTATAATTATTAAATTATTAAATGCATAAACATATAATCGTCATTTTTGATAGTTTTTAATAAGTCTATTTGATATCAATCATCTCTTTTTCCTATTTTGGCAGTGAAAATTATAAAACTCTTTAACTATTCGGGTAAATTTATAAATACTTATACTTTTTTTTTTTAGAAATATAATATTGATATTTACATTATAATATATTATCTATATAATCGAAAAATTCGAATTTTTTATTTTTACCAGTCAGTAAAAATAGAGATTATTTATATTTTTCCATTTAAAATACAAATAAATACGCATCGAGAATCGTAAGGCGCGTCTTCAGGTTTAAAATTGGGAACTGCACGTTAAGCTAAACAACTTTTTGCCATTTAAGACTAACATGAAATAGGCAATAGGCATAAGAAAAAATATTCAAACATTTTTGTAAATGTGTATCTGTCTGTTGAATCCATGATCAGATCTCATTAAAATTTTCGCTTAGAAGCTATTTTCATCTTTACTGACTATATATATAGATAAACTTTAACAAAATTTGCTAAATAAGTTCGGTCATCCGAAACGAATCTTCTATTGCTGATGTAAAGTTCAAGTCTGCTTTGTCTGCGTAATAATTTGTTGCGCTTAGACATATATATCATAATTTTCTATTTTCGTAGAATTTTTTATTTTTTTTATTTACTATAGAAATTATATAAAGTTTTTACATATCTAAATTTATGACTAAAATAAACTTATTAAACAATTTTCAAACGCCTACATTTTTATATGAGACTTTGAGAAAGAAAAATCCTTTGGGTTTAAAATTCTTCTCAAAAAAAAAAAAAGACAAGAATTTTAGATATGCCCACTATATGAATCTTGGAAAATTATATTCGATTTATATCAATTTCAAGTTTCGTTAGCGTATAATGAGTTTTAAACCTTGCTGATTAGTTTTCGAGGTAGCTTAAAACTTAGATAGAGTACGGTAGGTAAAACGGTTAAATTGCTTTCCAAATCGAGCAAAGACACAACGAAGAAGAAGTATAAGAATAGGTACAAGTGTAAAGGAAAATTTTTTTCTTGCAATTTTTTTCTTCGTAGATTGCTTGAAAATATTAGAATACCATAAAATTGGCAAGTGATACATTAAAAAAAAAAAAAAAAAAAGTTGGAAGTGAGTTAGTTTCAAAGTAAATTGATCATAGTTTCATACATATATAATTTTTTATCAAATATGAGTATCATAGTTTGCTTAAATTTGTTTCATTATTAATAAATAAATTTACGTAAAAAGTTAATGTTAGTTAAAATACTAAAAACTAATATATCGAATTTAGATGAAAAGGTTGCATTCGCCGCATCATGTAAATGTCAAAAAAATTCTTGAAGCATGTGCACAAGTTCCATTTGGAACGATTCTTGCACCAATCTTTTGGATAATTTTGATCAAATTATGGAATAATATTTAAAGTAAGTCGCAAAATATTGTTTTATAAATTTTTACATATTTTCATACCTATATTGCTCTTAGCAGGAACTCCTTTCTCTATATGCTTGTAGCATGCTTTTGATCAATATCTGTTCTACTAGTTAAAGATGATTTTGAAAATTATGTTTTTTTGGATTTTTGTTCGATTAATTTGTTAATTTGGCCAATATTCAACAACGATGTATTGTTATACATTCGTATTCCCTAATCTTTCGACAATAACAGTTATACGTACGTGTAACCCATACGGACGGAGGCGTGCAACTACATCTATTCGAACTCTTTAGTTGACCGATGTTCGTTTGTGGGTTTTACAAAATGGTATGACCAAAATTTTGATGCCGCCTATAAAAGTTAGATTAATTTTGATGTCATGCTTGCTTTGGATATTGAAATGACCGTAAGAAATATGTTTTTTGTGTCAAAGAGCACTTTAACTTGCCACTTGTGAATTATTTTTAAACTAAAACTATTTATCAACTAAATTGTGTAAAATTCTTGGCTATGTTTTTTTTTCTTAGCTACCGCAATTTACAATAAATAATACACTGAGGTTGCTTTTCAAGTTATCATCATGGTATTGTTTGTGGTGATTCGTGTCAATTCAATCCATTGAAGCGAAGAACGTAAGTGCGAATTTCTATTATCTCTATTTTGCGACTGTATTTATGTATAAATGTGTTAGTAAGAAAATTGCTCCTGCGAAGCTCTTGTGCTAATAAGAATAATAATAAGACGTTATAAATATCTAACCCATAGACTGATGTACGATATCTTGAATTCTTCTATTAGTATTTTATAACATTTATTTCAATTTTGAAGATTTTCATTATGACAGTCAATTTGTATCGTAAAGACATTAAGACATTAATTGGTTTTGCGGAGCAATTCCAAACACAGGTATAACTTTCATAAAATTTCACTAATTGATTGAATTAATAGTAATGTTGCTTTCGCTTGATTTTTTTTAGGAACGCGACATAATTTTGATCTCAACAGTGAAATCAAATGACGACTATATAAAAAACAATTTGCGCCTTGGACAAGGATTCATCGAACACGAGAATCGGGTTAACTTAGCAATAACTCGCGCACGGAGCCTTGTTGTAATATAAGGCAATCCCGACCTATTCATTTTGGATCCTCATTGGCGCATGATTATCAAGTACTGCTTCGATAATAATGCCTACTTCGATGTGGAGTTTCGACGCTTTAATATAAAAACCTAAAGTCTTTTCGAAATTATCTAAAATATTTTTTTAAGGTTTCCCTACAATTAAAGCTCAAACGGTTTTTAAACGGCTTCCTACTCGACGTGGTGAATACCGCATTCAAAAACCAATGTTTCAGAAGATGTTCGTTGCACCCAAAAATTTGACATTTCCTAGAAATTTAAAACTAAAAAGCGAAGAAGCCCAAAAGCGAAGCTGAAAAGCAGAAGCAACTCGAGGATATGCTGCCGCAGTCACTAAGCCGAGCGAAAATACTCGGCTGTATTCTTCTCCGTAACGCGCGGTAAGGATACCCCCTGATTAAATATGTACGAAGCGAAGATGGTGGGTTGTATTTAATTTTAAGGCACAATCCCTTCTTGCCTTCGCGTGGATTGTAATGAAACTTAAAGGAGATATTTAACATTACAAAAAAATTCTTCCAATTCTTCAACTATTACAAAAAGCGAAGTTTATTAATACTGTAGAATAACACCATCAATTTTGTGAACTTACGAAGCACCAATTAAGTATTACTTTATGTCCCAAATACAAATGTTTTCGTTGTAGCAAGTTTACTTTTCATAACTACACTAAGGTAGCAAAAAAATCACAAGAAGAAAATTGGTTTCGAGACTTGTTTGATATTCCATTTTATAAACAAAAATTGGAAGTCGTAAAAGAATGGTAAGAATTTTGTGGCCAGTATTCAAGCTCATTGAATAGTGATATCCATACGAAATGAACAAGAACAATATTCGGAAATTAAAAATGCCCAGTGTAATTAAAGAATTTCCTTACTTTTTTTCTTTATTCGGATATGGACAATACCTTAGATTTTTGTGACAATGGCACAGCAATGCCAGGACATACAGTTATAAACGTAGTCTCATATGTAATTCGTTGCTATTGTTCGGTCTAATTTTTACTTTAGGATAAATTCAATGAAAAAGCAACAGTACTTGTCATACGATATATTTAAAAGGTCCTACTATCTCTCTCTCTCTCTCTCTCTCTTTCTCTTTCTAACTTTGAAATTATTTCAGATTATCTCTCTGAAAATGTAGGCACACTTAAAATAGCCATTTATATAAAATTGATGGCTTAGTGACTTAGAAATCCAGCTCTTACTCCAAACTCAGTTACCCGCATCCTACTTGGGGCAAAGAAAATAGGTTATGAGAAAATATCTGATCATGTTAGTTGCTTGAAAAATTAAAAGAATCAAACAGCCAAGCAGTTTCTAAGCTCGACTATCAAGTCGGCATAGAGGCATTCAATTCCCAGTGCGGGATAGAATTTCAGGCGGTAAAGGTATAATACTTCACCGATCGGGAATGAATCTCACAGGCGATGCTTACACTCTATCTATCTCTTACAGGCATTTGTATGGGAAATTCCCTGAGTGATTAGTCATATGCAATTTATCTCTGCGGGAAAATATTAAAATAAATATTAAATTGGATATTTTGTGTTACAAAGAATGAAAAAAAGTAATCACAAAACAGAAAAGATGTTACTTGTAAATACATATACACATGTTTGTACGGATTCGTTTTCTCTCATTTAATCGTTAGCTATTTCTTGAGATCCAACTCACAAATTGGAAATTGGAAAATGTAAAATTACTCTTTGCACTCAAAGTAAAGGAACGTTTTACTCCGGGAAATTTAATGCACAATTTTTTTTCTGCTTAGCATATCTAACCTATAGGTCGTCATTTAGAGATTGAGTGCACCGAAATTCTTTCATCTCACATGCTTTCAAATGAAAAACTTTATTGTTATAATATTTCAAAACAAAAATTAGAAGAATGAAATTATACTAACCCCCGCATATAGCGAACCTTTGCTATTTATTTGTGAATGCTCTGTATTGCCTTTTAAATAAGGATAAAACAACAGTTATGAAGAATGGAAAAAATTTTGAAAATATTTCAAAAAATATTACAACTCAGCACTTTTCCACAAATCGCTCCTTTTAAAAATGTTTGCACAACATTCGGCTTACAAAATAATGTGTATATAACATTTTTGTAGCTTCTTCGTAGAATTGTTCGTTTTATCGTTCATGACCCTTCTAAATTCTTTACTACTAATGAAATTGAATTTAACCGCTTAAGTGCTGAGCATAGCGCTTCATCGCACTTAATTAATCAGATTTTCAATTATACCTTTAACGTCATACCTTATTGCAAACGAAAATAACTGAAAAGCTATATATGTTTTCAGAGCATTACTTGCCAAAAGAAATAATGAATTCTTATTTCAAATGGAACTTCTTTCACCTTCTTCAGTAGGAATTTCATTTTCTCTGTATTCTTCGTCTCTATGCCGATTCTGAGTGATAGCTAGCATCGCTTCTTATTTTTAATAATGAGTGAATCCAAATTAAATCTTTAGAAATAAGCTGATTTCTATAAATATGAGATGCGTGACAACTTTTTAACGTCCAAAATACCAAAAAAAATTAATGACAAAAGAACTAATTCTGATGGTTGCTGACAATAACCTACGATGCTCCCGATGCGTAGTTGTATACATATACATATGTTTACCTATACATAACCTGCTTATACAAAATGTCTTAACGATTTCCGCCTCTGTTTTCGTTCCTTTTGTACCCCTTCGCAAATAGTGGTTCGATGATCGGATATGTAGTTTGTTAGAGGACAGCCGGCTGGAGGAGTTTTTTCTTCTACATCATTTATGCATTTACCATCGTCGCTATCCGAAGTTGTGGTGGAATCGTTATCGTATTCCAATTGTAAATTTTGTTTACTTAATCTAGCCTCGCATTCAAAAAATCTGGGCGAGTATGGCAGTTTAAAGGCAGTCATTAGTAAATTTTCCACTTTGTTCTTCTCAGCCGGTTGCATATGTTTTATGTTTATAGTTTTCACGTACGGTTCTTCGCTTTCCGGAAGCCATTCATCTGAAATTCTAAATGAATCAAACGAATTATAATCAGAATAAAAAGTTTTTTTTCTTTTTCGAACTTACATCTCCCCAGGCGACCATCGTATAAAGCATTCGAATGAGCCGGCAAATGTCTTCCGACGCAGTACACATTGGCCTTGAAATGTAATACAACCGTAACCATTAGTTAGCGTACTAATTTGCCGTAAACGATGTTGCAACGCTTCCATAATTCCCGCATCAAAGAAATCAAACATACGAGCTATACAAAGAAACCAAAGTTGCATTTATAAAATGTTCTTTATGTTCAAAATCTAGCTATTTAGTAAATGTATTAATTTTATTGAAGTAACTGCTCCCGTAAGTATGCCTCGAAAATTTGCATTCAAATCATTTGCATACACTTTCAGCAAACAAAAAAGAATATACGATAAAACAATTCTACCGAACAAAGAAAATTCACCTTTTGAAAAACAACGGTCACCATTTTCTTGTAATAGACTCTTCTAAGAGGGACATCTTATGCAGCAGTATATGCCAAAGGGCAAATCCAGGTTAACCATGTCCCACACAATAACGATTAGACATTTGTAACCGAGGCTAGAGCTATTCTTGAAGCAACAAAGCTTACTTACGAACCCAAACTCCGAACGGTTATCATCACAGATAACTTATCGATTATAAAAACCCTTCGAAACCCCTCAAATTTCAACCCATGCACCATTAACAAAGAAACGAATACACTATTGCGATTTCCAGAAGTAGTATTAAAATTTGTTCAGTCGCAGTTAGGGCAGTGGAAAAAATTAAAGAGTAAATTGACGAAACATGCAGACAGTAGTACCATGTGCACAATGAATTCAATTCTCGTTCCCTCATTATTATTGTATATCCAATCAGTCTCGAGAAAATCAAGATGGGCAAGAATTTGTCTTGACCACACCAAAGGATTCTTATAGCAATCTATTCCTCGAATGTATAAGTGTGGACAAAATCTTACCACTAGACGCTTTGTGACTGCTAAAATGTTTGCAACATTCAAAGATTCGTATTCGCAGGGTCTAAACCTATTGACATTTTGAGAAGAGAAAATATTTAACTTTTTTACAGCCGACCATCTAGTCTATTCTTTAGAAAAAGAGATCCCACAGTCTTGCTTACTAGCGCTCATCTTATTTTTAGTCCCAGAATTTATTGCTTTGTTCTTAATAAATTGTAATCATAGTAGTGAAAAAAAAAAAAAACGTTAAAAAAAAAAACGTTAAGTAGAAAAAATATTCACCTCATTTTACCCCAGCAAAAATTGTTTCTAATACCCTGCAGCTCGTTATGATCATTTTGACACGCTATTAAACTACGGTGAATGATTAATTGAAAGTTGATCACTCAATTCATTTCTGACAAAATGAAATCGCATAAAAAAGCAGCAATTCATTTTTTTTCTTTGTCCATAGATTATGTCCTGCACCGGATAAAATCGTTCTTCCATTTAAAATTAATGTACCTTACGTTCTAGTAAGAGTATGCTATGAACGTCTTACTGCATTGATAAGACCATCGCTTATAAAAATCTGCAATTTTTTTTTACACTTGCAAGAAATGGTAGAAATTAAATAAATGAAAATTGCGAGTTGTAGCTTTCCTAAGCTGGCGATACATCTGCAAAATCGCTTGTCCCTCAAGAGTACCCCAGAGCAGATTCTTAACTATTTTTAGGACAATCGTACCGAACTTTATAAATTTTGCTTTGCTTAAGCGGAAATAACGCAAGAGAGAATTTTATGTTCTCGGTAATTTTGAATCCTTAATGCTACGAAATTTGCAAAAAGACTGGTTGTTCAGCGGAGGACTCAAGAGACACTCTAAAGTTATGACTGCAAATATGCATTGGTAGTTGGATTTCGCAGAGAATAAATTAGTGAATCAGTGAAATTGTGATGGGTGTTGCCATTTTCGATGCGAAAACACTTTTCTTTAATAGCAACTTATCAAAAGATTATCATCCTACAAAATTTGATGATTGTATAGAAGCCTACTGTACTATGAGGCGATTTTAAATCAATGTTTGAGGAGCCATATTTCATAGAAATATGGTTATTTTAAATAACTTCCCAATATAAAATAACGCGAATTGAAAGGTAGGCTTAAATAAAAAAATTGGAACCGGAACTTTATATGTTCACCTGAAAATGGTTGACGGCGGTATCGAAGTTTCTTGCCATTTTTTCGCAATTGTTTCGGTACTGGGGGATCGGATGTCCGTTTATTCGATCCCTCTTTTGATTCCGTGGCAGTGAAATGATTATTCACATGTTTTTGTAGAGCCAACTGCAATAAAAAGCATTAAAGTGATAAATGAATAAAACTAAAAATTCAATTAGAAATTCACTCACTTGGGATCCAAAACGAAGACCGCAACCTTCCACAATACACTTGAACTGTTTGGAGCCTCCATGTGATAAAACATGTCGTTCGAGCCAACGTCGTGAGCAGGACTCTTTATTGTATACTTTGCAACCAACCCAAAGACATGAAAATGGTCCAGTCTGAATGTTAACGTGTTGATTTTGCATATGGTCAAGTAATTTAGAATTACTTTCATATTTTTGATTGCATTTGTTCCAATGGCATACACCGTCAGACCGTTTGCCTGTTTTTGTACCAAGAAAACACCTTGATTCGGGCGGAAATCGTATAGTTTTTGGTTGTGACAAAATTGGAGAAATTGTACTCTTTGGCAATAAAACGTATGCGGCTTCAGTTAATTTTGTATCAATTGGACAAATGGCGGCTTCCGATGTTATATGGTATTCCCTAGGCAATTCAATATTTATGGATTCGGAATTCGAAAAAACACGTTTCTCTTTTCCAGATAATTGCCGCAATTGCGCAACAGTTGTCGGGCATAAAGTCGAGGTTGGAGATTTTGCGCAGGAGTCTGAACTTTCGTTCCTGCTAAAGCTGCCGCAAATGCCTGATTCAGGCGATGGTAAAACACGACTTTGTGTTTCCTTTACAAGCGCTTTATCTCTAAATGTTTTTGATGACATATTAACACTTGATTCCTCCGATTCGGGCAAACTGCAAGTCAGTGCTACCATTTCGCTTAACGTATCTTGAGACAAAACTCCCGTGACGCATGTTAAAGGAGTAGAATTGTTTATCATACAAAGCTGAAGGTTACTATTTGGTGAGGTTGGTTCCATTGAAGCAGAGCACGAAGAAGGTGTCGCGGAAATTGTAGTTAACGTGGAAGTCTCTAACGATATATCAGTTCTAGAAGATGTTGAATTTGTATGTGAACTAAATGATGAGGAGGAGTTCTCTTGATGAATTACATCGTGTATTTTCTCATTTTCGCTAGCATTGCCGTTGAGCTGTTCCTTCTTTATGTCAATACGTTTTATATTTGTGGAACTTATAAGGTCCGTTTCCTTAAAGTCGTTGCACTTTTTGCTAGAAATTATTGCTAAAGCGGATGATTCTTCTAGTGGTTCATCTTTGATGTCATAAAATGAATTAGATAGCGGCAATGGTTTGCGGGAGATATTTTTCGGTATTTCTGCGGGAACACTTTTCGAATTTTTTATCAAATCAAACAAATCAGCAGTAGGTTTAGGCTTATCTAACATTTTAGAATCATTGCCTTCGAGCTTCTCAAGAAGTTTATTACATACGTTTGAGAACGATACTGACGTATCACTTGATTCAATGGTTGCGCTGGAACTATTGCTTACAGATGTACATCCACAATTTTTGCTTTTCGAAAGAATTGCAGTTTTATCAATGTGCGCTTTGGCCCCACCAGTGCTGGTAAACGCGTCTTTCGAAATTCTTGGTGTTGTTGTCGAAGTGTTCACTATGCTTACCAAAGAAGGTGTAAAAAGTGGAGAGGCTTGACTTACGCAATTTGGAGACGGACGAGAGGCTATCAAATTAGCTTTCGAGGGCACTACTTGCAAAGCTTTAGTTTGTATTGTTGGAACAAGAGGCGGGGGGGTAGTTGAAGTAGCAAATATTTTCCCGCTTGTCATACCAATTTTGCTAGTCTTCACTTTATTTACATGGGAGTTTGCGATCTTTGCATGTGTAGCTGCTAATTTCGTCGTATTCTTTTGATACGGCTTTGTCTGGGCAGACTGCTTCTGAATCAACGCCTTTGTACATAAATTCGAGGAGGAATTGACTGTTGTGGCATGCGTTACAAGGTGAGATCTTCCTTTTGCATTTGAAATAGTTACTAGTGGAGGTGGCTGGGAACTCAATGTTGGATAAGAAGTCGGGGATGCTGTCGCTTTGACTAAAGTCAATTTGGGTGCAACCGATTGCGGTTGCTTTTGCAATGCGGTTTGCAATGGAGATAAATTGTTCGAAATATTAAGTGTAACCGATGAAAGCGGCGGTGGTTGGGTGGAAGTAATAAATTGCTGTTGCTGTTGAGTAAGGGCAAGTTGTGCTATTTGTTGTTGTTGTATATCGCCTTGTTCCGGTTGTTGAGTTTGCGGAGCGAATATGGAGCTTAGCGCGGGAAGAGGATTTTGTTGTATCGGTTGAAGTGCGGGCAAAGCAATTGCTTTTTGTTGTTGCGATTGCTGATTACTAACAGCAATAACGGCAGCTGCTTGGGCCAACATGGTTGGTAACGAAGCAGCATTTAACAAAAGCCCCGCTGGCGTTGTCATAAATACAGGTTGTGATATATTTGCCGCATTATTCATACGCTGTAATTGCTGAAACTGTGCCTGTTGCTGTTGACTTGCAGCGACAGCAGCAGCTATTTGCTGTTGAAATATTTCTTGAAAACTTGTGGTGGTCGTCGTAATAGCGGCTTTCTGCTGCTGTTGCTTTAAAATTAGTTCTTGCAAATCACTAGCACTTAAGAAATTGAAAGGGTTTGGATTAGAAGATGCGGCTGATGTCGCTGTTGTCGTTGTTGCTGTTGTGAATTGTTGCAATTTAAAAACAGTTCCATTCAAGAAATATTGTGAGGCAGCAGATTGCGCTGCTTGAGCTGAAGTAGTCGCCGAGGGCGTGGTATTGGTAGAAGCCGTTTTGGCTACTGCAGACGTTGGGCCAAGGTTGTTAAGCTGCATCATATTGGAGCTATTGGTAGCTAACAAATGCGGTAATTGAACTAGATTTGGTATTTGCAGTGGTAACTGATAAACTGTTGTACTGCCTGAAGCAGTGTTCGCCACTGCGGTATTAGTGTTCGAAGGAGTCGAATGTGGTGTCGATTTTGTAACTTGGCACACTTGTTTCGACGCTGTCGGCTGTGTAGGTGGCAATCGAATGGCAGTTAAAAGAACTGTTGGTGGCTGACTTGTGGAATTGGTGGGTTGGTGGGCAGCTGTAAACGACTTGGAGCTCTCTGGTTTAGTGAGCACAGGTTTTGACTGCTGTTTCATTTCCGGTGTTCGAGGGGCAATGGCCACATGCCTTTTTATTGGCGATTTACCGTTGATTTCTGCTGATGACAACGAATTGTTGTAGCTACTGCTGGAGGAGACTTTTCGTAAATTTGGAGCTACTTGAGCAATTTTTGTCGGCTTACTCCGTTCAATCTTTTTCAGCGCAGGCATTGTCGCACTCCTCTGCGGAGCTAGAAGGGAAGGTGACTCTTCAGATGATTCTGCTTTACTTTCGTTACTAACTTCAATATTGCTACATAGTCTGTTGTCGCCATTATTTTCCTTTATTTGCGCTAAAACGTTAAAATATTTATTCAATGAGGCAGTCGTAGCTGGGGCATTCATAGCAAGATTGTTTGGTTTTAAACAGCTCGGTTTAGTGCTGACTCCATTGACAGGACTATTTGTTATACCAGTCTGCTTAGCGCTGCCATTACTTAAAGGCATTTGCAATTTCATTTGTGATTTAAAATAACCTGTAATTTTTGTTTGCGACTCTTCGAGAGAAGCATTTCTCAGTCTTTTAGAAACGTTGGCTCCACCGTTAGAATTAGGTGTAATCTTTACCGTTTGTCCATCAGTATTTGAAATAATCGACACCGCTGCGCATGATCGAGCTTTCTTTGATAAGAAATTGTCTCCACCATTCGATTGAGAAGCTAAACGTTTTTTCGCCTGGACTTGCGAAGAATGCGTGCCTGTCCCAACTGCTGAGCTACTATTCCACGGCCATTGGAGTACAGGTAACATGGTGGCATTTTTGGCATCATTATAACTTTTTTTAACAGTTTTTTCGACCGGTAACTTCAATTTGGATGAATTAACTATTGTTGTGCCTCCACCATTTACGTCTCTACTCATGTTCGATACTGATACTGAAATTAAATTCTGAGGCGGCGTGGAGGTAACACTAGTATTTATTTCTTTCAAAGTTTGCGGCGACATTTTTGTTCTCTCATTTACAATCTTTATTGAAGTTTTTGGTAAATGTTGAAGGTCGTCGCATGATCCCAGATGACCGCTAAGGGGTGAATTAGGTTCAGAAGCATCTTCGTTAGATCCAATATTGGAATCAGTGCAACTGACAGAAGTTGCTACACCACTGCAATTGAAATTAACAAAATTATTATTATAATAATGAATGTAATAAAGTAATTATGTCTTGTCTTATATTTACTTCTATTTATTGACGTCCTTCTTGTTGTCATTAATAATGTGAAAAACTACATTTATGAAAGCTGGGAGGCAAACTGATGGAAAGATTATTCATTAAAACTGTATTTTGCAATAAGATGCTTCAAAAAATCACAGCAATTAGTTAAGACCAAGGACCAGCTTTCATTTTGCGCTCCATGGTCGCTCGTTCTCGATATAAATTAAAATATGAGCAAAAGAAAGATAGCAGTTGCGAACATAGGGGTAGTAAAAATAGGGGGATTTTTTTTTTTTTTTTTTTTTTTTCGTACTCTTAACAAGTCATTTTATTATTTTTGCTATGTATTTATTTTTTTGCAGACATAGAGTAAACATATTTTTAATGCGCTTAAGGAAAAAAAAAAAAAAGACCAGAGAGAGAGACTATAAGACTGTGCTTAAGTGTAAATATTAAAATAGTTTCAATATAAATCGTAAAATGTGCGCAAATATCTGTGCACTGCCAGTGGATTTGTCATTTATATTATAATATTAAAAAATAAAAAAAAACATCGTAGGCACTTCTTTCATTCTTACAACTAAAAACACTTTCATATTTATGGACTTTTTATTTTGATTTTCTTTCACGCAAAGGCTGGGAGAAACCAAGAGAGCGAAAGAGAGTGAAGAAAGGAACGCAAAGCAGCCGTGCACAATTTAACGTATACAGAAAAATTGATTTTTTTTTTCCTCACAAAGTTACACACGCTTTCCTATATGAAACACAATTTTACACCATGTAATTCTTTGTTGTGCCAGGACAAATATGCATAAGTGTATAAGTCGGCTAACAAATGTTTGCGTATTGACGTGATTAAATTAGAGAAGAAAATTATTAAACTCTTTTTATATAAAAATGTAACGGTTTTTTTTTTATTTTAATTTACTTCGACTTTTAAAACAAATGCATATGAAAAGCTTAAACTAAATTAAAATAATTTCACGGCGCGATCCTTAAAATTAACTAAAAATTATTCAATATTTTCCTAATATATTAAACATCCGTGCTGTTTAAGGGAAATTTTTCGACTACTTCATCGAAAACGCAGTGTTTTTAAAACTCCCAATACACCAATACCGTCGTTTTATAAAAAATGTGTGTGTACGTAGAATTATAGAGAAATAAAATGGGAATCAGGAAATGGTTAGATTTCCCACTATTTTTCCTAAGCAGTGTAGACATAATAAAAATGATGCTCTCTAGCCTACAAAGTACAATCGACTGCCTATTATTGCAAATACGGCACACCACCGTTCTTAGTGCATTTACGCACAGCCAGGCAGGTATTTATATAAATGTACTCACAAATTGAATTGCTCGCTCAAATATTCACCGTAATATCTACAAAGATAAATTTCTTGCGACAATGCGACAACGAGTTGAAGGGTTGCAATGTCAGATTTTCATAGTCGATGATATCCATAAGTCTTGATCCATTCTCTAAAATTACACTTTCCGGTTTGATTACTCCCCCGAAGCATCATCATATTTTGTCAGCTGCTTTTCCTAGCTTACGAAATACATGAAAGATAATTGCGGAGAAAGTCAACAAAAACGGAGTACAAAATCACTTGCTCTATAATCTTCGTTTAGGTTAGGTTGGTGACCAAATTTCTCTCTCTTCGATATTTCACTTTTAAGCACGAAATATGTATGGCGAAGGCTCCTTTAAATTTTATATACTTTTATTTATGTTCCTAAACTCTTCAAACACTTGCGTTTCGACGTTACATAGGTAGAAATAAAACCGCACATGACGAATACGTAGTTTAGCCTTTGTACTTACGTTGAAATCTTTTTCGTGTCAAAATTTCATCTCTGCTTTAATTACTAAGTAAATGCTAACAATCTCTTCTTGTCTTTACTGACTGTAACATAAATATTTATTAATGCTGTTCAAAATATTGCGAATCCAACAGTCTTATTAATTTTGCCAAACCGTTCTAAATTCTAAATTGAATTCTAAATTTAAGCATGTCCGTCCGGCTGTCCGCCTGTCTGTGTAATGTCTTGTCAATATTCTTCTGGCCAAAAAAATCAGCAGAAACATTGAAAGTTCTTGCACGCAGGTTGGTATTGAAAATGGGGCAAAATTCAACGAAGGGCACGCCCACAATCGGAGAACATCTCTGTTTTTCAAAAGGAATAAAAATTGGTTTTTTACTCATTACTCATAAGCAGTAGTAGTTAAATGTATAAAAATTTCAACGCATATTATATGAGCGATGTAGTAGTAGTATCTGTACAGAAATGAAAACAAATTGGCCACACCTACCCGATATTATAGTGTAGTTTGTCAAAGTTTACTCTTTTTTTTCAATACCTTTATAACGAGCGGACAGAGGCTTCAAAAACCTCCTAAAGTATATAACGTGTCTGTCTACCAAATTGTGTAGCGTCTGTGGTAACGATTCAACCGCTTGCAAAAGAGTTTGGAAGCGACCTACACTTTTCAAAGAACGCGCCTGCAACACCCACAAACCTATGCGACAGAAACCTTTATTTTGACAATACAAAAAATTAACCGCGTCCGCTCCATATTATGCATCATGAAAATTTGGTTCTTTTACATTTTTGTTGTTCTTTTTTAGGATAGCAGTAATGGGTATCAAAGATTCGGCCACGACCGAATATAATTCTCTTATTTATTATTGCTTAAATTAGGATGGCGAGCAATTTGTTGTATTGGCAAGATATCTCACAGAGTTCTTTGCACCGGCGCAGCATAGCCTCCACTGTCTGTGACTTAATCAATTATACATTTGATGTATGTTGGCAGCGCTGATAGGTTTGAGAAAGGTTTGTTGTGGCATACAACTGCTACATGAGTATTTTGACAGAGAAATTACCTATTATTTGTACTACGTAGGTCTATTTTTTAACACTCCGTACCATGCAACGGTACTCATAAAAATTAAGGTTATGTATAGAAATAAAGTTCAGTTTAAATATTTTTGTAGCAAAAAAAATCTTTTTAATGTCAGTTGTGTTATGAACTTTGGCATATAATGGTTCCCACAAAGAATTTGCCTTTAGACGGAGTCAAGATATAATTGTTATTATATAAAGAATTGTATAGGCGAGGTGATGTGGACTATACTCTCCTCGCCTGTTTCGTTTTAAAGTATATTCGAAACAATGAACGTCTAATAAAACATCATTCAATCAATATTCAAATCAGATGAAATCAAAAATATCGTTTCGTAAATGAGATCTTCATTCTCGTTACCAAAGAAATAAGGGCAACTACTGCCCGATCAGCCGAAAAATCATATCAAACGCTTTTGCGCAATATAAAGATGGCTCATAAATTGTGGTTTGGTTTCACGTCGAAAAAACAGTTTTCTTTATTCAGTGAACCACGAGATGAAAATAAGCGCCTTGTAAGAACACAACTTTTTCGGAAAAATCGCTATGGTTTTCAAGTAAAACATAATTGTTTGGAGAACCAAATTTTTTCGCAATATTCGCCAAGTAGAACTCGCTTACAAAGCCAATTGTTGTAGCAATCAATAAATTTGGAAATGGAGCAGCATGTTTCTGAACGGCAGGGACGTTTCCCTGCTTCGAACAGTCTTTTCAATATCATCTAAGTAGAAAGTGCCTTCAAAATAATATTCGGAATTGACGGAAATTGCTAAACTGTCTCAACATAATTTCTTTTGACAAAATGTTTGGATAATTTGCTTACGGCGCGAATATTCTTCCATGATAAAATGGCAAACTTTACTGAACGCAGCTTATAAAGTCAGAACATGACATTTACAGAAATGCAAACGTAGCCTGACGTTGAATATCCTGCACCAATTTCATACATACAATGGTTCATATTTATTTCAATGTTCAAATGTCAAAAATTACGCTTCGTTTACTTGAAAAGGCATACTTTTCATGGTGACCATTCCTCATGGAAATAAGGCTGCATGGGCCGCGAATTTCCTTTAGTAAAATATTGCAAATTTGCCTTTAAGCTTATTTTTCAGAAGAACCTTCAAAAATTGTTGTTGGGTTTTACAAACAGTTTTTATGTCCAATTCGTCGTCCTAAAAAGACTGCATCATCGCATCGAAATTTATCGCATCAATTTGGAACCTCGAAATATTGAAAATTGCAATTTTTCAAAAGATATACTGCGGTCGCAAAAATGATCCGATCTAATCTAGTATATGTTCAATAGCAGGCACGTCGAAATACCAAATGTCGTTAAAATATCTCAAAAATTCAAAAACTCGATTGAACACACTAGATTGAACATACGCAGACATTAGAAACGCAAGACTATATTGATTCGGAAAATGATTCTGAAAAGCTTGGTGTATGTTAAATACTTCTTCATGTTATATACATCTGTATAAATTTACTATGCCTCTTACTATTAATGAGACAAGATTTAAACATGTCGTCAATGTGAATATAATACAAAAACCGAATAAGGATGTGACCGGAAACTTGACTTAAATCCATTCTGCAGTTGGGAGTTAAATTGAGAGGCGGACATTGCACAATATTTGCGACATATTTTTAATCGACTATGGCTTTTCGTAAAGCTCTCTCGCTTTTGTAAAGTGTGTCGCCCATTATTCTTACGACGAACGTAAGACAGAGCCCACAGTAGCAAAACAGCTTAGGTTTGAAAATACTTTACCGATATTCCACTTTTTTGAAAAAAATGCAACCTGTTTGGGAAGTTGTTCTATAACTATACTCTCATAGCTCAGAGCTGCGGTTTTTCGAATCATAACCACGTAGTGCGGCGTTGTGTTAACAGCGATTATAATATAATTTTGTGTAAGTGATGATAACTAACCCCATTGATTGCTCAATTATGTTGCGAATTGCTAAAGAGAAGAGCGCCACTTATATGCGTTGGGATTATGATTAGTAGAAAGACGAATAAAAGATTTTTCGAAAATAGTTTGAAAATCATGTGATTTAGAATTCGCATTCAAAACTTTAGTTTGAAAGAGGCATAGCAAACATTGATTTCATATGCATCTACAATTTGGGAAGTAGTACATCTACGAATGTATCTATGAAAGACTTCTTTTTAAAAAGAAAGGAGTAGTTTACGCTGTGAATTCGAACTAGTTACGTGCGCATCCTGTGTATTCACATTAATGCTATTCAAATACTCAATGGGTGTTAAATCCATCATCGAAAGACCGAAGTAGTATATCAATTTTAGCAAAACCTACAGAGATTTCTATTTCCACTTGAAATTCTTGCAGCTTCTGAGAATATTAATGATGGAAAAAATTAGGTAATTCGGCAATCAATGAATTATATAAATTGTAGTGTGTAATTCTCGCCTCCCAACATGTATTGGAACCATTTAACAAAAATTCCAAATTTTTACATTCCTTTTAGCTTCAATTGTTCGAATCAAATTTGTCTATCAAATTTCCGAAAATTTTTTTCCAAGCGTTGCATAGCTTAGAACACCTATGACTCCGATTAAAAACATTCGGGGGGGAATCATTTAAAAATGATGTAAGTGAAATGGAAATTTATGTGTCTAAAAAAACTTGAATTTGAACAATGATTTTCCTTTACTTTGTTTTACTTATTTCATTGGTGTTTTCGTTCGGACGCTTGGCGATAATAACTTGGTGACATAAACTCAAAAATCGTAAATTGGGTGACGAAGTTGCTGTTTGAAGAATAAAAGTTGGTCATGCTCAACCAATTTTGAAGAACTATGGCGCGAGTGAAATGACTTATCTCAACAATTTGCAAACTGTCTATCACACTTGGGCGAAGCACCGCACAGCCGAATTTCAGCATAGGCCGCCTTAAAATCACATGCAAAAAGACTTCGTCTACTGGGTTCTAGAAAAAAAATTGAAAATTGTATCGTGCCACCTTGATTGAAAACGTAGTTAATTTAGGCAGTTTTCAAAAACTATTACTAATTCCAATAACAAAAGCACGCCGAAAATTTTAGCACTTGTCACCTAACCTGTACACAAGCTAAATTATTTAAGTTCAAACAGATTGAAATTTTTCAGTTGGACTTCAGATGGGCTTTTATAAAAACGCCGAAAGCTGATCTGTTTATTGCCACGTTTAGGAATAAAACTTACTAAAACTTATTATCCAAAGTTAAAAAAAAACCAATTTGATAGTAATAGATTCACTGAAATTGGATAAAGTGACCACAACGTTATTAGGCACTTTAAAAATATCGTAACTGTTACCACTGCATTGCTTGCTACTGCAAGGCAATACAACTCAACACGGATTTCGTAAGAAATGTAAGACACATGCATACGTACCTATCGGAGGATTCAGATGAATCATATCGGTCGGTGCAGCGCTTGGTTTTCTCGGCATTAGCTTTGAGCGAAGAATTATGCTTTTTCAAGCGGATAAACGATGTCCCACTGCTGTCAAATGTTTCTGAACTTGTTGCCTGTTTTTTGGATAAATTAGAGTTAGATTCATCTATTTTCATAACGTCAGTTGGCATTGTTGTTGCATTGGGCTGTTTTTCATTTTTTAATAAAGAGAGCTGTGATTCGAAATGTGGAACACTGGAACTATATGCCGAGATAGTGCTTTTTAATGCCTCTTCAGACTTATTTTGTTCTTGTGACAAGTTAATCACACTTTGAAGCACTTGCGAATCACATAAATCCCCTCCACTTACATCATCTTTTTCACTATTTTTTGAATTATTGAACAACGCGAGGACAGTAAGTTGCTGTTTATTGTCTACCAATTTCTTTATTGACGACATAATTATATGCAAATTTTAGCATTTTTTATCTGATCAGACATCCTTCTCCTATACTGAGAAGCTTTCACATTTTATTTTTTTTATAAGAAGGCTTTAGAGTCTATACATCTGTACGTTTACATTGAGTATAGGTTAATTTCCGGCCTACTAAAATTAGTTTGGTGTGTTTTTAGATATTCTTTTTCTTTTTTACATATTTCTTTGTTTTTTTGTCGGAAATATGTCGTAACCGGTTTCAAATGCAATCGGTCGCCTATGTTTTTTAATGCGCCTGTTATTGTTTCTTTTGTGTGTCTATTTGCTTAGAATTAATTCCAATACACCAAATGGAAGCATTGAGTTTTCAACTTGTTTAAAATCATAAAGCGACTTGTTTCCAAAATTGTGAAGTTCGCGTGGACCACGAAGTACCAAATTTTTATACCAATCTTTTTTTTTTTTTTTTATTTGACAAACGATCGTTTGCTTTTGTTTACAAAACACACGCACTCTTTAACAAGAATGCATATGCATACGTATGACCTGCCACATCTCTCTCGGGGTTTCGTTCAAAATTTCTGGTTTATATTAACATCTTTTTATTAAGTAACTCTTTCCAGAATTTGTTTATTAATCTTTTCTTTATTAGTTTGAACCAAAGGTAATATTGCTTCTGGATACATATTTAGAAGTCAAGCACACACGCATATACATGTGCGTATTTATATATACATATGAATACGTATATATATATATTGATTTTCCAAACAAACGCACTAGTGAAACAAATATTTACTTTTATTACTTAAATTCATTGCACAGCAAATCTCTTAAATGTACGTCAATTTTAACGCATAAAATATATTAAGATTAATTTACTAACAATTAATTAAAATAAATTCCACACTTAATACACCGACTGAAATTTTCAATATGGCGACGAAATAATTCTAAGTCTTTTTCACACACGGACTTCTGCAATTGAAATTAGTACTCATAACTTGTGAAAGAAAAAGACAGATGAACTGATTATGTTTTACGGTCATTTATCTCTGTCTAAACTGGCTGCAATGTAAATGTGTGTAGACTTTTCAGTACCACCCTACAAACATTCAGCATGTAACCAAAAATGTATATATCTCTGTCGAATGACAGAAAATTTCTAACATAATTCGACAAACAAATTTCGGAAGTTACTATTTTTGAAGCGATTTATCTAAAATTTATATCCCTTAATTGCTGACTGCCGTAATATAGCAAACATGAACGTATTAGAAAAGCGTGACAACGTTGCAACATAGGCTAACTTGATTTGTTCATTTTCATGAACTTCTTTTTGCGATTCGTTTCATTTCGGCGATCATTTTTCAATACAAAATTTTGTCATAACGGACTTAAAAATTTCAAAATCTAAATTTTTGTATTTTTCCGTGTCCCAATTGATGATGATGATGGGGTTTCTTATCTTTTATGTTTACGAGTATTCCCATTTTTATGTTTCAAATTTATTAAAAGGTAAGAAAAATATAATCAGCGGGAGCCGAATCACACATACCCATTGGTATGTTTTTCGCATTCTGCCCTCAAAGTTCTTTTATTTGACATCCGCATCGCTGGTATTATCAAGAAAAATTAATCCACCAGGACCATATTCATTTTGGAATTAAAATCTTTTTAAGGCAGATAATATATCTTCATTTGAGGGATGTTCAAAATAGTTTTAAACATTCGGTCTTGTTTGCCTTATGCCCGCAAAAAAATTAAAAAAATAAAATTTAATTTTATTTTACTTTACGTGGGCATGGCCGATTTTTTTTCCATTTTTACACATGAAGAAAAGAGTGTTTCGTAAAGTAAATGTGGAAAATTGCAGTGTTCCAACGTTAATAATTTCCAAGCAACGAACAAAAATCCAAAAAATGTTGTTAAAAAAGACTGAGTGTGCGTTCGGTTTATGCTTCACTGCAATAATTAAGAAATATATAAATATATCACATTAAAATATGACGATTATAAGTGCTTGAGCTAGCAGTCCTTGGCAGGCATTTTAGAAAGTGACTGCAAATTTGGATCTGGAGAAAGCAGCATGAGTAATCAATCGAGCAATCGATAATAAAGCGAAGTTTTTTGCGTCGATTCATAATAATGGGTAAAATATAAGACCATAAAATGTTCCAGTTAACAGTTTTGCTAAAAAAAAGCAGGGAATATGGATTACAATTGAAGTCTCTTCATCAAGATTAATGCCACGTTATATCCTGGACCACTTGTTGTACGGGATAAATTAATTTTATGCCAATGTGTAACGCCCAAAAGAGTTTAGAATAAGTCCACTTCCTATTATATCGATCTATTCAGAATTATTGTACCCTACACCACTCGTGGCGGAGAGTCCATTACGTTTTCGTCGATATGAACTTGAGGTGGACTCATCTTTTATTACACCGCTTATCTGTCCATCAATGTCTCGTCATGCATTTTTATGTGCAATTTACAGATTGCAATTTTTGAGACGTTGCGATTAAATTTAGCACACAAACGGATCCAAGGGCAATGAGAAGACCAAGAAATCATTTTGTATGACAGCTATTTTAGTGTGGAAATTTATACGGTTGTATAAGGCTTAAAACCATTACTTCAATGTTCAATAAGTCATCTGTATTCCGTTTATAAATGGCTTTTTTAAATCTTATACTACCTAACTTTAAAGGCACGAGGGAATGGATCTTCGCTAGCACGTCAAACACAGGCAGGAAGTGTTACTTCAAAAAGTACTCACGTTCAAGGCAATAATGAACGAATCTCCTTTGAACAACAATATAATATAAATCAAATTTAAATAATTCAATGGAATTTAATTTTTTTATCCGTCTAAGGGGCGGGGTAGAAAGTATCATGTTTGAATGTTATATTTACTTCAATGAAGGTTTTTAAAAAATGTAAAGAAAGACCACGAAATTGTTGACGAGTTTCTGTTAGAAGATGATGGTTTTTTGTTAAAGCTGACGGGTTTTCACTTAAAAGTTCCTAATTTGCTGTTAAAGCTAAAACCAAATTTGTATGGCAACACCAAACAAATATTTATCAAATGTCAAACAGCTGTTGTTTTATCAATTAGGAAACTAAAGCACTAATATAAGAATTGTAAAATCTTAAAGCTAAGTGGAAGAAAACCAGAAGAAGAAGAACGATTATTATGATTTTATCAATGCTCGGATTTTCCGTAATGCAACTCTCCCGTGGAGGTACCTAAAAATAAACTTTCTGCAGGCTATAACCAATGGATGAATAAAAATAAACTTTGTAAGTGAAGTAGATTTGAAAGTAAATTTGATTTAAATAGGATGATACCATATAGTCTTTGTCAATAATGGGATTAATTATTGGCATGTTAGCGGTTTAAATTTTTAAATTTCCTAGGTATCCCTAGGTTGAATTGAGGCAAGATTCTAGTCCATATAGGGGACAAACGTGTCAACAGGAAAAGTGCGTCAAAGAAAAGAAAAAGTGACATAGCTTGTAGAACTTTATAAGAAATATTCAAAAAAAGAATTTAAAATAACGAAAATTTTATATAATTTTTTTAACTTACTTTAAAAAATATTAATATCAAGTGGTTTGTAGTTTTCGTACAAAAATACTATAGATATATTATTGATGAGAACGATTAGTTTTGAGTGTGCATGCATATAACTGTGAAGTCTTGAAATCTAAGGTAAAACATATTAAATAAATTTAAGCAAATTAAAAACAATAGCATGTGCATGACAAATGTAGGCAGAAATTAGAATTTACAACACAATACGCACTGTACATGATTTACAGCATGAACCCTACACAAAATTGAGAGACAAAAAATGTTGAGAATAAAATTCAATTTCTCAGAGTAAAATTTACTTTGCTGTACATTTCAACGTTTATTCCCTCCTGCGTGTTTTCTCTGGCTGCTTAATATAGAAAACATTAGTTAACCATTCTATCTGATACCCTTAGGAGCAACAATAGCAGTAAAACACAGAAGACCATACATTAGTTTGGATTAGCTAGAGATGCAACAACCAGCAGAAGGCTTTCATAAAGAACATATATTCTTGAATTGACATCATCAGCATCAATTTCCATTTGGTTTCTATGCTCACAAGCATGTAAGAGAATGTAATAAATGTTTGTAAATAAACGTTATATTCTACGCTGAGTATTCTACACCTTGAAGGGTGGCTATGTTCCAGATAATTTGTAAAAAGAAAGTGGACATAAAAACAACTAAATACGGACATATTTCAGCACATTACATTTACTTTTAATTCATATCATTTCATTTTTGTATAATTTTATTATTTTATCAATTCGGTAAATTGTAAGTCATAAAATACGGGCGTATAGCGCGTATTTATAATAATTTTGAGCAAGCAGGCAGTTTTTGAAAAGTAGTAGTGAATCAAATAGATAAAAGTTCTTTAAATCTGCCTACTAGCCTTTCCGATTTAAAAAGAGAAGGGAAAAATATCGATGAGATACTGTATAATGCTATGATGATGAAAGGTTCATAGCTAATTTAAATGCTTTGAGAGCTTTAGTGGTGTATGTTTATATATCTTTCTTCATAGTCTTGCAACCTTCGTTTTATTGAATATTAAAAATTTACTAGAGCTTTAAATATGAAAAAATTCAAATTTATTTATTTATATTTATTTAATATATATATTTTTTTCATTATTTTGTAAATATATTAAAATTTTTATTTACTAGGTAAATACATTAAATAGATTAATACTTTGCTTGTACCCATCTATAACCTGCCTGTTCTAATAACTTTAGTTGAAACGGTGATCAGCTGTTTTCCTCAACTGTAGTTTGTGTAGTTTATATATTCCGGACAATTTTTTAAAAAATTTTGAAATTCTCTGTAACAAAATTGAATAACAAAATTAAATAAATCGCACAAATATGTCTGATGATTTTCGTGACCGCTTCGACATAATAGATACTAAGACACCTCGGCATGCTTTGCTTTCCGGACGTTATAAAAAGTAAACAACTTTATTTACTAAGAAAAAAATGGATTTTTAAAAATGTTTTCCAGGAGTTTTGCTTACATTTTCTTACGAGATCGTATGCCAGTAATATTAACGCAAATCATCGACGATTTACTTAAAGATAAAGACGAAATCGTCAGACGGTTTGGAGAGGTAAATAATAATTTTTTTATATCGATCGCCTTTAAAAGGATGAGCAATGGAAAAGTGCATCTAAGTGAATTGGATTAACTTTCTTACTACGATCGGAAGGTAAGGCAATCACAGAAGCCTAGTCACATTTTCAACTTTCGACTTCCACTGAATTTAGAGGTTTGAGGAAACTTAGCCATGTCACATCATTGTCGTTGGACATGGCTTGATTTATGGAATAGGCACACACGATATATTTTTCTTTAAATTAGCGAGTGTAAGAAAAGCCCATATTTTTGTGGTAAAAGATAGCATCTTATGTTCCTGATAGATACAGGGCAAGGAAGCTCGTGATACCAGTGTGATGAAAAGGAATAAATAAAAGAGACATGATGACTGTCGAACATGATGGAGTTTGTGCAGTAAAGATTTGAGCATTGTTTAATACTTTTAATAGATGGTTTTCTTCGGTGGCAGTAAACTGCGGAAGGGAGGGATATCGATATAAAATTGGATATATGGTGAATGCAACATGGATGTAGATGTGCACTTAATAAAATCGTAGGATGACATGTAGATGTCGCCGAATCTATGTGATTTTTAGATGATACTAGCCTCCAATACATTCTGACCATTAGTCACAAATTTCAGCGACTCGACTTCCGTTGTTCTAAAGGAAATAATCTGAATTTCATATTTATCAGCGCATAAAACTTGAACAATACATTAGATACTGACAGTTTGGTGAGATGAATATCGCATTTGGTATAAGTGAATTGAAATAGCATTAGCATGGCTTTTACAAGAATTATAATGAATTTCTGTGCCGATTTGCACTGCCACCTCTTCTACTTTTTCTACTATATTGCCACACGCGCTTTAATTTTACATTGCCAAATCATTCGTATTTTGAAGTTTTTGTTATTATTTCTTATTTATAGACGCTTCCAGTTGTTTGTATAAAATAGATCTTTCGAAGACGCAGACACATGATGTCACCGTCCAAATTTGGTTCTAGCTTTAAGAGAATAACCTGAACTTTAACAGAAAACTAAAAAAACACATGAATAATTCTGTTCTTCTTCATTTCATGGCTAAAGTTAACGTGATGTTAGGCATCTCTATTCTCAACATATTGGTTTTTTTATTGTTTCTAAACTAACGACACTATCATGGTAAAATCAAAAAAAAAAAGAAAATATACAATTATCATAAGATGAACTTGCAGAAGTATGGACGATATTCGCCATTATCATTTGTCTACAATGACTGCATCAGAAAACTGACAAACAGTCTATATACAATATTTAAATTCAAAGCAGCTAAAGTTACGTTGTCTATTTTGAAATCCCCTTTCATTCTTATGGTGACTTATTTTTCCTCTCGTATTATGTTGTTTGTTCCCCATTTATGTTCAGTTTGACAGCCAAAACAAAGGCCGTTTATAGGGATTAGAAATCTTCATCTACCATACCATACTAAGCTGGTTACTATTAGATGCCATTTCCATGCCGCGTGTATCGTTTTCCTCACACGCTAACAAATTTTAGAGTTCTGGATATATTTTTTGTGTGTTTGAAAGAATATATTTATTTGGCCATTGAAAGGGCATTAATTTTTTCTTGTTTGCAATTTCTTAGGACTCCCGGGAGGAGCTCAAGGTAGTGATTGGTCAACTGTCTAAACTGAAGTATCAACTCCAAACGGACAAACCTTTTGAAAAATTCGAAAATAATGGTAAGAAACGTCCAATACGACGCTAATTATCATTTGCACATAAGAATGACTTCTCACTTCTTTATATTTATGCGCACAGAATGTTACCTAAAAGAAAATTGTAACGTTTTCAATCCGTTCTAAGGCATAAATTTGTAATAGCCTAACTTTATTGAAAGCGCTTTTTTTTTTTTTTGAAACAATTACTATATTTGTAGTGTATTGCTCAGATACACTGAATTTCAACTTGCCTTTATCATTGCTTCTGTGTCCAGCATTGGTCTTAATTGAGCGGCAAGTTTAACACGGAGACTAGGAAAATTTGATGAATTTTATATTCGATCGCAGTTATTAAGCTGTTCACGTTTTGAGTTCCATATTTCGCATTTCCTAAGAAAAAACGAGCACAGTTTAACAAATGCTCCTTATGAAAACATAAGTAACACTAGAAATGGAAAATTTTAATTGACATAATAGAACTTTCTGTAAATTTTTATTTATTATTGTTGCTTACCTACTTTAAATGAGCAAAATATTATTTGTGGATTTGTGTTTTCGCCGCAGTATTTTATACATTATTACATTCCGATTACAATCCGAGAGGAGATCAGGTCTATTGGAGGAAGATGTTTTAGTACAAGTCAGTGCATTGAACAAATTTTTGTTTACCGTCGTACTATTTAGTTATAGAGCTCTCGGTAGTTGCAAATTCATGTGAATGACGCTCTAGCGAACATACATAGCAGCGCCAAGTCTAACATAAGATATTGCTTCAATTTGTTCCCCTGATGAAAAAAGCGACTTAAACTGCTAACGCACTGGTGAGTCCCCGAAAGGGAGGATAAATGAATTGGAGAGATCAAAATGTCCATTCGCTTTGACGGGACATGTTTTTGATTTTTTTGATGAGTTTCTCTCTAACATTGTTACAATAAATTGTTGAGTGGTTGTCGACGATCATGTAATAATTTTGTATAAACCAAATACTATATATGTTTGTAGCTGCATCGCTTTAAATAGCTGTCCTTTAGAGCTGTCCTTTGAGGATTGAAATATAGATTTGCAATTTGAAATATAGAAATGCTTGATGTTCTTTCATATATCTCTATTTTGCTAATCCATTTGCAGGTAACGTAAGGTCCTCAAATTTGGTTCATTTATTTTTCAAATGAGTAGGGAGGCTTTTTACTCCGTAGGAAATCATCATTAAAAATTATGTACCTAATTTATATATGTATATATAGGTATATATATATTATAAATTATGTGTAAGGTTGGAGGAGTTGTAAATATTGTTTGCAAGCACAATGAATCGAACTACATTTCGGATATTGCTCTTTACGAGATTTTTAATATTAGGCATACAAAAATTAGTTGATTCAAAATTTTAACCGAAATGACCATTTATTGTGGATTAGATTCTAGAAAAGCTCGAAAAAAGTCCATCCATCTCGAGCAAATGAAAGTCGTTTTTTATTGAACGGTTTCACTATTGTGAGTAAAATCGTCCATTTGGGATAACGGAAGCCCAAATGTTTTTGATAAACCTTTCTGCACAAAAATTAAAAGTTCAATCCAGCTTTTGGTCTGAGGAGAGAAATTCAATGAACGAAAAAATTTCTAGATGTGCTTCTACCGGGCTAAAAATACTCTCTGATCTTAAAACTAATATTACTTGCGTTTCATGTGGATTTAGTGCTAATTTATGTGGGAAAATGAAAGAAGATTGATATTTCAAAAAAGAATGCGTAAAAAGATTCAGAGTCCATGGATCCATGGGCCAGTATCTAAAATAAAAAATTACGTTGCCGTCTTATACAATTCGTTTTCATTTCGAATTCAATATAAAAGTATGATAATCCGAAGCACAAAAAGGCGATGGTACAGTCCAGTCGAAATATTAACAGATCAGTATGCGTGTCTTTGGACTAAGTGGTGTAGTTTAGTCGAGCATTCTCTGAGAAATGGTCTAAAAATGCCAATGCGACGCATATATTGCAAAACGCATTCAAAAAAGCTGTCATTACTGAATTTGAATGGTTTTAACTTTTAATTTTTTTTGAAAATACACTTAAAAATGTCTTTATGCCTTTGAATAATAGTTTACTCAGCAAAGTGGTTTGCCGAATCCATCGTTATTGCGTCGTAAAGATACACCGAGATTACAGCATTGTAGCTATGCATCGGTCGTTACGAATTGTTTTGCTCGGGGTTTCGTGATTATTGTTGCTATTTCCGTGTTTTCCCATACACTCTGTTAGATTTCATTATTTTCTATAGGAGCACTTTTTCTTTTGTCTTGAAGAAGTTAATTTTCTCCTGCTCCGCAACTGCCTACTTACGACCTTCGGCGAGCTATTTTTTAAGGTTGTTTTTTAAACCTCTTTAACTCTGCGAATTTCCTTGTTCTTGCGAAAGAGTAATGACTGGCATTACAAGTGAAAGATCGGTTAATTGAAGTGGTTTGACATAGTCGCGACAGTTGACCCAATCAGTCTTCAATAGAAGGAATTGAACTTGTTCTCCAGTGGTAGATGATAAGATAATGCCGTAAGATTGTCACGTTTTCTTTAGTAATATTTTGAAAAATGCGTTACGGAATACAAGGGATTTCCTGAAAAAGGTGCAGTCTAGCAGAGTCATCCATTGATAGCTAGTTGAGCTGCAAATGCCCCTTCTTCGTTGGCATTTCGTGAAATGTGCATCGACAACTTTGTAAAAGTCAAATTGTAGTATTGTAACGAAGACCGTGTTCGTTCAACGCTTCAATTCAGTAGTCTACGGTGATGTGTCAACATAGAGGGACATAGATATCGGGAAGTATTGAAAATTTGTTTACGCAAATGTTCATGGAATGTCTGAAGCAAATTGATGCAATATAGGGAATAGTTAATACTGCCAATTGTTGGTCAGATCTCTTCAGTTAATTTCGATATTTATTAGATTTAGCTAAAATTTCACTGAAGCTGGATAGATCATCAGCTGGAACATAGGCATTTGCAAGAAAGATCTCCGCCCACTTAAATGATGAAAGCCCGGACACAGACCAATAACGGGTAACCAATGAGTTGACCAATAAGTTTGCTGCTCACTTCGTAAGCAGATGTCCTTATGCTGACCAATTCCGGGAGAGTGTTTCCAATTAAAATCACTTCGCGTAAAATTACTTCGATATACACACCCTTTTAAGAAACAAATCTTATCATGCATGGGATTGTCGTTGTCGCGAACAGTTTAAATGCGAAACTTCTTATGCACGCATCAGCGAGTAATCCAAACATATCCATTTCGACGTAACTACCTACGCGTTTCGCGCATAGAAATTACCCCAATGATACAGTAATGGAAACAATGCTGCAGATTATACCGTCTGTCTATAAATGAAATAGTTTTTGCTTGTTAATTAATATGGGAACACTTTTGTAACACTTTCGTAAGTGTCCTTAGAAATAAAAAAAAATGAATTCTTTTGGTTTATCAAGTTCAGATCAAATCTTGCTCTGTTTATTAAAAGATGCACTGGTTTTCTATAAAGAATAGTTGAGACTATGAAATGATATTTTGGGCAAACAAAAATGTTGCACAGATACATTGGAAATCGTTTGCGTCCCATTTGGAAAATCCTTTTCAAAATTAAGAGCTGATAATATTTATTTCCCATTTGAAATAATTTAAATTGTCAGATTACTGTATCGGGTTTCTAAAAATTATGCAAATACCTCAATTCCACCAGTTATAGTTTTCAAATCATCCGGTTCCATGCTTTTGAAAAAATGTTTTCATTAAAGTTTTCAAATATTTGCACCAAATGCGTGCAGACCATTGTACCAGTGTCATTAGCCGAAAGTGAAACAAGGTTTTCGACCAACTACTTCCAAATACAATCTTAAAGATATATACTATATTTTCGGCGAAAGCATCCAGGCGACGATCAGTTCTCCTCATAAATTCGAATTTTAACGTAACCCGATCGACAAACCGCATTCCAAAACAACTGTAATATTAAATAACCAGATACTTGAGAAACTTAATATCGCTTTTGTATTAAATGCTTAACTGAGGCATAAAGTTCGAATCTGTTGCCAACTGGGTACACACGAGACAATTGTGGCTTGTTCTAAATGTCGACTTCAATAAGCAATTAAGCAATGCTATTGTTTGTTTTTCACCAAACGAAGGCATTTCGCGGCAACGTTTCTTTTCTTTTGAATTGAAATCTTGGTTCATTTTGTTCGTTGACATTTGATTTATGAAATAACGACTATATATGCATATCATAAGTCACGTGTGATGCAAAGCCTTTGCAATTGTACATAACACCCAGAAGGAGTTGAGATGAATGCACCGATCTTACATCGATTTAAGCCTTTCTGTCGATCTGTATATATTGTGCGTTTATGATTAACTTACAACTCGTAATTTTTGGGATAACTTGACGAAATTTGGCACACCAACACCAAAATTGGACGCTATTGAAAATGATTCTGGTTGGACTGCTTTTTCAACCAATTGTATTGCAGGCAGTTGGGTCGCGTGTGGGCCGTGGTTTGCTGTAATTCTTTTAATTGTTTCAAGTAAAAAAAATATAACGGGCCGTGGCCCATCACAGCCATATAGTTATTCATGTGTTTAAAATGAGGCGCTATAAGGGAAGTGTTCAAAAAAGTGATCAAAATATCTCAAAAATTGCGGCCTGTGAGTTAAAAAAAGGACTTAACGGACGGACGGGCAAAAAAGCTTAGAATCGGAATCACTTTCTGAATCGATCAATATAATAAAATGTGGATCTATAACAAGCTCTTCTGGGTATTGTGCATACCCGCATAAAGTTAGTATGCTTCGGTACGAAGTATTCATTGTATTTTTATGCCTTTCGCCGGATGATGAGGGGTATATCCGTTTGGCTTGCAACACCCAGAAGGAAGCTTCAGAGACACTACAAAGTATATATATTCTTGATCACCATCAAATTCTAAATCGATTCAAGCCTGCCTGTCTGGCTGTCCGTCCGTCAGTTTGATGTCTGTTACAAGTATTCTCCTCGCCGTAAAAATGAAGCTCTCCAGTTCAAATTTGGCAGAGACGTTGCAAGTTCTTGCGCGCAGGTTGGTATTGAAAATGGGCAAAATTGCTTTAAGGGAACACATACAGTGTCACTTAAACTAACAACAGGTCTGGTTTTTAAAAGAAATAAAAGGTTGGTTTTTGCTCGTCACTCATAACCTACAGCAGATAAATGTGCGAAAATTTGAACGTATACTCTACGGGCGATCTTCTAGCACCTCTAGGAGAATGGAAAAAATCGTCCCCACCTGCTTAACTTTGTAGAATGTCATAATATCACTTTCTTTCTCGAAACTTTTATAACGCACGGAAGCAAAGCTCAAAAACCCAAAACAAAGTATAAAAATTCTTGGACAGTTTCACATTCGGAACGCACCTACGCATTTCAGTCCATTCGTCTGTCCATCCGCCCTTCTGTGGAACCGTGTAAACTGATTGCAATTTTCCGAATTGTACGGGAAGTCGGCCGGACCGTTTTTTACAGTGCAGGTTTGCGACGGTTTAGCTCATCTTAAATGTGTTGGTCTTAGTAGTAGAGAAATGGACTATGTCACTAAGGTGTCCGTTGGGCTTACCGCACTTGTCGGAAGGTAGATGTAGACAGTAGACAGAATAGTCTTAAGCGAATTATATAAGGATCTAAAAACTTGAGCAGATAAGTTTATTAAGTTACAAGACTCCTTCAACGGCTGTCAACCATTTGAAGGAACTGAATTTGTGTTGAAAGGAAACCTAAAGGCTAGGAATTCTGCAATTGGCCATCTACAGTCATTGCAAGGTTGTAGCGATTTGCGATCTCAAAGTTGGGTTCATCGGTTGGCGATGCCATTACTGTATCCTTGATTACTGTCCATACTCCACTGGAAGAAGCTATATATACCGTGAGTGGTCCCTCGGATACTGATAGGGTAACGACGTTGCTTCAGGCAGAGAACATTTATGGCCTCAAGTCTGTTGTAGCCGACAAGCGTCCGGCGAGGTCAACTTGAACTGGGTGATCATGCTTCACATACTAGTGAATCCGACCAGGTTGTGTACGATCTGATTGTTATTCCTGCACGAAAAGCTCGATTCGTTTCACATTCTGCGTCGAACACAACGACGGATTTGGTATTGAGTTATGTCTGGAAAAAAAGTGTCCAATGTTCCAATGATGAAAGTTATAATTTTTTAATTTAATCCTGATCGGCGTGGAAAAATATCGTCCTTTAAAATTGTAACTTCACCGTCATTGCTTGATCGTTTGTTGAATTTGCGTTTCTGGCTTGAGGGCGCCTTTTAGCCTTTAGGCGAGCGGTCAAAAAACTGAATAGCAACCTTACTGTCTTTTACTAGAACGTCCGCTGTCTCGACACGAAATTTAATAATTTGCGACTTAATAAAAGTATGATAATGATATTCTCTGTAATACGTGCCTTTACCATTTGTAGCCATCTTCAGATTTTAATAATTGAAAATTAAATTTAAATCTATTAATGATCAAGTATATATTTTTAATTGCAGAACCTGACAAGATATTGTGGAACGAATTCATTGATGCACTACCCAAAGAGTTGAACAGCTTTTTTCGGTCTTGTTGGTTATATTCGGAAAGCTATGTCTACCGAAAGGTGTCTTCGTTTTTTGAGGCCAGAACAGCTTTGAAATCGTTCGATTATTTTGAAAAACAAAAACAAGTTCTTCAGTCCAATGTTATGATTGCGGTTGCTCGTTCCTGTCGCCGCGCAGATAAGGACAAAAGAGTGTTTCATCGATTTGTGAAGGTATTTATTCACATAAAGTTTTCTGAAACGCCTGAAAATTGAAAAATAAAAAAGATTACACCATTAATTACTGTTGTGAAGCAATTTAGCTTTGCAAGTTGCCTGTAACTGTAAAACAAAAAAGGAAAGATAAAAGTACAGTCCATTGCAAGCGAGTACGAATGACGGCTAAGTCAATCAAGATGTCGAGAACTGAAGTTAACCATTTCGTTTTTTTTTTTGTGGGCATGCCTAAATCCTTATGAATATTAATTATAGCCCATGAGCCTCTACGATTGATCGTAAAACTTTAGTTTGGTTGCACTAAAGAATTTCAATGTTGCTGTTAGTCGCACCACCCCAAAGTTGTATACCATATGTTTACAAGGATTTCAGAATTGTATAACAGGAACTTATTTTCCACACTTAATATTTATTTTTGACTAATTAGCCAATATAGACGTATTTTGCTCATTTGCAAATGAATTTTTTTTTTGCCCTTATGTGTTTTTTCCATATCGCTCTTCTACTTAGATGCATATTTAAGAATTTGGACGTTGTCAAGAGATACGGAAGCAAATGTAATGTGCGTAAATTCCTTAGCATGTACGCTTGCTCCATTTCTTTAGTCAGGTAGAGATCTTAGTAAGGGATGTCTAAATAATAGTTGAAGCTTCGGTTTTATGCTCGCTGCGCGCAATCACAGAACATATGTAGCCACAGTGACATCTCCAGCTAGCGGCATATTCAAGGAGAAACTAGTGTAGAGCGCAGTGCCTAGTGCAACATCCTGTGGAATGCCCACATTGATTTCACGGACGTCTAATATTTCTTTGGAACAGGAAGTTTCCTTTTCAAGGTAAAAATAAGACCTGGATGCCAAACTCTATGAAAAATTCACTTCACGTTCAAGTGCACTACTGAGCAGTAGTGCTTATTTTCTAAATCTCTGTTGGCTTCTTTAATGATTTGATGACATTCTTCGGGGGTGGCCCACATTGATGTTCAGGCATTGTACTATTATCATTTAACATTGGCTGCAATCTTCGCAGCAGCAGTTTTTCAAAACTTTTCGAAAAAAGTAAATAGAAGACTTATTGGCCCGCAAGAGCTGACGTCATTCTCTTGCTTAGTGTCAGACCATTTCCATTGATCTGAACACTGAGTCCGTCTCAAATTTAATTGTAGCTCAATTTCAATAACACGACGACCTTTTCAGGCAGAGCCATTATTCCTTTAGCGCGTACCTTGTCGTACTCCGAACACTTTTCATTGTTTAAAGAGGATAAATATTTAAATTTGGTGTCTTATTAGAATCTAACTTAAACCATGTGCCATTTGGATCTTTTATCAGTACGTTTCTCCTGGTTGGTCTTTTTAAATAATTGGTAGCTTTCCCTAAAGCTTGCGATTGTTATTTGTTGTTCGAGATAAGTTTCTTTTAAGACATTTTCGATTTTGAAATCGCTGTTATAGTTGATTTGTAACTCGATTGTAATTAGTCTCATTAGTTGCGGTTCTGTCATGTTTCCAGACTTTTCTCAGTTCCCTTTTTATTCTAAAGCAGAGTATATCAGTTTTAAAAGAGATTACCTTGTAATCTTTGAGAAACACAACTCGTGTCCAAAAGAACTATGAAAGGCGAATGGTCAGAAATTAAATGGTCATACTCTGATGTGTCTGAATAATATGGGAAGATATGGCAAACCTTGCCTTTAGGATGTTCGGGCTTTGAACTTCACCAGGGGTGTTTAGTATAACGGTCACCTCCGACGACGAACTGAGTCTCTAGTTTCTAGTTTAGATTATGTCTTGGAGGAAAATAAATAGAATATATTGAGGGTTCAGAGCTTTCACATTTAATTTGAGTTCCAGCAGGTTGTAGATGTCTATTGTCATCCAGAATGACTTTTAAAAATATCGTTGTTGCTTGATTTAGCGTCCAAATCAATATAAAACATAGGTAGTGGTCCCTTGGTTACCCTACTTCTAACGTCAGTGATATTGCGTACTTGACGTCTTCACAAAATCATCTCTGATTTAATATTCGCAGCAGGCATGGTGTAAACCATTTACTGCTACTCTATATGTACGTTCTCGCTTTAGTGAAGACCATTCAACACAAACCGCTACCTACTTTTTTTTGTAAAAATTAACTTTCTTAGCCGTAAACATAACCTGAACGAAAATAAATTAACTGTCGAATTCATTTCGCTCTTAGACTATACTAGTGCACAGTATATAAGGAGAGGTAAACAAAAAAAATAATAATAATTAGCTAATAATTGACATATAAACAAACAAGAAAAGAAAAACAAAGAAAAATAGCATGTACATCGGTAGCACAGAGGCAAACCCACAAGCACTGTAGAAGCGAATTGCAAGTAAACCCCTAAGCCATCGGAAACATGCAAAAGCTTGGCAACCGATACATTAATCAGCATCAACTAATTTTCGAAGTATAATGAGATATTAAGGTTAAAACTTAGTTTAAATACGACATAGGTAAATAGTGCGTATTAAGCAAAATGGTTTTGATTTTATAGAGTCCGATATTGAGATTAGGTGATAGACACCATATAGGTATCTGCAAGCACCTCTAAACGGGTTAAGCAGCTCATAATTATATTTAAATTGACTCATAATGAACATGAAGAGACTAGAGAAACAGTTAGGGACATTAAAGCGTATCTTACCAAGTAATGTGGACGAAGCAATGGTACCATTAATTAACTTAATTAAAAAGGAGACACCAAGAATAAATCTACGTTTCTCAAGTGACGGTAAGGATAAGAAGCAACCGGGACAAACGGGTCGCAACCCAAATTCCTCAGGGCAAACGGCAAGAATTGCTTTTGAACTAATTCAATTGAATCTACATAAAACCTACACGCCGGTCGAGGCATACTGAAGTATTGCTCGAACTAAGCACATGTGGAGTGAAAGGATCCTTCAGATCTTTGGACCACTCCTTAATGAAACCAGGCGCGGAAGTAGCTTTACTTAAAGAGAGCTCAATGTGCAAATTAAAACGTAATCTTTGGTCGAATAGAACACCTAGGTCGATGAACGAATCAACGCTTTCCAGCTTGCATGAGTCAATAAAATACTCAGAACAGAATGACATTCTTCTTAAGCAAGAAAGCTTCTTGCATTTTTTTATTTCATAAAATTTAAAGACCGCCATGTAAGCAAATTAAATCAATTTGAAGCTGATACGATTGCGATTCCAAGGACAAGGAAGAAAACAGTTGCACATCGTCAGCGTACACTAAGCTCTGGCTGAATTTATTCACTGGGGGGAGATCATTAATGTATAAATTAAATAAAAGGGGTCCTAAATGGCTGCCTTGAGGGACACCAGACGTCATGGTGAATTCATCCGAGGCAATGAAATTAAACGTAACCCTGAATGAAGGAGAATCTGTTATGCAGATAAGTGCTCATCCATTTCACTAAATAGAAAGGGAAGACAGAGGCATTCAACTTGAAGATCAATACGTTATGATTAACTAACTCAAACTGTACTAAAATCAGTGCACACGACATCCGTGCGAGAACCACTCGAAAAATCCTTGAAGACACTACAAGTAAACTCTAAGAGACTCGCGATAGTAGATCTTCCTTTCCGTAAGCCATGGTGGAATGGAGAAATATAAGATTTAATAGCACAAGCTAAATGCTGAGTAACAATTCGCTCAAACAATTCAAGACACTCAACTTGGCTATGCCTCTCAATGTGAAGTCCATTTCCACATTTGTGAACTGGAATTAGGAAACTACTTCTCCAAAGCAAAGGGAAAACGCCTAATTTTATGAACTGATTAAAAATCTTTAAAATAACACCATCTAGCTCAACAAAGCATGTTTTAAGTATGCGTAATCGAATCCCATCAGGCCCAGGCGCAGATCTGCATTTTTGAAGATCTTAACACAATTCCTGAAATGACCAAGTTAGGAATCGAAACCGAATAGGATATCGGATGCGGGTAGCTGACAGTTAAATTGGAATTAACAGTTGAACAATTTCGTCGCAAGTAGTCAGCTTCGAGGTTTCAATATAATCAGAGGACTCAGAGCCATTGAAAGAAACATGCGAGGAATGGAGATTTTTCTTTTGGAGCTGATAAAATATCTAGGATTAACAAGTAGTGAGGATTCTATCAACTTTAGATATCTGCAGTAATATTGGTGGCTGAGGTAATTAAATCTATGCCTTGATGCAGAATAGGCAAAATAGTTGTAAGCAGAATTTTTTGAAAACTTTGTTTCTCCTACTTTTGTAGCATTTATTTGTCTTGTTAAACCATGGCGGGCATTTGCTTCAAGGGCGATGTTGCTTGATCGGAACAGATGCTAGGTTTAACACATTACAGAACAGTGACAATAAGGCTCTAGTGTAATAATAAGTGTAAAAGGCGTGTAATAAAAGAAAACACAAAGTGTTTAGATCAAATACATCAAGTATAGCTAACACAAAAGCAACAAACTGTTTGTGGGAATTAAAATTCTCTTTGTGTGCCTTTACAGTTTACAATTTACAGTTATAGAACTGCTCTTTTCTTTTATGTAAATTTACGGCAACACGCGAAAAGAGTTCACATATTAATCACTTACATTATTAGAAAACGCAATAACAGTACTATTGCGTGGCAATCATGAGTGGAGCACTAGACCCCATCTGTGCACAACGAGTGTTAGCAAACGGATCGTCCTCGTTTTTATACTTCCGGTAAATTGTGTTCTTAGCCTTCATTGAATTTAAAGAGCACTTGAACCGGAGGTCCTTCAGAAGATGGGAAGAAAGACGCGTTTACTGAAAGAAGGATGGAAAAGCTAAGAACAACAGTTGGTCGCTTTTACATGCTGACTGTTCTATGATTAGGAAAAATCAAAAGAAATTTGCAATAATTTGGAGAAATACCACTACACTGATGGGGTACTACGATGATCGGGTTGTTCATCATTTATTAGTATAAGGAAATCTAACTCGGCAGTCGGATAATCAGAAGAAAGTGATATCGTCACAATTTATCTTGTCGGGAAAGTTCGACTTCTTGGTAACGGCTGGCGCTTTAAAAGCTGAGTGAGCGAAAATTAACATCAAATACTGACAAGGAGTGTATAGTTTCTGAATAACCGTAATTGAGCAATAAAGAAGAAGTGAAAGAAAATGGCTTACTAAAGTACAAAAAGTCTTAAAGCATTATAAAAAACTTCTACGTAATGTTTTTTTTTTACCAACTATTTAACAGGTATCCCGTATACGTACGAAAAATCGGAAACTATTCGGTTTATAGAAAGCATTAGTGTGAAAAATCATCCGTTGTAGTTATTTATAAAATTTCTAAATATTGTTTTTTTTTTTTTTGCGCTTTGTGTTCTTACTGTTCTTATCTACCGCACTAAGACTAGGTCACTTGTATGGAAAAACTTGGCCATTCTCCGTGCTCCTAACCCTGCTTACCAGTGAAAATGTTGAAATATTTAGTTTTTAGCGAAAAAAATTTATTTCTTTCTAGCTCGATTTATGGAGTAATCTTTGTGACCAGTCTTTTTTTACGAAACTTGAAGGTAATCTTCTCGATTTACTAGATAAATGGGATAACAACATTTTAGTGAATAATACGCGAAGTATATGGAACTGTTTACAAATGGCTGATCATTCGAAGCCTGTGATCGTGGACTTCGTGTGCAATAACGCAAATTTTGAGCTTTACGCGGATTTGGTACTGGCTGAATATTTAATAGAGAAACAATTAGCATCGAAAGTGCGTTTTCATGTCAAACCAATACCATGGTATACATATGATGCTACAGTCCAAGACTTGCAAAACTTGCTACAAAGTATGCGAAGCAGCTCATACGGCATTTTAAATGAACAGGGTCGAAAATGGAAACAGTACTTCGATGAGGAGAAATTTCTAATAGCCCCCATGAACTACTTTTGGGTTAGCGCTTATGAATACTTCAAGTGAGCATAAGTGATTATGAAAAGTAAGCGCTAGTTAGTATATTTTTTACAATTATATTCCTCTAGAATGCGCGAAATTAATCCTGAGCTGTATAAATATCTTTCCCAAGCTCACCTTCTCATCTTTAAAGGAGATTTGCATTACCGAAAGCTACTTGGAGACTATTGCTGGGATCCAACAGACAATTTCTTAACATGTATAAGAGGTAACCTAAGAACATAGTACTTGTTATACGGCATTAATTGCCTTCTAGCAACGTGTAGCAAAGTAGAAAAATAGCGTGAGTTATATTAGACGATGGGGTTAGAATTTTTCTCATTTATATTCAAGAGGAAGCGCTTCTGCTGAAGTGAGACCCCTTGATAGCCAACTAGACTTTTCGATAATTAACTGCAAGTTTGATTGATTTGTGCTGCTCCCGTGAGATCTATTGGAAACTTTTAGAAACAAGTAACACTAGGATGTATTTGTGTATACTTTCGTAGGATTATGTAGGATTATTTTTTAGTAGAAAAACTCAATTAAAAATCAGCCGGATAATCGACTAAGGGAGAGCGCTTAATGGGAGAACTTAAAATTCAAACATTGTATGTTAACTTTGTCTGGGGACTTTAATAAAAACGAAAGGCGGAAAAGCGTTCAAAGATTTTGAGAATACGAAACTATCAAATAACAATTTTGCTTGGGTGATAAACTATGATTTGGAACTAAACTATGATATTGAACTCGAATTAAAATCATCCCAGATTGACTACTACATTACTGCAAAGCTTCAAAGCTTTGCTGACAAGAAAATTTTGTTCGAATTAATAGGTTGTTAAGGCGTTTATAGGAAACTTTTTAAATTTAGAAATTGTTCTGTTTGTGTTAATAATATCTCTTTTTTTAATTGCGAATTTAGGTTTCCAGCCGACTAATATATGTGCACTACGAACCATCAAGTCGGACATTGTCTGCGGTTTACAACAAGGCCAAACTGACGATCTGCATCGGCGTACTCATGAATGGATGACAACCGGCGAATACGGACTTATACAGTTCGTGGAACGAATAGAATGTAGTTGCGCATTCAAAGAAAATTGAATTGCATCAGACGGAATAATCTATATAATGACTAAGATGTATAGAAGAGGTTCCAGCAGTAACAAAACAGTTTTAATAAATTCAAAATGTACTCATTGGTAATAAATTACTAACAGATATGATGAATGAATTTTTGAACAAATCGTGTAAATAAACTATATAAGATAAACTATATGTCTCGTTTTTAATCAAGAGTTTGCATTTTTGTTTAATTTTTTAAGTATTAAATGTTTTTTTTTTTTTTTTTTTTTTTGCAAACCACGCCCCTTAAGACGTTTGAGTGGTCGCAACCAACGGACATATAGTAATAACTAATTTCAATATTTCCTTTGCGAAACGGGGTTGAGAAAAGGAAGAGTTTGTATGGAAACGAAGTGGTTTGATGAGACAGGGACTCTTTATTGTCAACGGCCGATACGAAAATGTCTATTATTATTACTACTATTATTATTATGATAGTGATACTCCACTGATTAATAATTGTTCAATTTGCCAACTAAGACTTCAAATTGTAATTGTGTTCGTGAATTTATTGGAAGTGCCGATTATTTCCGGTAAGCAAAAAGCAGCTTATGTCCTAAAAAGCCGTTATTTGAATCAGAGCTTTGCCGATGATACCTCTTGCATTTTTCAGAGACCGTCATACCATCCGTATACACTAAATGCTTGTTAATTTCCATATTTTATATGGGTTTGGCCATGGAAATTAAATGAGTACAGAAACTCTTATCATGATTGCTTATGCAAAGTAATAGTTAATATTTCATTTAGCTAAAAAAGTTCATTAATGTTCATATACGTATTGCAAGCCTAGTAGTAATGCAATGCACTTTACCAAATTTTGTTTCTTATATTTTTTGCGGGCAGTGTTATCTTGGCAACAAATTTGTTATTAGTAATGTTGCTAGCAAATCTCGTGACAACCAAATGAGATTTCGAAACTTGTCTTTTAATAACAGTCAAATGATTTAATAATAGGTAGCGATTCTGTCTACGCTCTCTTCGCTTAAAGGAAAATATAAATAAAAAATAAATAAGAAAAGATTTATTAATGATGTCTCAACCTGGCAATTTTAAGGAAATTGAAGCCTGCGTTAAATTGTTATGCGATCAAGCTAAAAAGCATCTAAAGGCTAGAGAATTTGAAAAAGCGTTAACCGGTTATTACAAGGTATTTAAATTTATTATACTCTTTTGTTTTTTTTTAAAGCTCTGATACTTTTTGGTTTTGACAAAATTAATAATTTTGTGGGAAATGATTGTTGTAAGCATTCGAAAGTAACAAGAGAAAGAAAAATTTTGCTATAAATTTATTTTAAAAATTTTAAAATCGGCTTACGGTTCGCCATCATATTTCGGGGCGCGTAGAAAGGAAAAAAGCCCTTCACACGAGTTTTCTCGAATTGAATTCTTGCATACAAGTTTCGGAATTCGTATTTGAATTGTTATTTTGCAATAAAAAAATTATGAGACATGAATTCGAATCATTTCGCAGATAGATTGATGGACTATCCACAAACTATTCGTAATATCGTATAATAATCGTTTAACATATTACGAAATTATTATGAAGAATAACAACCACCTTTGAACATTATATGCGATATTACAGAAATGTCCTTGGAAATAATTGAATAAAATTTGAACAATTCATTATTTACAACACAAATAGGTCGTATTACTATCATTTAATTTGCAATTGCTGCTTGAACGAGAAAGCAGTTACGAGAAATGTAATTTCCAAATAAAATTAAGTTAATTGGCCTTTAAATCTATTGACCGAGCGGTACACACTACAATTATTCATAAAGCAAAGGATACTTTATATATAAATTAGAAAAAATTCTAAATAAACTTAAATTTAAATGAACTAAAATATATATATATATATATACTATATAATCTGTGCAAATTCGGTGCATCTCTTCTCTAAGAATCTCACATTCTATTAGTTTCGGGATCTGCTTCATTATTACGGGGCTTCTTCCCGTAAATAGCTTCTTACAATGTATTTGTAAGCGCGATGTGTTACTCGACGTATGCTCGACAGACTGTAAACATCTTTTACACGCCATGATCAATCGGACTGTCTTGCATTTGGTAACATTCCGCTTATAGTAGTTTTGGCGCAAACTAAGAATGACTTTGAAATAAAATTTACTCTATTAACACAGACTTTTCCAAAGTCCCCGCCAAGTTACAATGAAGTACTATCATGAGTATCTTAATGGCATTTAAAGTCTTCTGCAAAACTGATAGCATCGTTACAGTATTTTAAGTCCAACTCGCCAACTCTCTAGGTGAATCTCCAGTCGGATTGCTGTTAACTAACATGACTTCTCTTAGGTCCAGGTTATATGCATTTCGCAGTTCTTTACCATGAAGTCATTAAATGCGCTTTGATTGTGCGAAAATACTTGTTCCTTGAATTCATTTTCGTTCTACTACTCGGATAATTGCATCAAGACGCCAAACAATATGAAATGGATTTCACCGCAGAGCTCGCCACTAGACTACAGACTCTGTTTTTCCCCATTGACTCAGACATATGGTCTTTATGGAATTGTATTTTCGCATTGGAATGTGTGCAATTTTTTCACCATTCTGCACTCGTAATTTAAGTGTACTATGTAATGTTGAATTGCTTACTAGTCCTGCTGCAAAACCCATTAGTGCATATACTACTTTCACAGTTTGTTTGGCAACGAGACGTGTGATATGATTCCTTAGTTATGATTCCCAGTTATGAAGAATATCAGATCATTATTTTTATCTCCCATTTGTTCTTTAACTATAACCATAACTGACTATTGTAGTAACTGTAAGTAAAAGCTTATAAAATAGAAATGAATTTGTTAAGAACACATTGCTCTTGACGGAAGTGACGCGATGCTTTTCATTTACTATATTTTCAATGTTCTCTAGAGGAATTATGATAACATCCCAAAGTTGAAACATAAGTGCAACTCTCTCATACGCAAAGGGAAGGTGAATGACTATCCGATTCATAAAAAGTTCGTGTTTTCAAAAATCCAACTGGCATTGTAATCAGTTAGTAAAACCCGCAGTTCAATGATGAAACCTTATGGTGGTTTTAAATTCAATTATTGCCTCTAGAAAATGGTTTGATATGTTAGCGCGTTTATCGCCTAATTGTTTTTACATCCGGCAAGGCCTTTTTGTTTTTCAATTGTCCCAAAATATAGCCCCATTTAAAATTAATGTCACCCAACATTTCCAAGATTTTTGGGACCACATTCCAAGTCCACAAGTCAATTACAATATTGGCAGCGCGTAAACGCTGCAATAAAACGAGGAAAAGAAGATGTAACATCCAATACAAACTAAAGCAAGTTCTTTCTGGCATTCGGTGTGAGTACAGTTCCTCGTTTTGCACAGTTCACCTTCATAGGTGAAAAAGTTCGCAATACTCTAAAAAGTATCCCACCTACAGATGTGTAGCTTTACAGGGGCACATATAGATGGCAGAATATGAGGCACAACACACCGTCAGATTTGGTTTCCCACCTTTTTAAAGCCGGGTTCTTAGTAAATGTTTCTTTTAGGCGTGGTTATGCTATACATTAAAAATCGCATGCGAATACTCTTTTATGCTGAAATAAGCATTTTTCCCAATTATCCAGCGTATAGTTCCTTTGACTATACCGACGCCGGCAAAGATATCGATTGTCTGCCTTCTTCCTATGCTTCTTTTATATTCGAGCATGAAGTACATTTTTCAACGATACATTCTCGCAAAATTTATGTAACATTTCTTAAAGTGAAAGCAACTATTATGAAGACAATGCGCTTGAAAAAATGTTGTGTGCTTATCTGGCATACACTATATAAGGACTTTTCTCATATTTACATGTACAGCGATAAACATTGGAAACTCATTCAAGCAGATCGAATTGAATAAGGGCATAGGCGTCCTGTACAACATAAGCACAGAAGAACTTTGCTTTCGGAAGCTTAAAAACCCAACCGTAAAACTTTTACGTTTCTTCGACGGATGATATTACAACGAACATTTCTTGTGTTCAACGCCTCCAGCGTCTGTACGAATGCGGCGCTCATTCAGTGCTTCGAAGTATGGGAATTTCGTTATTATTATTATTTTATTTTTTTTTTTTTGAACGATATAAAGAATAAAATTTAATTAATTGTTTGACTTTTTGTTGGTCTTTGCTTCCCTTCTTTAACAAGAGACCCTTTTGCGTCCCTTAAGACCCAACGAAGGCGAATTTGCGCAAAATTGTTTCGGAAAGGAGAAAGCTACTCCTTTTAATTTATCTATTCTCTTTTAGGTATCTATATTAATCTATTACTCTGTGATTGAATCGTCATCTCCAATCGTTGCTATTTCCTTCGATTTAAGTTTTCCTTTGCTATAGTCTCATGGGAAAACCGAATGGAGGAATTCTGAAAATGGTATAACGTAACATAAACAGAAGTGATTGTCCTAAGGGGATACCTTGATCGCTGTTTCGTGCAAATATTAAGCGCCCTGTGCACTACATAAAAATTGAATTAGATATTTTACGTTGTTGTTAGGTATCTTAGCAACTTTTGAAAAGCCAGTAATTTTTTGTGAAAGTTTTATAAAAATGAGCAAAAGTTTTAGCAATTTTCTAACAGGAGATAAGGAGCAACAACTTCTGCAAAGCTTTATACGTACTGGAGCTCAAGCAGATGATGAATCACCCGGACACTGGTCCGCGGACAAAGGAAATGACAAGCGAGATAGCTCTTCGATGCGAAAGGTGACGCCAGGTTTTAATGGTGAAAAAAGAAAAAAGTTGACAAAGCATGGGGAAATTCTAAATGACGTAGATAAAGCTGCGGCTTCCAATGTCAACCGCGGAGTTCGCATTGAAACGGAACTGAAGGCGGCCCGAAAGAAGAATGACGAGCAACTTCAAAAAAAGCGAAAGCCGAAAGAAAATTTTGTAGATTTTTACACGGACAAGGATCGTGCGGCTGCAGTTAGCGCTGGGACCTACGATATCAAGCAAAGTTTACAGATAAAGCAGCGACAGGATCGCAACGAGGCTCTACTCATTCCCGAGGAAGCGGACGTTAACTCCATTATAGCCCTCGGTTTGAAAGAAATAAAAAATGCCAATCCAGAGAATGCTATTCATTTCTTTTCCAAGGTTAGCAATTTAAGTGCAATATTCAATGAATGAGTATGGGTGAGTGAGTTCAACTTTGTAAATTGTAAAATACAGCCGCTATGGGCTATGCAATGCTAATTAACGCTCTAGAGTTTGATGATGATGTTAAGTTTACCATTTATGATTGCTAAGTTTGATGCTTAGTTTTTGGCATTCAACAAGCAATGTTGCTATGAATCACAGTTACGCATGGTACTTAAATATTCAATAATTAGCATTCAGCAAAGTTCCATAAGCCTTTAGAGACTTTATAAAGGAACACAAAATTGTTCGAACAAACAACTGAACGGAAGAAAAAATGCAATAAAAACGTTGGACAATTTTCTTATAAACGTAAGAAATAAGTTTTTTTCCATTTGGTCGCTATTGGTAACGAAGTTTGAGAAAAGCAAACAAAGCATTTATCATATCGAATTAATAATGATAATTAAATTTCATAGTTTTATTAGTTCAAAACAGGAAAAGTTTCTGTAGATAAGGCGTCATAGCGTTCGCAGGGAGGACAGTTTTTCACTTTTATAGTCGAAAGAAATACTGTAGGGCCTGTATAAAAATGAAAATAATAAAAGCCTGTATTAAAATGAAAACTAATCAGCCACGCCCACTTAATATTATAAAGCCTGAAAATTTACTTTTTTTCTTTTTTTTGGCAGCCTTCTCTAGGATAAAGGTGGTGAACGGAAAAGCTACTGCTGAGTATGAGTTTATTTGTTTAAATTTTGGAAAGAGACATGTAAGCAATTTATGTTGCACTGTTGATTCACTTTGCTGTTTTGCGCAAAAGCTTTCAATATTCCTGATGAATTTCAAACCATTTATTTAATTTTTGCGAAGGAGAAGTAGAAGTGTATCGAAGACATTACACAGACAGACAGACGGATATGCCTAAGTCGATTCAAAAATTGATGCTGATCAAGGGTATATATGACTTTTCAGTTTGTATGAACGAAAGAACGTTTTTCGAATATAAAGAATATTTTCGTTCAACTTTCTCCTCCTTCCTTAGAAAACGGTCTTGTATCGATACAATTATTATTATATTACCATAGCGCACTCCAATTTATGGATGCACATCAAATCATTATTCGCTATAAATCTCGTAAACTAAAGCTTTAAATACAAACTCTACATCCCCTGATTTTCAAATTGCTTTCGAAAAATCTTTTGTTCGCAATAAAAAAATCCCACAAACACACGACTTCTAATAGCCAACGCCTCATGTCAACAGATAGCTCCTGTCTAGAATATAATATATTTGAATCCTAATAATAAACCTTCGGGAGGGGAATCGTGTCAACTTAAAATTACACTTGAAAGGCTTATTAAGCAAGGCAAACCACTTTTACTGAGTAATGTTGCTGGATATGGTTTACTGTATTAAAGTGGGCTTCTGAACTCGGCGCTACCACAGTTCAGTTGTACATTAATTAAAAACCATGCTATTAATTTGCACCAAAACGGCGATTTTGATTGAATCATTTTCAAATGTAAATGGTTTTGTTGCTGCGGATTCCGCCACACGTTCGCCCTAAGAACAATGGGCGAAAGAGTTGACAGAAACGAAGTAACTTTGCATATCAAATTTGGAAAACACGATGTAATCGATTGATTGCGTAACGTTTCTTACGTGGTGTTATCTAAAAGCCATAATTGCCCAAAAATATGCCCGACATATTGTACGTATTCGCAACACTGCCGAAATCAAAAGCCATTAGTACTTTTTTCAATATCCATTTTATTACATCAAGATGTTTCTATAGTGATGAAATTAGCAACAGTAAAAAGTATGTAGGGAGATCCTAGAACAAGAACAGGCTTGCATGCAACTCATACTCGAAAGACACGGGGATTCTATAAAAGCAGCAGAACAGCGACTTTTCCCCTAAGAAAATCAAAATTGGGATTTATGTTTGCAACAATTACAGCAACATTTTATTGCATACGGGTTAAATCTGCTTGCGGAAAAGCAGATGTGGTTTTCTCTGGCCCAAACGTGCACAGAACTATTTGCTTAATTAACCTCAAAATTGTTACAGCATTATTTGTGAAGAGAACACATTGTAGCAGCTCGTAATGAACTTCTCAAAGCGGACTCAAAATAGAACAGAATACATTAAAAGCTCCTTATTCGCGGGGTATACGTTCCATAAAAATGCCGCGAATACAGAAACCGTGAATACGAAATGGTAATTTATATGCGATTATAGGGGATAGGGAATTCCTAGGTGACAAAATAAAAAAAAATCAATTTAATTGAAGTTTTTGAACATTTTGATCAATTATCTTAAGGCTTAGGCAATGGTTTGAAGAATTTTGTAAGTTTCTCTTGCTTGGCAGCTTTTAAAAGCTCCTTCAATTCAGACTGATGCGCAGCAGTCGCATTAGCAATTTGCCTCTCAAAAATAAGACTTCGTTCCATAGACGGATCAATTTTCATAAAGAAATCGCCAAGCTCACTTGCCATTCTTAAAGCTTCACTAAGACTTTTTAAATTAAATGTCACGTTTCCAGTGCTTGTTGAAGCCTCTTCTTCAAAGAGCGGTGAATTTAACATTTCCTCCAAGTCGGTCTCAGTCAAATCTTCATCTTGCGATTCAAGCAATTCCTGAATGTCGCTTGATTCTATTTATTCGAATCCATCTCGTCCTATTCCATTCGGGATTTCGGCTATGTTTGCAGTCAAAGTTTGAACTTGCACAAATTCTTCGTCATTTTCCGCAGTCAGACCAGGCCACAGTTTTTTCCAGCATGTGTGTGGCTTCAGTCCTTCCAATGATTCTTTTATGTTTACATTCCATATTATCCAATATGATTTTGAAGGTTCGTCTAATGTAATAGAGCTTAATGGGCTGGATTATTCCTTGGCTCGTAGATTGAAGCAAAGCCGTCGTGTTGGGAGGTAAGAATGTCACTTTTATGTTTGGATGCATAGTTTCAAGTTCGCAAGGATGACCTGGTGCATTGTCCTAAACTAGAAGTGCTTTAAAGTCTAAATTCCTTCTTTTTAAATAAATTTCAACTTCAGAAACAAAACAACCCCGGAACCAGTCACAAAAAATCCGCGAATAAAGAAATTTATAGCCGCGAATATGGGAATTGGGTCGCATTTTTTTAATCCGCAAATAGTGAAACCGCGAATAAAGGAAGCACGAATAAGGAGCTTTTATTGTATAATGAAATTTTCGATTCAAATCCAAGGTCGATTCCAACCTTTAAAGTATACATTCAGATAAAAGACGGCGCTAAGTTTAAATTTTTTAGGGCCAGATCCGTATCTTTGAAATTTAAGTAGTAAATCTATCGTTTAGCAAGTCTAGGTATATTATGTCCCACTCAATTCAGTAATTGGGTCTCTCCCTGTTTTCTTATACGCAAACCCTCCTGATGAATCTGTGGTAAAAAGCGTAAGTGATTTAAAGCGGCCAAAGGATTTGAACCAATTAGAAACATTTCTAGGGAAAGTAAATTACTACCACAAACTTGGACCAAATTTTGCATAGAAAAAACATTAAACTCAAATTGGATGCCGCTCAACAAAGAACATTTGAAGACTTAAATTTATATACCGTTAATACTAATGAGCCAGTTCATTTCCAAGAAGAACTGCCGGTTGTTCTTCCGACTGATCCTTCTTCTTTTGAATTGGGAGCTGTTTTATCGCAGGTGTATCCTCGTGTTTCAGAAAGGCCTACAGCATTAGCTTTAAATACACTCGGCCGAAACCAAGTTAAATATAGTCAAATAGAAAAAACGAATCATATAATGCTTCCACCAGATTTTGAAGGGAAAACCTTTACAATTCCAACTGAACATAAGTATTTTCAGTCCGTCTGCTAACAACAACAGCAGGTAGATTACAGCGATGGGCTGTAGCTTCCACGGCATGCTAGTTCAAAATCAAATATCGTAGACCTATGGATCATGGTGATGAGTAGCCGAACAAAACGCGTTTTCACTTCAAAGTTAATATGCAACGTCGTACTTTATAAAAGAGGTCGAGAGAGAAAGAGGTCGTTTAGATTAGATTGAGAAACTAACGGTTCGGATATTGTCCTAAAAAGGCCGCAGAAAAACTGGGAGAAATAAAAGACCTAAGAACAGGCACAAGAGGGTGATGTAAGCCGCACGTCCACCTTTATTGGTACTAGTGTCAAGGTCACGGAAAACACCGAAAAATAAAATATTTGAAAATGGTCAAATGGTCAGGATATAAATGTGTATATATATATATATAGGGTATACATATCGGTTTCTACTGCTACAAACTCGTTTTATTCTTAACCTGTTATAGATACTGATCAAACACGAGAAATCGATTTTAAATTTGCTTGTGATCACAAGCAAACAATAGAATGTGTGTATCTACATCTGATGGTATCGGTGTATGTATGACGGATACTTCTGACTTGCTCTGCAGTTGACTTTCAGGCATTTCGGAGAATTCCTGGAGCGCACTGCTTTAGTTTCCAATATAGTCTAAACCGCTACGTCTTGAAGAGAGTTTTGTTCAACTTCCTCCGTTGGGTTCTTATCAGGAAGATAAATCGAACATGACATTTCCAAGCTAGGCGATCATCGTCCCGGGTATGCAAGGCCTAATTGTCTCAACAATACGTAACTAAATTAACTTGTTTATTCTGAAACCCTTAGGCCTCGATAACTTAAAAATGCTCGACTGAAACTGCATTTCGCGTATATAGAGAGTGCACCGAATGTAACAGGGTCCGTATTTTACTTAACTTCGGCTGGAGTTTCGTCCTGGATGGAAAGTGGCACTGTACGCCCTACAATTTCAGTAACTCCATTTTGAGTGCACCTAGTTCCGTTTGTCCGTTCGATTGCGGATGATAGGGCGCTGTGCAAACATGACTAAAAAACGATAACACGATATCTGACATTTTCCATGTAAAGAAAAAACAGCGGAGTTTTGTGGCTGTGGCTAAAGCGGCCGTAATCGGCAGCAACGCTACTTCTCACCATTTGAAGAACGAATCCACAACTATCAAAAACGATTTTTCTTCACAGAGCGCCGCGTAATCTATAAGGATGTTACTCCAAAACCTTCCACAATTGGGAAAGTATATCGGTTCCGCTTTAGCGAACCTTACAATTTTTGTAATACCCTCGTCCAGTGACGACTAATATACATAACTGCGTATCAGCTTTTTGATCCACAGTCTACCTGGTTCGTCATAATGCACCCTTTGTAGTGCGTTGCCACGGAGAAGCGCGGGAAAGCGCATTTTTTCAAATTTATGTACATTCCTTAGTCATTCATGCATTAGAATATCTGTGACATAATATCACAATGCTCTTCATCTAACTGACTCACCTCGAATAATACCGTCTAGATCCAGCAATAGAGCAATTTCGACCGAAGTGATCACTAGGCAATGATTATTACCCAACTTTGCTACTTACATCTAATAGACTGCTTGGAAATAACTTATGTAAAAACAATTAAGATAAGATGTACTTGATGTACTGATGTACGCATTATCGGAAGTATTTTGTTCTTTCCTACATACTAACATACCAATAAATATATAGTCGACTATATTTGAAGTTCTAGGGATTTTCGACTTATATTTGATTCTAAACTTATGTTCAACCTGCACATTGGTGCTCTTGTGAACAAGACTAAATGTCCTGTCGGGTTTATGAAGAGATGGTCAAAAGAGTTCAAGGGTCCATTTGTGTCTAAAGGCTTATTTATTATCATGGGATCATACTCCGCTTTTGGAGTATTCGGTTATTAACTGATCATCAATTTGTAAGTGCTATAATGACCTGGTTGTAAATCAGGTCAGGGCGTACATTGTTTAGGATCGGATTCGGGTCGGAAAATAAGTTAAACGTGATTAGTTTATCGTCTCTTGTAAAACGGCAAGAAATGTCTGCTTTGCTTATGGTCGAATTATTAAAGGACAATTTCGACTCAATATATTTCTTTCACCGTACATCCCGAGATTACTACAATCTCGCCCCTACTACCAGTTTTGTAGCTTTGTGTTACTTACAAATTATGTGATGAATGTTACCACTTGGTTGATCCTTCCGCTCATTTAATTCCACAGTACGCACAACTTCTGCTCAGTTGTCGGGGCTGCCAGTGCTTTAAGACTTTTGTCGTAGAATTTATTTCTCTGGCTAAATTAACTATAATAATAACAATAATCAAAATAACCACTACAGTATGTTTTTATTTTAAATACGCTAGGACCCTGCCTACTATTTTTCTTATTGCCTATTAGTCTTAAACAATAACCTAGCTTTTAAAATGACAGTAATAATTCCTCAATTAAGATGAACCTTATGACTCTGACGTTGAATTGAAATTTTGAAAAACAACTTACGTAAATACAGTATCCGCAGTACTCATGTCCTTCCATGATAAAATGGGAGGCAGTACCGTTTGAATCGAACCTTGAATATCGTAGCTTTTGAGGAACTAGCAACTATAATTATCGAAATTGAAATTGATTTTCAATTTGCGGTCGTTGGCGCCTATGTACAATGATCTCGATGAGAACAGACCATTCTTGGGTTGGTACTCCACTCGTTATTATAACAATTACTATTAAAGAAAGCGAAAGTACATTCCATTGAGACAGACGGAGAGCATTAATCGCAAGAGACCGTGACAATTGTAATAAAATTAGAAAGCTAAATAAATCAACAACCAACTTAGTGATAAACAGCAATAAAAAGGTGCTTCATGGGAAACTAGATCCGCAAAATAACGCGGTTGAACAATTACAGTTAAGCAACTTAAGAACACCAATTTCTAAGAGTTTTAAAGTGAACGGAATAGTTTATCTTTTTATGCTTTTCATTCTACACCGGAATTGGTTATCAGGAAAGACAAACGTTAGGATGGGAGATGCTATGCATACGATCGCAGTTGTAAAAGAATTGACACGCCAAACCAACCAGGGCTAGGATTATCAACACTGAATCCAATTGATCTTACGAGGCAAAAGAGGTACCCGAAGCACGTTTACCGATTGAATATAACTTCCATTAAGGTGCAAAGAAAAAGAAAGAAACAACAGTCGGCCATGACGTGCAAGTCGGTCGTCGAGCCGAGTTGCGAAGTCGCAGAGTTGTTAAGTAGAAATTGTCGAATCAATTTATTAAGTTGTGCAGTCGTCAATTCTTTTTTGCTTACTTTCATTAGTTCCTTATATTTAGTTAATCGTGAATTTGAATTATTTTACAATAAACGTAGTTTGACAATATCTCTAGTTCCCATAATAAAAATATCATTATTATTTACATTCTTTGCATTTATAATATCATATATAATTTTTTATTTATAATAATGAGTAGAGATCTAACACATTTAATATAAAGTTAAATGTAACATATTTTGCGTACTTTGTGGCTTATAACGTATATCACTTATTTGTATTTTCCGTGCAGGCGTTGGAATTCAACAGTACTGACGTGAACGCGCTTGTGTCACGTAGCAAATGTTATCTTTTATTGGGCGAAGCATACAAAGCCCTACAAGATGCTGAGACTGCGTTAAAAGAAGATAAAAACAATATACGGGCCATATACCAAAAAGCTGAATCTCTTTACTATTTGGGGCAATTTGAACAAAGCCTGATGTACTTTCATAGGGGCCTTAGAGTTCGTCCAGAACTGAGTTCTTTTCGCTTAGGCGTGCAAAAAACGAGGGAAGCAATAGAAAATACTATTAGTATGAATAATAATCAAGGGAGATGTGGAGTAAAAGTAAAGTCATTAAAGCAGAGGAAACCACAGACGTCTTCAAATAATTTGCTCCAACGTAAAGTGAAACTTACAAAGGAAGAACTGGAGCGGAGAAATGCCCGAAAACTGTTAGATAAATTAAGCATTGATAAAGAATATTTGGAAAAGCTACTAAAACACCCAAACTTAAAGCGGGCAGACACAAACACAGAAAATATTTCAAATTACGCCAGAGAAGCAGTTAATTTTTTGAATAAACGTCAAGAGTTTTGGCGCCAACAGAGACCTTGCGTTGCTTTGCAAAATCACAAAGTTTTTCCACCAGATTCTATGCCCAAATGGTTCTAATTACAGAAATTCAATTTGATGTAAAAATGACGGGCATATACACAGTTCCGCATAAATTTATCTTTTTTAGATTATTTACCGTGCACTGTGCAGAGTACCGAAGTTCGGAGCTTACAAAACTGTGTACTACTATGTTTTTTTTTTTTTTTTTTTTTTTTGGATTATGTAACATTCATCGTTAGTTGTTCGTTAGTTGTTTTGAAATATCGCGTCATGTACATGTATATCACAAAACTTTCTTTAATCACTTTTACTATTAATCGTCTGTCTCATGACTATAAACGCGCTCTTCCGTATTCAAGTACACTGCTTTATTCTCTTTCCTAGAAGAATTTCTACTGAAAGGTACTTTTGAAGACAGAATTGCTAGTTTTACACTTTACGTGAAAGAAACAAAATATACAGTTTTATAACTAAATTCATAATTACGGTAAAGATCTTCTTTTTTACTTTTTCCGCTGATTTGACTTTCTCCGGTAAGATCTTAAGCTCGTTCTTATCACAAGCTCAGGTCAGTTTTAATAAGTTTCCCCGCTCTACTTTGAAATCCTTGAGATTTTAATTGAAAGCTTTAGTTGTTCTTAAGGAGGTTGAAAAGTCGCTTAAATCGAACTGAGGGTTCGATTATGATTTCAATTTATAGTCCAAATAAAGAGCAAAATTTATAAATTAGAATTAAAATATAGGGAATATATGGTACGAATGCCCTCCGCCAGTGAATAAATCTTTTGCCTGTTTTTACAATCAAACATCGTACTTCAGCTCGTAGTAGTACGAACGAAAAAAAATTGACTTTGTGTGATTATGAAATCAGCTTGTATAAGTGTGTTAAAATTAAATTTGAAAACAATTTGGTTACGTGATCAGCTGTTTAAAGTTAAAAATTAAATATTTTTATGTTAATTTAATGCTTAGCTTTTCTCGATTATAAAACTTTAATTTCTCTCATCTAGTGTCAGGATCGCACTAGTTAATAATAATAGTTAATTGCTCTTCCTTAATCATAAACGATATGAAAACGTTAGCAACATAATTTTTTAGCAAAATAAATAATAATAATAAAATATAATATTTATGTTTTCACATACATTTCCAAGCATTTATAAAAGGTAAGTAAAAAATGATCATAATGGGATGTAATGTTAATCCTTTTATGAATATTGTGCCTTTTAGGGGATTGCATTGCTAATCGAATATTTGCTCTTTGTTTTTTATCGATTGTTCCTATTTATTGCTCCGAAATTCATGAATTAATTTTTTCTGTTCTTTTTTTTTTAATATGCATTTAATTTATTATTATTATTATTGTTATTATAATTTTAGACTAATAAAGTAAATTCTTGGACTAAAAAAAGACATTGAGCACTAGCAACACAGGCTATCGGCTCTAAGCATTTAATTTACAATCTATTCAAACTCACAATTTTGTGCTATAGATGGAGGAACATGCATTTTCTTCTTAAACTACGCTGGGATTCATTCATTAATCAAAAAGAAAAAGTGATTCTCCAAGCATTGAGCGTTTAGCGATATAAAAACGGTTTAGCAAATATAAAAACATGTAAGAAATGACTATTTCTTGACAGCTCTACTTTTCAAGATTAAGAATTTGAATAAAACGAATATTTTTATTATCAAAACAAAGGACAAATAAAACATAAAGAGAATCAAAATTTCATAAGTACCAAATGTTGCTGCTTACAGTAAACAAACGTAAGCAGCAAAAAATAAAAAAATGCAATGCACGAATTACTTTCTGAATGAAATGCTTGCGTTATGCGTTGTGCGTGGTGTACGATGAAGTCGATCGTATGCATTGAACATTGTTGAACATGCAACTTGGGTTGCGCGTTAATCAGAGATTTTCGCAAACGTTTAGAATTTAGAATTAAACGTTTAAAATTTGTGCGGGCGACAAACAAAACACAACACACACACGGACTTGCCTATAAAAAAAAAAACAAAATCTTATGGTTTTATATGTTGTGAAAACCAAGCACAAGGAGAAAAAATATAAATAAAGTGAAAGTTAAACTAGTTTAATAAATTGCAATAGAAATATATATCATACTTGGTTTTTTCATCATAAATGAATACTATATTTTGCTTCTGACTGCTATACTGTATTTTTGCTTTATTGTAAAAGAAAATTGATGTTTTCATTACATTACTGTTGTTTACGTAAATTTTACATAAACAAACGCTAAGCGAAGCAAAATGTTATAAAAGCTAAAGTAATTAGTTATGAATTTACAGTTTACCTAATTTTTTCCAAACCCTCCTTAATTCAATTATATGACAGTATATTTAATTTTCTTTTAATTTTCCATATAACGTACGATGTAATTATGTTGAAATTTATTTACTTATTTACACAGTGTAGTATTTTTCCAAACAAACACTAAATTAGTTCTCAATTCTAATGGAATTTTTTGTGGAATTAATAATGCTCGTTGTGAAATTAATGCTCGTTTTTGTCGATTTTGCTTCAGCAACGCACACATGTGTATGGTGCACTGATTTTGCGTTATGCGTTGTGCATTGGCCTTAGTTGTGTTTGCGCTTAATACAGAAAGTCAAAATAAATGTAGATGTAATAACGGAAAGTTTTCGTATCAAGTCGTTAGGTTCCAAACACATATATAATGAATGGTATTAACAAATGAAGATACCAAACTACGTTCGACGCTTTTAAAATAACCCGTTTGCGATCAGTCATTACAATCGAAACAGGTTGTGAAGAGCTGGACTGTGTTTTTCATACAATCGGAACAATCACTTAGGGAAAAGGTATCATTTATTAGTCCCTTTAACAAATATCAAAAAAATGGATCTTAATTTCCTATTCTATTCTATTTATAAACTTTTTTTAACTTTTGTTCTCATCTAACATCCTATAGTAACATTCAAAAATATAAGTGTATTACTTTAGTTACATTTGTCCCCAAAATCCTGTGAATATTAAAGCAGTTTAGTATTGCAAATGTTAAACATTGAGTTGCTTTCAGAACTCGCACTATTTTATATAATTTGCGCTAATTGAAACACGTCCTGAAGAATTTAGCTCTTACTACGAACTGACTGTTCCATTTGTTGAATATGCTAATGAAACGTATTTTTTTTTTTTTGTGGGACTTCAATGAAATATAAGTTGGGCAACACCGCGAAAGATTACATTCGCAAAAATCCATACAACGAAGTTGTAAGTTAAATAGTGAAAAGTATCGCAAGATATCACAAGATACTTTGTTTACAATGGTGAAAGAAACGTAAATAAACAGGTGACATTTTTTATAATGATTAAAGTGATAAACGTATCGTTTCTGAGAAAATTTGGGGCGGATATTAAATTGCCGTCGTTATAAAGTGTTTTTACTTGAAGCAGCCATATCGATGTATCGATTTTTACATCACGAATGCATATATATATAAAAAAAAAGAGCATATTTTATTTCAAATTGAAAACAAAATGTGAAGGGGAAAGGAACTAATTGAAGCAAATATTAATTAAAAAGTTTCCATAATGTATTATTTATAAAAAAATTTGCTCGCAATAAACTCTCTCGAATACCTGACATTCCTTAAGTTCGGTAATTTAACTCTCTGTTATTCAACAAAGTTATTTCTTTACGTAAGAAAAGTGTGTGTGTATCTGTTTACATCCGTTGCATGCTTGCTTTTGGTTCCAGACTTTTGGATTTCTCTTTATTTAGTGTAGTAGCTACTGTTAATATTGTAAGCATACTTCAATAATCTCTCGCATAGCACAGCATTAGTAATAACATTTTCAATTCTCACATTCCTTCAAGTTTCTAATTTGGTTTTTAATATTCAAATACGAAGATTCTACAAATAATTATAATAGATATTACTTCATAAATGCACTTCGTCCTGATGATTCATGAATGTTATTCGCTGCAGACGACCGATAGTGGTCGATAGTGGAGAAGCTACAAAGCAATTTTCGTTACATGGCATTTTAAAGCGATTTATTTATCTTCATTAGTCTCATTACCTATTGCAAACATTCAAATACAAGGGGTGTGTGTAAACAAATATATAAACAAATTATAACTTGTTTGTGTATAAAATTTTAACGTCATAACATATATGTGTAGTAAGTCGAATCTTAATTTTTCTTTTTTTATTTTATAATAAACATGCCAAACATGGTTAAGTTATTCGTATATTAAGGAGACTTGCTTGATACTTACATTCCTTTAGAAAAATTTGAGTTTCATTTTACTGCTTTTTTGACATATGCCAAATTTTAAGAACTATAATATAAGCTTTTCGATGGAAACTATGCACAATATGTTATGCTGCAAGAAGCATGTTCCCGTTCTCTATCGTCAAAATCTAGTTTGCAAAAAAAAAGGAAAGATGAAAATGAAAAGTCACTTTTAATTCACGATTTTAAGATTCATCCGATTTTATAACATTTATAATGAGAAGTCAAGTACAATTTTTTTTTCGCAGATACCAAACTAATAGCTAAAGCAAACTTCCAGTGGTCTTTGAAATGGCGATTTCAAAAGTAATACGAGTTTTAGAAAAATCGCTTCCGCCCTCTCCATACAGTGTCCTGTTGGAACATCGAAATAAAAGTGAGAGTGTACTTTTCGAATCTCATGCGGTAGCTTTATTGTCTCAGCAAGAAACCGACATTATACGAAAAAATTATACTAAGTTATGTGATGCGTATGGTTGCTTAGGCGTCCTGCAATTGAATGCAGGTGAAAGCACAGTGTTGTTCCTAGTTTTAGTTAATGGCTGCATATCTGTAGGCAAAAGCTGTGACGTGGAAATATTTCGTATAACACAGACACAATTTGTGTCTTTGCAAAGCACTGTGATTAATGAAGACAAGATTTCCGAGGTACGCAAGCTGTTAAATTCTGGAACGTTTTATTTTGCCCATGTCAACCCGTCTTCAATGAGCGTAAACAAATTTGACATTACCCTCTGCGCTCAAAGGCGTTTTCAAACATCCGAAACTGACAATCGATTCTTCTGGAACAGAATGATGCATATTCATATGCTGCGGTTTGGAATCGACTGTCAGGCCTGGCTCTTAAAGGCGATGTGTGGATCAGTTGAAATTCGCACTGTTTATATCGGAGCTAAGCAAGCGCGAGCTGTTTTAATTTCTCGCTTAAGTTGCGAACGAGCGGGTACGCGATTCAATGTAAGAGGTAAGTTCTCATTGTCGATTATGAAAACAATTATTTTTTCAAGGAAATCTTCCCCTAGGCACTAACGATGATGGCCATGTTGCAAATTTCGTTGAGACGGAGCAAGCTATTTACGTTGACAACGATGTTACCAGCTTCGTCCAGGTACGTGGGTCTGTTCCTTTATTTTGGGAACAACCAGGTGTTCAAGTTGGCTCGCACAAAGTAAAACTCTCCCGTGGTTTTGAAGCGTCAGCTGCCGCATTTGATCGTCACATGTCTATGATGAAGCATCGCTATGGTTACAATGCAATAATAAACCTGTTAGGCACCTCAATGATTGGAAGTAAAGAAGGCGAGGCAATGTTAAGCAACGAATTTCAACGGCACCATGGTATGTCGGCCCACAAAGGCGATGTGGTTCACATAGTTTTTGATTATCATCAAGAGTGCCGCGGTAGCAACTTTGCTGCTCTGTCTAAGCTCAAAGAACGAATCGTGGCTTGCGGCGTTAATTACGGAATTTTTTATGCTTCTAATGGACAGATCTTGCGTCAACAGTTTGGTGCAGTTCGTACAAATTGTCTGGATTGTTTGGACCGAACAAATTGCGTGCAAACTTTCTTAGGCTTAGACATTTTGGCTGCTCAAATCGAAATTCTGGGTTTAGCAGAAAAAAAGCAAAACATATCGCGATTCGAAGAAATATTTCGCCAAATGTGGGTAAATAACGGTAATGAAGTTAGCAAAATCTATGCAGGCACTGGTGCCATACAAGGTAGTTCAAAATTAATGGATGGCGCCCGGTCAGCTGCTCGAACTATACAAAACAATTTATTAGATAACTCTAAACAGGTAAAAGCTTATAATTATTAGAATATATAATACATTATATGTATTTTTTAATCGTAGGAAGCCATTGACATTTTATTAGTAGGTTCTACTCTTAACTCTGAGCTTGCTGATAGAGCTCGCATATTATTACCATCCAATATGCTCCAAGCGCCGATCACAGTATTGCGAGAAATGTGCAAACGATATTGTGAATATGTTAAAGAGCGAATAGTTCGAATTGCGATCGGTACATATAATGTAAACGGTGGAAAGCATTTTCGCAGTGTTGCCTTTAAAGACTCACTATCGGACTGGCTACTGGACTGTCATGCATTGGCACGGTCAAAGACTCTAGTGAATGTAAATTCTACTTCAGAGGATTCTGATAATCCCGTAGACATTTACGCTATAGGATTTCAAGAAATAGTTGATCTCAATGCGTCGAATATAGTTGCAGCCAGTACCGACAATGCTAAATTATGGGCAGAGGAACTGCAAAAAACGATTTCTAGAGATATTGATTATGTATTATTAACTTACCAGCAGCTGGTGGGTGTATGTTTATATATTTATATTCGCCCCGAACACGCTCCCTTTATTCGTGATGTGGCAATCGACTGCGTTAAAACTGGACTTGGGGGTGCAACGGGAAATAAAGGGGCTTGTGCAATACGCTTCGTTTTTCATGGCACTTCAATGTGTTTTGTCTGTGCTCATTTTGCTGCTGGTCAATCGCAGGTGGGTTTCCATGTGGTTTTATTCTGATATAATATATTAATGGGTTTTTGTACGTATAAAATAGATAGCAGAGAGAAATGCCGATTATTCCGAGATTACTCGGAAGCTTGCTTTTCCAATGGGTCGCACACTTAAGTCACATGATTGGGTATTTTGGTGCGGCGACTTCAATTACCGAATCGACATGGATAAAGAATCGCTAAAGGATGCAATTAGTCAAGGGGATTTAGCCTCTGTTCTCGAAAATGACCAGTTGCGTAAAGAGCAGGAAGCAGGCAATGTCTTCAACGATTTCCTGGAGGGTGAAATATCATTCGATCCTACTTACAAATACGACTTATTTAGCGACGAATATGATACGTCAGAAAAGCAAAGAGCACCGGCTTGGACGGACCGCGTATTGTGGCGGCGGCGTAAAGCCTTAGCTGAATCCGATTTTGTATCTACGGAATGGAATCCGGGTAAATTAGTACACTATGGACGATCCGAATTAAAACAAAGTGATCATCGACCAGTAATTGCTATTATCGACGCAAATGTCGTCGAAATCGATCAAAAGCTCCGAAGAAATGTCTTCGAGCAAGTAATTAAGGACTTAGGCCCACCAGATTCAACTATTGTAGTTCATCTTCAGGGTACACCGGCATGTGACGGCAGTCTAACAATATATGATGAAAAAGTTATGTCTGGGCTCATACAAGAGCTTTCTAAAATGGGTGAAGTAACACTTGTGCGTTACGTTGAAGACACCATGTGGGTGACATTTCGTGATGGAGAGTCTGCCTTAAATGCGGTTTCAATGAAGTGTACGAACGTATGCGGTCTAGACTTAAAATTTCAATTAAAATCACCTAATTGGCACGAATACGTTAACAAGGAGATCGAATTATGCACAACAAACACAATCGCGTTATGTGCTAACCCTCAAGAACATGCCGCATTACTAAATTTGACACCGGAAATACCGCAGCGCCCAAAACAGCCACGCGCACCTGCACGTCCGCCTCTGCCAATGTCACCAAAGAACTCGCCGCGACATTTGCCTAACGCTGGCGTGATAAGCATTTTACCAGATTCATTCCAGCCTAAACCAAAAAGATCACCTATACCATCGCAGATGCAACAGCAAGTTCAGCCGTCGACCGAATTACCTTTGAAAATCCAAGATACGCCTGATCAAGTTTTCATTCCAAACTCATCGTCAAACAAAGATTCAAATTCGATTTCAGTGGGATCATCTTTACCATCATCACCTTCCCATCAAAACCAAAGCAAGAATGGAATTCCAGCATCGACCCCGTTAAAACATTTCAAAAAATCTTCCGTTGATAGTGAAAACGACACTTTATATAACCAAGGCAACATTTACGAAGAAATTAAATACGATGATCCCGTCCCACAACATCCTCCTCCAATTTTTCCTCCCCCAATTGATTTGAATGCTGTTGAAAACCCAGCTTCTCGCATACATGACTTACCAACTAACATTCCCGCAGGCCCGCCCCCTCCTTTACCAGCGCGACGTCCACCGCCGCCAATCCCGGACAGAAGCGGTAATGTAACACTTTTGCCAAGTAGACCAAATAACAATTAAAGCAAGCATTCCTATGAATATAAAGCTGTTTATTAAGTATTTTTGAGAAAATCCGTGGCGTTAGGCCAAACGTTAATATTGATATCGCCCTAAAATTTAGTTTCATGTTATGTTGAGAGTGTAAAAAACCGAAATTTAGTTAAGTTATTCAATCTATAATATAAAATATCTAACAAAAGCAACATTAATTCGAAAAATGAATCGACATTTCTGGCGGACAGATAAACATAAGCATGGGTTGCAATAGGATTTCCTTCGATTTCTCCTTAAACTATTCGCGTTTCATTTGAGCTGAACAGCTGGTTATTACCGAATAAAGAAAATGAGTTTCAATATTCGACGGGTCGACGACTATAATAAAATAGTAAGTATAATTTTGAAGTGCTATGATAACAGAAATGATAGAACGGGGGTGTTTAGTGACTAGAAGTAAGTGACTAAGGTAAGTTCATGTCGTTATCTATAGAGGTCTAGAGGTTGATCGGACTTATCATAGACTTAAATTAAGACGTAGCGTGCATGCATACATTTTTAGTAAAAAAGATATGATTTATTTATTCAATAAATCTTAACATGTATAATTAAAAGCGTCTTCGTGTCGTGAAACCTACTCTTCGCTGATCGCTGTTGCTTTTAACAGAAATCATCTCCATTCAGAACAAAAAATATTAAATTTGCAATAAAATTAGGGAACGTAGCAAGCGCTCACTAATGAAATGGCTGCCCTTGGCATTCTTAGTACGACACTAAGCTATTCAATTGCGTAGCTTGAAAAACGAATTGCAATCTGCTTTGCCAGATTGTCAATTTGCTGCGATGGACGAAAAAATAATTTTTTTGCTGGATTTATACAACTGCATCGTATTTAACACAGATTACCCGCGTCGATTTTTAGCCCTAGGCCTCGGCGTCACCCCCTTTGTTGTTTCTCTCTCGCAGACATAGTAGAAAATTATGAAAACTATTACGGTCGTTTATGCAAGAACGTAATCGTAAAACACTATCGATCTACATTTAATGTTAAACATGTTGAAATCATGGACGATTTGCCCAAATCCCGTCAATTTCAAAAACTAAATTAGGAGAGTTCTTCTGCTTTATAAATAGAATTTTAACGAAATAAGAATCTGTGCAGACATCATTAGCCATGTCGAAAAAGGCTCTATACATAAGGAAACAAAGAATATAGCACCAAAACAACGTCCTGAAAATTTGGTAAATATATCTCGAACTCGCTTAGGTCATAAGGTACAAAAGTATGAATGCAAAAATTAAAAAAGATCCACATATACACATATATATAAAATTTTTTTTTTTGGTACATAAAATAGGAACGAATCAGATCTATAAATGATAAGATCTATATATCCAGTAAAGTTATGACTTTTTAATACAAAATCTTAAGAGCTGTCTTTCTTGTCTTGCATGATGTCATTTCGAATTAGACGGAAGGCATCTTTGGGAGAATTTTTGACTGAGACAATTTCTCCATCAACTGGAGCCATTTTATATATATATAATATGTATGTACGTATATATGTTTATATATGTATAAATATCTACGACCATACGTATATATGGATATTTAAATGTACACTTAAATGTATATATATGTGTAAAATTTTGTACCTGCCTATGAGGCAGTAGATCAAGAAACAATTACTCGTAGCTTTGTCGGTCAATTAGATTCTGAAATGCGAGAGAGAGAAAATATCTTTTAGGAGAGAAAAAAATTTTCATGAATGGACTGCATAATACCATTAGAGCACACTTTCACACTCGGTAAACTTCTGCCTTACAAGACTTTCCTCTGAATTGAAAAAGTCAAACCTCAAATCAAAGATGCGATAAATATATCCAAAAAGAAGGAGCATAAAAAAATATTTAAAACTGGATGTTACATGAAGTGATTGCGTTTTGTGGTACTAAGTTCGTCTATGACCTCATATTTGAGAGAATTTAAGGGAAAATACGAAAAAGTGGAATCTTAACCATTAATCCTAACATTTCGTACTACAGCTTTCACTAGAATTTTATTTAGAACTTCGCATCTTCAAACGTCATTTTTTTTTTTAAATGTATGTTTTCATTGAAAAATGTAATTAGGACCTTAATAGCATCTATCTAAAAATGGTAGATCGGTTTGGAATTGCACTCGTGTCAGAACATCAATTGGCGTTGATGATATGGAATATTTCTGAATGGCAGTTATCTGCAATGAAAATGAGTGACACTATGGTAGTAGAAAATTTAGGCTTGTTCATAATGATACCTTCCACCATTTGTTTAGATTCTCCAATTGCGTTGAAGTATTTTTCTGGAAGAGATCCCCTGCCTCATTATGCGTCATTTTTGGTATTTCTCTTAATAGTAGAATAAATAAATTTTGTTGACTTTTCCGAACAATGTCTCGGCCAGAGCTTGTCTTGAAGGAAGCTCCAGTACAGCACAGAACTAACAACGATACTGCCGTACTTAAATTTTTCGAAGCTTCAGCTATAAAAAAGATCGAATTTTATATAAAAATTAATTTATTCTTTTTTTCAATATTATCTACACAATTATTCACTGTTGTTACCGCTAGTCTAAGAACTGGAACTGGTAACGTTCGCCTCAACATCTCATTCGTCTGAAAATGATTTATTTGAGATTAGTTGCTATTCGATCTTTTCCAAATATTCCTGTAAACCATCCTGAAAGAAATTAATGGTAGTTTGTCACTATTATGTCGTGGCTAGAAAACTTCCCGCTTCCCGTTGGCAACGACATCACAAGCCTTCTTTACGCTTACGTTGTAATTCATTTGATGATTGCATCTTGTGGTATAACAGTTTTCCGCACCACCATTAAGGTACCGTGATGCCGCTTAATCGCCGCCATTGTTTAACTTACTTTATAATAATATTTGTAAAACTCTATGTATATAATAATAATAGTAATAATATAATATTGACATAGTAGTAATAACTAAAATCCTATGCAATTTCTACGTTTTCTCTGAAAGTTTGTTCATATATTTGATGAGCTACGAGTAAGGAATTTTGTGATTACTTTCTCTACACATAAGCTTTGTGACCATCGGCTTTCTGGAAATATACATTAGTCATTTTTTAATTTACCTGAGGTATCTACTCACATCCTCGCTTAGGTCACTGCATTATTTGATAAATAAAGAATAATAACTTAATACTAATAGATACTTCAAGTTATCACGCCATTGTTTAACTTGTCTAATTTAAAACTATAATAATATTATTAATTATAATATATATATAATATAAAAATAATGATAACTAATATTAACAATTAATAATTACATGTTATACATATATATATATATATATATATAATTAAATAAATTGAAAATTCAAAAGACATTTTTCATTTAAATTCCTTCAATATTTCTCTGTGCAAAAATTCTCAAAATTTTGGTCGAATGGTCTGAAGTCTTTTTCGACCTCATCTTCAAGTTGATAGCCTACATTATTATTTAGAAAGTAGCAGTCATCAACCTTATTCCCGCCTTCGATGCATTCTTAGTGACGATGCTCTGAATTCCATAGAAAAGTTTTACCCTCTATGTTGATATTCTTGCCTTTAGTATTGCTTCCATCATTTCCGAGAACTTTCTAGTCATTTCGCTTGTTTTTGTCGCTAGCGCCAAATATTTAAAATTACCATCTAAGTAATTGGAGCGCTTTTCCAGACTTTTGTCGTGTCCAATTATCAGATTCTATTTTGCTGCGGTGTACAACATTGGCAAAATTTTGACATCCGCAACGCGAGTTCTCGTTGTTTTGAGTGAGATGGGTCTGCAATTAACCAGCTCGTCAAGATTCTTCCCGACCTTTGGAATTGGAATGTCAATTTTTAGATGACGCCATTCATTTGGAGTAATGTTTTCAGTCCAATGTTTAGTTGTGGCATTCACCAAAGGAGAGAGATTTGAATCTGTCTGAACTTTGATTATATCATATTTAATCCCGTCACATTCGGCACCAGGAGATATCTTTTTTCCGTTCAGAATCGCCGTAAGTTAATATGGATAATATTTTCTTTAAAACCAATTCTGAAACTGGTTGCCGGAATATATTTCTTACTGTCGTTATGATCACCGATTTAAATAAAATAGTAACACTAATTGGAATCTTACGAATATTTTCCAAATTCTTCGTTGAAGCTACGAGCCTCTAAATTTCATGCACTAAAATCGTTGACCTTCAGAAAATTATTTGCATCTTGTGGGCTGTTGAAAAGGAGTTTGGCCTTACCATTGCCTTTGTTTTTTCGCTATTTTAAATAATTTAAATTAAAACTTTTGATGCACTCAAAGATCCGACGTCAGACATGCCTTTTCACTATCAATATTTTCACAAACCTCAACGAAAACGTAACAATCATTAGAAGAGTGCTCCCACTTTAATGGTTTGTCCCCTCAACTGCATTGTTAATAGAGCCATTAGAACTGATGTAAACTAGAGATTCAATGTTTGAAATGGAAGCTACGTTTAGAAAGTGTGTGTGGAGGGAGGAGGGGGCTAAATCTCCTACGGGAACCTCTTAGAAAGTCTTGAAAGTCAAGACGAAGAGAGCAAGGAAGGCTGCGGCACGAAGAGGAGGCTAAGTTGAGGCATCCGCCACCGTCTCTAAGCTCTGATGAAAGGTGGCATGACATTCAAGGGCGCGTAATGGCGTCTCGAGCAGCCTCTGAAATGGTAAACCCCCAGATCGATGCCAAGTGTGATAGACTAGGCGACTTCTCAACCGATAGCCCCGGCAATCTACCTAAACGCTCAGCATCTGGAACTGAAAGGACCCTAGTGGACCCTAGTGTGGCCCAACAACTGTCCCTTCATATAAGGAAGCGGCCGAACTGGCCAGCTGGGTTTTCTCCAAGGGAAATCGCTCACTGGTGATAGCCCCCGTTCACCTACCGGGCGAGGAAGAGATACCCCACAGCCGGGGCACGCACTTAGTTTATGGCAAGCTAAGCTGATAATTTGAGAAGCAGGTACCTTCTTGAATACTTTTTAGAAAACAAGGGAGGAGGTTAGACCTTAGTCTCAGCACCACATACCTAAGTTTCGATATCTCAGGATGGCATGCAAGGTCTCATTGATATTGATATAAGGCCTCAGTGCCCTCGGCATCCTTATGTGCCGTTGCGTAGGCGTGTGCAAACTTTGCGTAAGCGGCTTTAATGAGAGGTTGCGAAATTTTTAGTTCAATTTACATTTCTTTATTAATTCGTCCAGCAAATCGACTTCGTTACATTTCACGAACTTCCCCTCTCTGTCCATTTCGCATCGACGCTTGGCCGAGAAACGTTTAAAGCAATCTTCCATGGTTGCAATCATCTCTTCGGACTTCTCTTTGGGTATATCACAGATGCACATATCCGCTGCGATTTCGTCTACCGCCTGTAAGGCAGTCTCAATTATGCTCTTGGCCGTTTTTGCCTTTTCACGTGTAACCATAACTGCGTGCAAATAATCAATAATAAATTGATATATAATGTTTAAGTTTTAAGTGCACCATCGGTTGTCTGATATGTAAACAATACAGAAGTATGAGATTGTAATATTTATTTTATTTATAAATACATATGTACATACATAAAAGACTAATGGTTTTAATATAAAAGATGCGAACACTTTTACAAGTCTCTGATCTCTATACGTTTATTATAAACTAACTAAGCCTAGATCATATTTAATCAAGTATACATCTATATAGTTCCGAATTTAAAATATATTATTTTTAATTCGTCTTTGTTCTACTTCTTTAAAGAAACGGGGAAAAGGGCACATCCAGGTATTATTCAACGGCAAATCCACATGTTTCCTCTACGGCTTGGGTAAGTTTATCGTAAAGTAGTTGGTAATTCTCATAAGGCGGCAAGTCGATTCTATTGAAGCATGTGTGGGCTTTTGGCAGATTTTGAGTGGGAACGTCTTCGGTTAAATGAATTGTGAAAAGTCTAGGTCCTACGGCTCCTGTGGAACCTTGCAAAGCCCGAAATCCTTGCAGTGGTACACGCGACGAACCCGTAACAAATTGTAAGAGACGTGCTCGCATTTCCGAAGAGTATGCCTCAACAACCTAACACAATTGTCGCTTGCTGTATTGATATATTTTTAAACTGTAAAAAAACTTACTTGCCAAAACCATGCTACTTGAGGCGTATCAGACGTGCAATGCTTCAGTCTAGTATTGTTGCGCCAGTCATTTACATCTATGCTTGAAATTCCGCCAATCACCAACTCCAACTCGCGTTCATCGAATGGTCGCAATAAATGGTTGGGTATCAATTCACTGAATCCTATCACAGGATTAAGGTCAATAAAAATTTTTGGAATTATAATGTACGTAATCAGACATACCTTTGTGCAAAGCTAGAAACTGCTGCTCTATACCTCTCATAAATCGATAATTAACATAAAGTTTCACATATTCTCGTTTGTTCTCTTCAGTAACATTTATCGACGCTCCGGAAGGCTTTAGCTCATGTACTACGAGTGCGCCAAAGCTATTGTTCTCCACGCTGAATGTTGATTCAATAACATTATTAATATTGTTCTCCCTGCAAAAGATTTTTAAATGAATAAATGAAAAGAAAAGAAAATAAATAATTTTCAATCCCAATTACACGGCAGTTCTTTTTTTTTTTTTTTTTTTTTTTTTGTGAAATTCAAACAATAGCTAATAACTTATAATGCGAGCAATACTAATATCAGTTAATATATTAGTTGGATATCAACGAAGAAGGGTGGTTCAGCGTTTAACGCAAATTCAATGCAGAATTTCACTTCTTATCAAGGCCAAGTTTGTATGGCATTTATGTGGTTCACTTCATTTTTCTTTTAAAGCAACATATAATTGTACTAATAAACGTACACCAGGAAAGAGAGTGGTGGCGCACAAAGGATAATGTCAAATATACTGAATGTCCCTCCCGGCGGTTGCTTATAATAAACTATAATTGCTTGCCCATTGCATAGTCATTGTGAATTGGAGTTGCTTATGTATATAATAAAATTTTGAAACAGATCTACTTAAATATTTGCATATAATGAATGATTTGTTTCAACTTACAGAATCCATGTTAAGCTTCTGTGCAAATCCGGATCAACTCCTTCAATATCATTTAAAGTGATTGGTTTATTGAGCAACTGCTTATAAAAAGGTGTCGTGAATCCACCGTCTAAGCAGTGACCATGAAATACAGCAATTCCGAGAATGCGACCAACAAAATGAAAGTACGAAAGATGATCGGGGTTAACACTAGAATCGGGATTGATTTGCAGTGTATAGTGGTCATCACGGCTATATTGGAATAAACCATACTGTGGGTTCAGCATTTCACGGGACAGCAAATGCAACCATTCACGCGCAACTCCCCCATAGTCCAAACCTTCTTCTCCTTTAAACTTAACCATCAATCGTTTACGCATATCTTTTGGGCGCATCTTCATTATTAGCCTATAGCTTTCCTCAAAAACTTCGTTACGAGATACTTCTAAACGGCAATGTCCGGATTGTGGCTGCAGGGCTTGTAATTCTGTACGTAATGCTCGCAGCTTTCCAACAAGATCCCGCCGATATTTAGGTAATAAATCAGTACCGTCTAGAAGTCCTTGTGGTAAATCAGCAAGTTGCGCATTTCGTCCTTCTGCATTAGAAGACGAAGGAGAACGATGATAAGAACTTACCGAAGTTGACGAAGAATGAGTAACCGTTGCAGGTAAATGTTGAATAATGCTACTATTACCAGACGCATTATGACTTGGAGACGATGCTGTAGAAACGACGTTATTGTTACTATTTGTAACTGAGACAACGCCTCGTCGTATCATGTGAAGAATATTGCCATTTAATCTAGGATCCGTAAATTGCGTCGTTCTATTGTTATGATCAACAAAATAAACACGCCCCGAGGCAGTTTTACGCTGTTCCCACCCGCTCGGAAGAGGTCCAATCGAATCTAAGGTTAAATTTTCCGAATGAAAGTCGCGGGGAATTCTTGGATCGTGCCATGTTGAAATATTTGTGGGTATATGATAAAAATAAACTTGACCTTGCTGGGTAATACGCATCTCGTATCCTGGAGGCAAATCCATAAAAGGACGTGTCGCTTGTCCAGAAGAGCAAGCAGTTGCAGTATGTCTAGATGTGGTGTTACTTGCTCGGGTGCTCCTCGGTAATCGTCTTCTTGAGGAATCTTCAGTGGTACGGGAAGATCGCCTTTGTGAACGTTGATTCACATTTTCTGTTGCCCCAATTGCAGGTGTGAGCGAAAAAGGAGACGAAGAAGACGTATTAGCTTCCGGTAATGATGATTCCGTTCCTCGGTCTCGCCCATCTGATTGATTTGTGCTTGGTAACTCATTTGAGCTGGATACAGTAGACTGACTAAGCGAACTCTTTTGCGCTGTTCCATTAGGGCTCTGACGAACAACGTTATTGGGACTCGTTCCTCTACCACTGTCTGATATATTTGCATGTTCGCATTCGCTCCAACAACTACCTGTTGTGCTTGTACAGAGCTTTGATTGTACTTGTGTCCCATGGATATTGTCCACTTGTGCATTATTAGCTGGGGATTCTTGTCCATTTTGAATTGTAATATGTTGAGGAGACTTTGGAAGGTTAGCTAACACCTTTGACGCATTTATTGGCTCACTTTGATTGTGCTGTCCATTGGCAAGAGTAGTTGTTGCGGACAGGTGCTTTGGTATTTTGGGAAGATACTCGGCCGATTGCTGGGACGTGCTAGTAGTCGGCAATGGCGCCAACGATGCAATCTCGTTTGACGATCGCTGAACGATTGGCAGCTTTTCAAGTGTATTTATATTCCCATTGATAATTGGTGCAGCTGTTGTAGAAGAATTTTTAGCAGGCTGTGAGCCACTCGCAGAGCTTTGTGCAGCCGAATTATGTTTCTTGTTCGCCGATACTAATACATGTGGAGGATCAACGCCTTCAATTCGCATAGGACTACAGTTCTCCTTACCAAGGCTAAGATTAGTATTAGTAAGAAGAATTTCTGTAGAATGACGACGCTCATCAAGTTCCCGGCCATTTCGACTGCTATTGCCATTTAACAGATTCGTGCACGTCGTCGACCGTATCGGACCAGCCGGATATATCGAATTATTTTGTGGTGAATGCGTAAATTGATAAGTGGTGTTTGGTCGATCCCATTGTGTTGTTTTAGTAGTATGATTTACGTAGTAGAGTCTTCCATTAGTAGTTCGCCGTTCCTCCCATCCGTCCGGGAGATTTCCCTCAGATGAATCATCTTCAGAAGGTCCCCGAACGTCACCTGCTGGACCAACAATAGCCAATGGGTTCCCACTACAAGAACCGTCTTTTGAAAGCAGCGCTATTATAATTTGTCCCCGTACCAGTTCATCGTCATCAGAAGATATTTTACCTAAGTCTAAACGTTGATCTAAAATAAATAACGATAGCATTTATTAAAAAATAATAAATAATATTGTGTGTATATGTGCATTTAGCTTACAACCAGCTCCTTTTAAACGTTGGATCATCTCTGGAGAAATTCGAAGGCATCCTAGAAAACCACTGCCCTTATGAATTTTTCGTTGGTTCCAAACAGTTATCGTTATCACATCTGTTCTCCCCAAAAACAAGTCATAATGAGCATTCCATTTCGGATCAAGAGTAGATTTACAAACGTCAGTTGAAAAAACCTGCGCCGAACCTGAACCTTCAACTTGGATTTTGGCAAAAGGATCAGGAAGACCTACGAAAGAGACATTTCCAATCAGAAAAGTATTTTTTTATAATAAAAAGTTGATATTACGAATATTCATTATATTTCATTTTATCAATTTGAAGTAACGAGAATTATAAAATGAGAGGTGTGGTAACTGTGCTTGATACTCCTCATTCGCTTTACATAAGCGACTGCTTCATATGCAATCGTTGCAGGAAACATTCCTTCCTTTGAATCCATTGCTGGGCCTGGACCAACTGTTTGGATTCCTTAATCACGTCATTGTCGAGCATTTGCTTCTAAATTGTCATCGGTTAAGCTACCAGGAAGAGTAAGACTCATTGCAAGCTATCCGACCAGCCAAACAAATGCGTCCACGGCATTATTATGGTATGCAATGAGTTCGTTTATTATTAGGGTCAGTATTTACGTCATGTTGTAAAACTAGATGCGGAAGAAACTTAATTTTAGCGCGCTTTATTAAAATGAACTTTTAACCGAGCTTAGTGCGACCAGCTCCGAATTGCACGCAAACGAAGTAAATCAAAATGCATAGTCTCTACGCTACTTAGTCGATTGAAATTTAAAAAATTAAAGAAGGCGTTGAACGCTTTAGGTCACCTTAGTTCTCACCAATAGAAAAGATATTATATTCTATTTGCAACAAAATTTTTCGGTTGAAGCCAGAAAAAACTCGATACATTATGACAGCAGCAATATTATGAATACGTAAGGAATAATTATATATAGCCCCAGGTGAACATATAGCTTACGCTCCATTTACTCATATATGTTCAAAAATTTTTTTTAAATACTTTTAATTATGTATGATATAAAATACATTTTAAAAGCATTCATTTACAAGTAAATTCTTCCTTTGTTTTACAAGACATTTAAATCTTTATGTTTATTCTCAAGACGAATGAAGCTTCTGTAAGCTATGTATATTCAAAAAAATATGTCTACATACTGCATGAGAACGATTTTTAAGGGATTTTGTTGAAAAATTCAAAGAAATTGTGAAAAAAAAACATTTTACTCAAGCTGTCACATCTCATCAATAGCTATTACTTTTTCTACTTTCTAGCAGACTACGATTTTTACTGTAGAAAAAAATGTCTTCAATAAGAGGACCTATTTTTCGGTATAGTCATGCCGATTGTCACTGATGGTTTAAGACATGTGTTAATTAGAGGCAGCAGTGCCTGGCGAATTCAGCCGTGATTTTTTAACACGAATTTAAGCATTGTCGAGGCAAAAATTCGACCTACTATACCTTTTCACGTTGCTTTTCTCTTTGTATTGCACATATTTAAAAAATTATTTTTGACATACATTAAAAAATGGGCACAATGGAGTCATTTTCGTGAAGCGGTCTGAAAAAACGTTTGCTGAGAAAGCCACATACTAAAATATGCTCTTTTTGTGACAACAAATTCATTGTTTTTTCCGTTGATCCACAATCCCAGTTACTTAAATATAACCACGTTATTCCACGTTACAATATTGTTTCTAGTTCTTTTAAGGGAAGATTCTTTTTTAAAAGGTGCCTCCTTGTGTAACGAAATAACAGAGAATACTGAAAGAAAATTTGTAATGGAGCAGTCGAATTGTTTTTCATTTTCTTGCGAGGATCAATGCTTGGACAGACTTTCAAATTACTTATGTTTTACTGCTATGCATAGTTATTGCTTATGTTTTACTACAACGATTGAGAAAGTCGAGAAAATATTTGAAAATTAATGTCACCCGAAGCTTTTGAAACACGTGCTTTCAATTTAGAAATAGGAAAGGCTTATAATATGGAGAAAAACATAGTTTCATATATTAAAATATATTTTCGTTGATCTGTGTATGTCAACGTATTAACTCCTTCATTTTCATCATAGTAATTTCCATTTTTATACCCACCACTGTAAAATGGGGGTATACTCATTTTGTTTTTTTCCAAAATATATATAACACCTGCAAGGAAGCTTCAGAGACCCTACATATTATTGATCAGCATGAAATTCTGGATTGATTTAGCCATGTCTGTTCGTCTGGGTGTCGGTGTGGATTGTGTTGTTGGCAATCTCCTGGTCGCATAAGTGAAGATAGGGACTTCAAATTTGGTGCAAGATTGGAAGTTTCTGCACGCAGGTTGATATTGGAAATGGTCCAAACCGGTCCATTGGGATCTAAAGTGCGCTATGGAGCGTAAACTGCAAGAAACTGTTTTTTTTAACAAAATTTTTGGATTTTTATTCGTTACTCGAAAATGATTAAAGTTAGAACCCTGAAATTTTCCAAATTTTCTTTACGAAACAGTCTACTCTTTAGTGGTTTATGTACATTCACAAAATACTAATATACTTCAACCACAAATGCTGCGGACTAGATATATCTTTTTAAAAAAACAATTTATTTTAGTCAAGAATTAAAAATACATAAATGACTTACGAAACAAATCCTTCCGTATTAAAGATCTAGCACACAATACTGTAAATATTCAAAAATTATTTTATATGTATTTTTTGAATACTTCGAAATCTTTAAGTTGAATCTCACTTGTAATTCGGATTTTGTGCGCTCCATTACGACGATTATATTCCAGTTTATTCATTCTTTTTATCAACAATGTCCACAAACAAGGCTGAAATGAAAAAATAGAGATTGCATAAGTGAAATACATATTTCTCCAGAAAATCAAGAAGATCTTAAAAGTCGTAATTACTCTTTTGTAAGTATGTTAAACTAAACTATAATTTTAAATTAAAACGGATAAGAAAATTGTATTCGTGTTTAGGCAAATCTATGATAAGTGTCCGCTCAAGGAAATGCATTAAGGCTGCAATATACTTTATTAAATGTAGACGTTAAAGTAATTAATTTAATTTTATTATTTTTAATGTAAATTTAAAAAAATTAAAAATAATTTGTTAATATATTATTCTGCAAGTCATTGCTGTTTAATAATTTTAATGCCCATTCTTTTTCTTTTACTTTGTTTTAAATTTTATTTGTTTTTAATTTTTCTTTCGCTTTTTTTATGTTAGCAGGTAGGGTTTTTCCAAACATTGTAAAAATCTATTTAAAAATGTGCAATTATATTGAGGCGAACTCGCGACGCTCGTCATCTCAAATAGTTCCAATGTTTGAGCAGCTTTGTATGTGTATACAAGATTATTAGATGAATAATGTTGCTATATATTGACCGTTGCTAATTTTTTTGCAAATTACAAGTTGTTTGCTATTGTGAATAGGTTAAACCTCTTAAACTAACCTAAACTGTGTAAAGTTTCCCTTTTTGTATATTTGAGGCTTTGCGGGATTGGAAGACACAATCGAATTAATTTGATACATTCATCTTCTTAAGCGTTGGCCTGTCGGATACAACGGAAGAGCAAAATTAACAATGAGCATTATACTAGTTTCTTAACGCTATTAACGTTAACACGACGAGAAAATTTAATATACATTATTAATTAATATTTTTTAAACCATGTGTTCGTATTTGACAACTGTTCAAATTTTTATTTATTTATTCACTGCATTTTGTTTATTTCATTTCACAAGACGGGCAGGAGAATTGCTTGTAATAAAAAAAGAGTGATCAATTAAAGCATCTTTTTTCTATATATTTCTACATACACATATATGTACATGGATATTTTTCCATAAAATTAAATATGCTCAGGTATTTAATTGACATTTGACTATTAAATTATTGTCGAGAAACATAATTCAATATATACAATATATAAAAAATTATTTTTGCCTGTTTCACTATTATTGTCTGTTTCAAAACTACGCCCATTTGAAATTAGACTTGACTGACATTTAAAAAGTAGATATTTGGAGGGGAGGTGAATCTTTACCTTTACCTTTAGTACTTCTCAGTTTCAAGGCATTATTCTATCATTCACTTTTGATATGTATAGTTTTAAAGATTCCAAATTGAAATGAATTCTTCAAGGAATCAATATATATCCCAATGAAGTGACGCCCTTCGGAGTTATTGTATGATTGCAATTATAGCGTTTTAATATTTCGAAATTAATTATATTAATGTTACACAAATTCCTTCCAAAACCTCGACTTTGTAACAATGTGAACACATCACACATCACCCGTATATACAACACAGCACTCTCTTGTTATCTACTGAGTAAGTCTTCGCTTAATGTGTAAAATATTTGTGTTCCTCAGCTTCATCAAAAAATAAAACTCCGTTTTGAAACACATATTTTAAGAATAATTTCGCATAAACTTTTACATATTTTAGCTCATACAATTCTACTAAGGTTTAAAAAAGTAATAAAAAAAATATTTCAAGTGCTACCGACACGAAACATCCGCCATATTGAAAAGTATTTACCATAACAAAACATTGGTGCCACCGTATTTATGGATTTAAAAGTGGTAACTACCCCAATGAATTCCTACGAAAATGAAAAATTTATATCTATGTTGACATTAAATATTAAAATGTTTCAATCAAACGCGTAAAAACAGTATTATCTGAAAAATAAAATAAAAAGAAAATATATTCCCTCTTCTAATTTCGTTTACAGGCGGAAGGATTGTTTTGTCTGTAGAAATTTTTAGTATTTTCATAAGTTGATGCTATAGAGATATAAGAAGGAGTTCTGTTCGATCAGACGTCATTGTTGCAACGCTGTAGAATTTGGGGATGCAAGTTCAGTTCTTATTTAGATTTTGCGCTATATCCTGTTTTGTAGTTAATTAACAATGCACGCATTAATTGAGTTACAAATGCCAACTGAAGCTAATTTGCAATTGCATTTTTTGCCAGCAAAAATTTTGGCAGACGAAGTAGCTGAAGTAAAGAAATATTTTGAGATATATTCTGTTAGACAAAACGATTTCTTGGAAAACTCTTTGCGTGGACACTTGTTGTTAGGAGAAAGTGTACAAGCTCCTAGCGGTTATAAAAGTGTTGTATTGCAAGATTCTCGAGGCGCCCATCGAAAATTAAAAATTAAAGGGTGTTTTCAAGACTTCACATACTGGAACTACGATAGAAGTCCAAAGCAGGCGAATGTATATAAGCAAGCTTTACAAGCGCTGCACATTTCAGAGGTGGTCAGTGTTTTTTTCAATATATGTTTTGTTGAACATTAGAGAACCATTTTTCTACTGAAGCTATGAGAAATGTTCAAGGCAAGCGGATTTGTATAAGCTAGCTATAGAAACATTACATACTTCAGACTGAGCGTCTTTTTCCAACGAACGCTTCATTGAAATATTACTATACCATTGATGACGAGCTTATATCGACAACATCTGGAATTACGAAACTTCAGAAAAGTTTTCTTTTTTGCATGTATCGCAAAGAGAAGGTCGAACTAAAACGGACGCAGTCCGAATCAATAGGATAAAAGCAAACATATAAATAACACAAACGAGCAGGATTATTATCCATATTCTATACGGTTGCGGATGAATATTTTATCTCCACCATAAAAAATTTGTGGATTGAGATGTTGAAATTAAATACTCTGTTATTATTTTTTTTAGCTTTCTTATCCAGTTGACGAAAAGGAGATTGCTTCCATTATAAGCAATAAAGGAAAGGACGAACAAACATTCTGAGCATGGGAAACAAAGTTTAAGGGTTCACCAATGATTTAAAAATTCGTAACCTTGTGTTTCGATACACAGAATTATAAATAAAATACGAACACTATTCATATAATACAAATATATATAACAAGCGATACTTTAAACTCGTATTATGCTCATATTCAACTCAGCAGACTGCTATAAAAAAATTTTAAACAATAGGTGGATTCCGCTACATTAATAAAAATGGTACTTTTGTTCATACAAATAAAATTCTGGAATGTATACTGTATAATATAACTTTTGTATTAGTTTTTGCTATTCGTAGGATAAGGACCTTAAAAGTGCCATTTCATACTCTTTGTCACCCTCCCGTCCTCCATTATTCTACGTTAGAGAACGCCGCATTTGGCAGATCTGCCAACGAAGGGAAAACCTGTGTTAATATTTAATAAGAAGGTTTATAATTCTATAGCTGAATTTATAGTCAAAATCTTCATAACGTACTTTGAATTTCTTAGAAGAAGTAATGATTTTCGTATCGCTCATTTCGAATATATTGAGTAAGCTACACCAAGAAATTTTTCTTGAAATGATTTTAAGCCTACAAAAAGTTTCGACATTTATTACTGGATCGAGTATCTGTGGTAAACATTCTTCCGTTCGCAAAAATTCGATTATTGCCAACAAACTTGCAAGGGAATTTTATGAGAACCCAACTTTTCAAAAAACACGCCTTTAACACGCCCACTCGCCCATATAAAAAAAAATTGACGTTTTTTGCTCTTCGTGCTAATTTCTTGTTATTCATAAAGTGCAACGCATGACCCATATAAATTTCCATTTTTATTCTGAAAATAGAAAAAATCAGCCGCGCCCCCTGAATTTTATAGAATATGTAAACTTAATTCTTTTCCTTTCTGTTAGGATGTCGGTGATGAGTATAAAAGATTTGATCACGACCAAATATAATTTTCTTACTTGCTTAGATTTATTTTTGCTAGAGAAGCATGAATATCTTAAAGCGAATATCTGACCGAAGTTGCAAGCAATTATTTATCCAACAGCCAATGTGATTGCGATTGCAATTTGGAATTAATTTTACGTAACAGACATCAATTTTAATGTGTGGTCTTATTTATGACAAAACAGTTGTGTAGTTATAGAAGCGTTATTATAGAATATATTAAAGTGTGTAAAGAAATGGACTGAATGTGCGCTCGCGAGAAGTTAAGCTTTATGACCATTTATTTTTCTGTCTATGAGCTTTGGCCCTTTTCTTCTTAAATGAAATTGATAAATTATGTTACTGTCCTTGCAAGTTCAATTAAACTTAACGAATACTATTTATTGAAGATTTCCTTATACCGCATGTGAAGTGTACGGCTATAGAAATAATAATCGACGGTTTCTTTAGTTTATTTTCTAATGTATAAGTGATAACAAATAATTTTATAATGAAAGATCTAAATGTCAAACGTGCGGTTTATGCTTTCCGCCGCATAAGCCGCACGATATTCCAATTAAGTGACATACACGCAGTGGAGGATAGCACAACAGACATGGCATAACACAGGACAATAAACTTAAGCCGAACCACCTTCAAAAGAGAGAAATGTGTACTTTAGTTTACTATTAAATCGAATTCCAGTTCAATTTACCTTTTCGTGCAGCCAGATTCACTGGCGCAATCGCATGGGTGAGAGGTCTCACCCTCAGAATCCTTCATAAAATGATAAAGCATGCATCGTGCGCAACTTAAACCTGATATAAATTCGAAACCAGAACGGAAGCAATCTGGTGCGTATTCACAAGCTCCTCGGCGATTCCATTCGTCATTGTAAAGTTCATTACAATATCGGCACCTTGAAAGATGATGCAATTTTTGTTGGTCTTTTTCTTTAATGACACCAATTGTGGATTCCTTTATTATAACAGCGGGCGCAGAAGGTGATTGCGAAACTCGGGCATTTTCTAAGGCATTACGCTTCTTTAAATCCTTGGCAGATTCCGGTCGCGGGTAAAGCATTTGTGCTGCTGGGGGATGGTCCACCATAGGGTAGTTATAGTCATGAACCTATCAAATAATTTTTCTTTTGATTAAAGTATATATATATAAAAAGCACATATTGATTACGCTGTCCAAAAGTTGTTCGTTCATCCAAACCTAACAATTGATTTTCGAATTAGATCCTAAGAATAAAAATGTCCTTATGCAACTATATGATCTTGTGTTTGCCTTGTTTCTTTAGATTGATTCAAAGATAAAAATGAACGGAATTCATAATTTTTTTGATGCCCTCCAAAATATCGGACGACTATGGGCCTCAAATTTGTAATTTAGGCATCCGTAGCTTTTCCAAGGAAAAGATTGTCTATTTATTTCAAGTGTAAGATAATAGATGGGTTGGTTGTGTAGATATTCCAAACCAAATGGACGTAATTCCTGTCTTGTGTGCTTACACGCGTTTATGAATAAAATGTTAGTGCAATAAGAAGATTCTGTAATCTTACCGCCGTCAGTGTTACATAAGAGTAGTTTTCACTTGCAGCAATTGTGGATTCTGCGTTCAAAGATGATAATGTTGTTTGCGGTGAGGTTGACGTGATGTTTCCAATGGCTTTTCGTGGAGCAGAACATCCGGATTGGATGCAAACTTTCTCATTGGATATGTAATGAATTTTTAATGCATCCGTGTCGTTAGCAGATTGCTCCTTCCGTCCTTTTTCATTAACTGCGCAAACATAAATTAAGAGTAAAAATATATACTTGTACACATACTTGTCAGGCTTTATACCCTGATTACTCTCTTTAGTTTCTGCACTGGAATGGCTCTTGTGTACATTTTCAGTTTCGAAAGGCAAATCTAAAGTCTGTAACGAAAGATAAGGTTTACAAAGACTGAATATAAAAAAACTATTCTCTAAAAAAACAAAACCGATTTTGACTTTCTTAAATTATCATTTATGCCGCAATCATGGAACCCTAATGGCACCCATTTGTACAATGTACAAAAGTACTGAAACAAATGTAGCACTTTCATGGGGACTTTGTTCCGAACGTCACAAACATTCCTCAAAAGTAAAAATCTATTTGCTGGCATGTCGCAAAATTCTTCAATAATAAATCTTCCCACATACCACGTATCTAACAATTATTTGTACGTTCTGAGGCGTCTTCTACAGAAAAGCAGCTATGAATTTTACGCCATAATAAACAACTACCAGCAATCGTTCGCGAAATTGGCCAAAGCCGTTAAGATGTGGCTAATAAAGTACAGGCCATGCTGCTCTAAACTGCACCAGTTGGAGAAAGGCCATAAGTGTAAAGAAGATTAAAAAAAAATTGAATTGAATAGCGGCGAGGCGACTGACACAATGTTAAAAAACTGTCAAAACTGTTTTTGTGCGATGAATAGGAACCGCATAAACGCACACAAACAGGTTTAAATGTATTAAATGTTCTTGATATTTTTTGATCAACGAAATGTTATGAATATTAGTTTTAATTTACCATGAAAACATCATCCTCTCCTACTGAATTGTATTTATTTAGCGGTGGATAAATTGTTGATGGGCTGGACTTCGTGATACCTAAAAAAAGTAAGGTTTAGCCAATGACCGTATATTTATAAGCAATAATTGAACTACCATCTATTAAATCGTTGTACGCTTTCAGTATGCCTTTGTCAAATGCCCGGGCGTCGGCTGCTGTTTGAAAAGTAAGTCCGTTTCTTTGCTTGCCCGCACGCCAGTGATGGAATGTGGGCATTACTTTATAATATTTCAATTCGTGGTTAATTATACAACTCAAAATAATCTTTGATGCAAAAAAAAATATCTTTACATAAAAAATAAAATTCATACAATATGTGATATGCTTACACGTTGATCGGAAATTCTTTGTCCATAAATTATGTATTCATGCCCAGAAACTCCAGCGGGCAGTTTGCGACGTTTACGTATAGAAACATTGGCAAGACCACCTCCCGCAAGTGGTAGCCAGCCTTCTGTGCTTTCGTCTCTGGTCATTACTTGCGCCCGCACAGTTACTAAAAAGTCGCTGAAAAGAACGCTTAAAATAAGTTTAATGATCTGGATGCTTTTTTCGGTCTGGATGCAGTTAAGTTAATAATAATCATATGTGTGAATAGACGGGAACCGTTTTTAGCAGTCCAGATGTTGCACTGATCGCTTTGCAGAATCTCTGAGGAAGATTTATAGATGTGCCACAGACGGGACGGCAAAGCAAAGACATCTATAATAACAGTTTCAACTTTACTACAAATTCTCAGACAACGTTTTATACGATTTCAAACTTCAAAAATATTTCTTCCAGAGAGAGTAGAACTTTTATAATGCATGTCTCCATTACATTTGCAAAAATGAAAACAGAGATTGTAAAGGCGATTCTCAAGGCATAGTCAGATTGCTTTGGTGCCTATATTTTGACAAAATTGGAGCAGAGAGGTAAGTTTCGAAAAATTGCAAAATCGCGAGTTTGAAGAATGGGACCGGGTCATTTCTTCATTTTCGCTGACGAGAGAGTTTACCGTAAATACTACATAGTTGTTCGGACAGATGGACAGACGAACATATTTAGGCGCAACTTGAAACTGGCCAAAAATTCATACAATTAATAGGATTTTGAAGCTTATTTTTGCGCCTTATAAAGTTATTGGTAAAAAATTAAATTTTGATATACTATACTATTGGGTAGGCGTGGCTAACTTTTTCCATCCATATACAGCATCGCCCATAAAATATGCGTTCAAATTTTCGAACATTTATCTGCTATAATCTATGAGTAAAGAGCAAAAACCGAATTTTTTATTTCTTTTGAAAAAGAGGAGTGTCTTCAGTTTAAGTGTGGGCATGGTATCGCTAACCTGCGTGCACGAACTTCCAATCTTTCTGCCAAATTTGAAGGCGTTAGCTTCGTTTTTGCGGTCAGGAGGATGTTTACAGACATTACGCCGACGGACAGACGGACATGCCTAAATCGATTTAGAATTTAATGCTGATCAAGAATATATACACTTTGTGGAGTTCCCGATGATTCTTTCTGGGCGTAGCAAACGATTTGACAAAATGAATATATTCAAGAAATAAATTTTAAAAATTCCCTCATATTTCGGTGATGGGTATAAAAAGCGGATATGGTTTAATCGTTTAAATTATTTGCTTTGCAGGAGAGAATCGATGCAAACCTTTGACAAGTCTAAGAGCATTACATATTGCAGTGCCGTTTATGGAGTGGGGAGTAATTCTATGCGGGTACAATTTTTGTCCAGCCTTTGAGCAAAGTTTTGAATAGCTGTTCACCTGTCTCTGTGCTAATAGTCATGCATTGAGCTAAGTTTAGTTGATAAATATTCGAGGTACAAGCACAAACTTTGTAAAATGTTCTTGTCCTGCAGTTTTGTACTTAAAGATTGAAATACTTTTCCATCCGTATTAAGTTGATTCTAAAATGGCAAGAGCAATTTATTTTATTTATTTCGTCATAATCTTGCACCAGATAACTAGAAGCATTCTCTTCTTTTGGCTGCCATGCGCATGAAGTAAACACTCGTCAATTCAAAAGCTTTTTCCCCATACTTTTCTTTTTACTCCGCAAGGAGCAAAGAACGTTGTTATTGATGATTGGATTTTAATTTACTTTTGTGTTGCTTTTATGAATGAAAATGCGCAAATACACATATCTATGTGTATTTGGTATATATTGGTGCACATATATATTTATATATTGTTATATATATAAATTTTCTTTTCACTAAGATAAAATATTTTAAAAAATTATTTGTAACGAAAATCATACTTACTTTTCATGTCCTTCTGTCATGATTTGTGAGCAAAAATATTCTAATAATAATGGGAAACACCGTGACCAATTTCACCATGTTTAACCAATTCGTTCATATACAAATTTAGACACTAGATTAATACTGATAAAAGAATTCACGGATTTATTTTGTGTAAACGGTTTGTATTTAATTCAATGGTTCCTTTCGCTACTGACTACAAATATCTTCAGCTCTACATTAAGTGTTTCTATGCTAAACTATAAAATTCTTTATTTTATTACCAGATCGCTCCGCACAAGCAAATTTGCATAAATATGTAAACTAAAACTTCAGTAGGCGCTTGTTAAACCACGAAGCAATACCATCTCTCGAATTATTATTAAATACTTGCCACATATGTAAGATTTGATTTTAGACGACTTTCGTGATATTGTTCTTATTTAAAACTTGCATATGCTTTAGCGATAACCATTTTTGCAAAGCAGTAAACGGATTTACGGAAAATAGTTGAAGAGATTTAAGGATTGAAGCAAATATGGCTATAAACACAATGAAGCTTCGCTTATGTTACCTTATTATATTATTTTGTCAGCATAGGCTTAGATAACAAGTCTAAGCATTTTAGCGAGCCTCATCAAATCAGCACAATTGTAGGATAAGTACTTTAGGTAGAGAAAGCATGGCAACGTTTTCCCCAACTTTTTTCATACTCACTGTAAAGAAAGACAGTTCATTTATTCGAAAATTTGCCTCCTTGGTTGCTTTCCATCCTTGGTTGCTTAATTATGATTTTTATGACTTCATTGTTACTACCTGAAAACATGTTCTTAAATATAATTGTTCGTGTAAATTTGAATATAACTTGTAAAGTGTAAATTTCAAAACTGAAATCTTCTACATTTGCTATGTAATATTATTTATGAAATTGGATTAATAATCTATACTTGGGTTTTATTTTGTGAACTCGACTGATACTTATTCACTCTTACTATGTACACTATCTTTTACTACAATACACTTATATTGGCCCTTGAAGGGCTTATGAATTTTATCCTGTACTATGAATAAATAAACAAATAAAGGAAAATGATGTGATGTGCGTTTGTTTACCTAAACTTTGGTGAAGTGAAACAATTTTTTGAAAATTAATTTCTTTAAAATTAATTAAACAATCACTTTAAAATCTTATTGTGCTTGAAGCATGAATGCTTTTGTTTTGCTTTCAAAAGCAAATTTTTGAAATTTGCGTGCATTGTTTTGACAGCAAAACTAAACAAGTCTATGCATTGAGTTCAATTAATAAACTAATTAAAAAAAAAATTTTTCTTCAAATTTCTCCTATCCGACAGTTAACTAGCGTTGGCTATCTACCATAGAAAATATTCCCGACATGCAAACTATTTCATATGTTCCGTAAATAACCCAGATAATTGAAATTTGTAAAGAAAAGCTCAAGAAAGAAGACGACAAGATATTTTCTTATTCTGATGGAGTTGGTGTTTATTTTCAAAAGTTTTGTATGATATTGTTATTATTATTATAAAGTATTTAGTTTGTGAATAAGAGACTGAACAATCCACCTGAGTAGCCGAAGGCGAGGAATCTCGACTAGCAAGTCAATGGTCATGGGTTCTCGAATCTCAAGTGCGGTAGAGTTTTTAATAAAAGCCGATAGCCTTAGATGCTAGTGCTTTTAAGAGTTTTTAGTCTTAGAATTTATTTCTCTGGCGAAATTAATAAAAATAATAATAATAATAATAATAGACTGAACAGACGCCAGGTCTGAATCACCTCTGAGTTAATCGATGCATTTTATATATCCAAGCTAGCAGATATATCCATGGATTTTGTAAAATAATTACAAACTACAAAATTTAACAAACATGTGCTCTCTCCATTCTCCACACATGGTACTTTTTTTTATAACCGGTGTAAAAGAAAAAACCGGCTAACGGCTTTCTGTGAAATCAAAGACATGTGACAAGTGCAAAAGGAAGTTGTCAGAAGTGAAAAATTGTTAAATTAAACAAAATATACCGCAAAAAATTCGAAAAAAATTTGGAAATAAAAATAGAAAGAAGCATCCTTGCAGTTTTGCTAAATATATCTGGAATTTAGTGTATTATTGTTAAATAAAACAAAATATATTAACAAAATACATAGAATATAAATTAACTTCATGGAAAATAACTACATTGGCTGGTAAGTGCATTTATTTGTTATTTACAGTTTCATTTTTTGGCAAGGGGACACATCTAAGATTCATATAGTTTTTCTGGATACCTCAACTGGGTCTCACACAAATTATGTAGGAAATTTGCGCATGGATTGGATATGCAAGAATATGAAAAAATAATTCATTATAATTCAAAACAAAAAACAAAATAAATTTTAATGATATAATAAAATACAAGTTGATGACGTTTTCAATGAAAAATGGTAAAGAGTTTGCAAAATTCTATTAAAATTTTGATTAAAGTTATACGGTCCGTAAAGAAAATTAAAAAAAAACTCAAAATATTAAGAAATGTAAAGCGGCAAAACTAGCACACATTTGTATGTTTTGTAGGTGATAATGGACGTTATGTTAGAAAGGTAGTATTTTCGGTTCAGCGTTTTTTTTTTTTCTTTGATTTTTACTTTAATATGTTAAAGGGCGCTTGCAGAGGTGTCGTTTGATCGAAGTACAAATATTCATTGAATTCGCTCTTTTTTAAAGAATACAAAACCATTTTGCTTGAATTATTGCGACGCTATCAATTCGTGATTTGTCCACAATTGCTCCCTTATATAAAATGTTACTATAGTGTAAAAAAATTTCAATTCCAACCTTAAAATTCTTTGTCTCTCGATTGTTCCCAGAACTACGACTGGATTGCTGTCTTTACAATCTTTTCTTGCCACTGTAGAGATTCATGCAAATCCATGCAATGCAAATAACGTCCATTTCTTTTGCACACAATCTACACTATTGTGTTGTTATTCATATTCATATTGGCGGCATTAACGAATTTTCCAATCTTTTATCATTCATGGTGGAGAAAGCAAAGTACAAAAATACAAATTACCTAAAGCAGTTAAAAAGTACATACGTGTTTCAGAATTTTTATTAGGTAAAAGAATTGAGTGTTGTACATCACACATGACATTGCAAAAAGGAAAATGTACAACACATGATATAGATACAAAAAATACTTAACTTTATTCCAAAAAAAAAGCAATGAGTTTAAAATACCAGTGGCGAATGTAATACATACAATACAATTATTTTATATATATTTCATTGAAGACATTAAGAAAGCAATATCAATAGACACACATTCTGCAGTAAATTTGTGCTGAAGTTAGAATTTTTATAAAAATAATGTAATTTACTTAATTAATAATAATTGTTTTTAATTTCTTCTTCTTTCAGGTATTTGTATATATATGTTTATATATTATGTTATATTATTATTATTTTATTGTACTCTTATATATATATTTTTGTATACTAAATTTTTTTATTTACATATTTTATATATGGCGAAAATACTAGACTCAGTTTTTAGTAAATTATTGCATCAATACTCAGGGTAGTGGGTTGTCGATGGACGTAGACCATGCACACTACAATGGAAGAGGTTAGCTGACCGACTGATGGAGAAAAGTGGCCAGTTAGTAACAGAACAGACAGTTTTAAAAAAATAAGAACAAGTAAACGTAGTTTAAGAAGGGTAGATAGAAGGAATAGCGGTCGCACGACATTGGTCGACTACATATGGTACGCGCAGGAATTGATATTGGCGCGAAAGGTGGTAAGAATGACGGGTCAATTACAGGAATACGCAAATAGACGGATTGCGGCTAGTGACGAGGACTTCTTAAGTTTTGACAACGCGGATAATAATTTCGCGCCAATTATAGTAGAAGCATCCGCAGGACTACGGAGAATTAAAGAACGAGAAGTACATGAAACAGAGGAAGAGATAGAAGTAGAAAATGTTGAGGAAAATGGGAGAATAAAGGACACCACGGGGGAAACAGAACGGGACGATAGTACAATACGCGCAACGCCATCTAGCCACTATTTATTTTAGAAAATATGTATAACATAAATGGGCCAACGATATCCACTGATACGGCAGATTGAGCAGCTTAAAGCCGAAATTACTGCGTTGAAAGGAAATCAAGGCCTGGAAGTCGAAACAGCAGCTGACAGCGATTATATTAAAAGGAGGAAAACGTCGCCACCTACCGCCTCATATACACGAAGGAAATGGTCTTACCGAATACTTCAGTTTAATAAACTTTGTAAATCTATGTATGTTGGGTTTTATCTATAGTCTTGTGGCGGTGAGTAAGAAAATTCATTGCTTGCATCATCAATCAATGCTGAATGATATCAGCTACGCGATGAAGAACTAAAAACATGCGCTGACTTTTAGATACGTGGTTATCCACTAGAGTTTATTTCCGATATGTTTCAATTTATACTTAAGTTAAGTTAAAGCAATTTGTCTCGTTCATTTATCTAAATTGAATTAAAGTCATTATTAATGTAATTGCCACTTCAGTTATTAGTACATGCAAGCGATGAAAGTGTTACACATTATAAAACATTTTAACATGAGGTTTTAGCTTAGCAATCTTGTTTTATTTCTTCTTTTTCTTTTTAAAGAAACAATTCAGAATTTGATGCTGCTCAAATTTATATATGCTTAATGGGTCTGTAAAGTTTCCTTCTGGGGCAAACGTCTTGACAAAGTGGATCGTTGGGCGTTGGGTATAAGAAACGGAAGAAATAGCCAATTTGTTTTAAATTTGAAAGCTGTTTGTGTTTTTTTTACTATTTTAAATCTTTTTTTATGTCATAAGATTTTAATTTTCATTTATGCTTTACTTTATGTTAACCTCTTAAAAGCAACTAATATCCTTGACAGTTTATTTCCTTACCTGTGACAAACTTCATTTTTGGCGTTAGTGGCGCTGTCCCAATGAGGCGTTATTTTTGTTTTCGGTTTAAAAACTTCTCAGTGATAAACGCAGCGTTACCATATCGATTTACAGGAAAATCGAAACAAAAACATGTGTTATTTCGAACATAAATAAAGTAATCAACATAAAAAACTAGTTTATATAAAAAATGATTTTGTTAATGTTCATAATCTGCTTAAATTTTGTGACAACATCGAGCCTATTTGTGTATTAAGTGATCCGTTATTTGGAAATTACCGTTTTTCACTTTCTAATAGAACTATTCGAGCTTTACAATAAATGGTTTTTATTGCTTGCTTGCATTTCTTACAAAATATTGCATGGTATAAACCAAAATTGGCTATCGCATAATATAGAAAAAAGTGGAAGATAAACATAAATTAGACAAATAACCTTAAAATTTAAAAGAAACGATCACCATTTTTTCTTGTGCTTCTTTCTGTTTGTTCTACTTATATCTACATATGCAAAACCATATGATTTGGCAATTCCCATAAAGTATAGTAAAAAGTCGGCAAAGTTGGAATCTCAACTCGAAACACCTAGTTCTGTCAGCCCCCATGGGGGGCTCAAACTGCACTCCGAGCAGAAAGACAAAGGAAACAGATACGCCAGATAGGGGAATCAGCAGAATAAGGAATCATATTGTGGTTTTCGATCATTTTTGTACACCATTGTCCCTGGCATACTAATTGTCTACAACATATATTTGTTTGCTATTTACATTTCTTTAGATTTCTTTATTTTTACATTTTCAACCATATGTTAGTTGTTTACAGTTAGATCAATTTCCTTATTTTGCTTATTAAATAATATGGTAACTTGACTACTCATTGTGTTTATTACTTGGGATTTATTTATCCGAAAAACATAATTAATCCTCATTTCGTCAGAAACATATACTATCAATTGTTCGTTGGGTCACGAAGTGGAATTTGTAATATCTGTGGTTTATATGTCGATTTTCGTTTAATTGGTGGTCAAAGTGGTCATCAAATGAAAAACATTTAGTTTTCAAAATTATAGTAAAAGTTGCAGCATTGATTTAAAATTCAATCAAGCCACTTTACATTGCCAGGAAATTTTTTGTTAATGCCTACATGTACAAAATCAACAAGTGACAGGGGAGAAACATAGTATCGAGAAAAAGGTAGCACTATTCATTTAACAATACAATACAAAATAGTAATAATCACTAATATATTATTAAGCATTGACAGTACATTAACCTAGAGAAATCTGTGGGATAGAATAGTTATACAGTCGAAGCTAAGAATTGACGTTTGGCTCCAGTCACTTTCACATTAATGAAATGGTAAGAAGTCATCGCGATAACATGGACGTTAACTGTAGCAGTGGACCTACTAACGGTTTAAAATCAGTGGTAGAAAGTGAAATGAGAGCTTTTCAAGATATACCACTTACTGCTCTCAGCAAGAATACAAAGCAGAGAATTTCAAATTCATTAAACATGAAAAAAATAATTCGGTCTGAAGCAGGATATAAGCGCGATTGGAGGGGATTGGCTGTGTTAGCCTTGCAAAAGAATTACTGTGAAGAAAATATTTTAAGCTCAAGTGACCCCACAGCAAGGGTGCTGCAATTATGGTGTAGTAATAATCCGAAAACAGCTACATTCGCTTATTTAGGGAACTATCTTGGCAAAATTGATCGCTGGGATATTTATTTTGACATATATGAAAATTTAGTTGAGGATAGTCAGACCTATCAACAACAAAGATCTGAAGTTCTAAGTGAGGACAACTCGGATGGAACGAAAAAAAATACATCTGTCGATCTTAATAACCAATTAGATTTTTTTTCAAATTCAAAAATTTTAACTAAAGATGACGTGGTTCGCGCACAAAATAATTTGCCACCGCAAACTTATGATGCTTTCGTTCTGTTTGCTGAAAAGGATATAAATTATGCTATAGAAATGATCGATAAGTTGGAAAATAATTCTGAGTACCATCTAAAGCTTTGTATCAAACATCGCGATTTGTTGACGGGGCTTTCGTTTGAACATGTAGCATTAATGGAGTTAATCCAAGATCGATGCAAACATTTAATTGTGGTTTTGACAAGAGAATTTCTTAAGAGTCCCGAAAATACATTTTTAGTTAATTATACGCAAGCACTTCAGATACAAAATAAAAGCAGGAAAATAATACCATTAATATATGAAGACGGTGTCGTTACACCACTTTTGAAGGTTTATACCCACATGCGTTATGGTGTCACGAACAGTTTGTTCGACTTCTGGTCTTCGCTGGCAACCTCCATTAGCAATGTTGACTTGTCGTCGCGTGGAATTTCTTCTATTACGGCAAACATTCCTAAAAAACAATCTGAAACCACAGAAACTCATTCCTCGCCTACAGTTGCTGCTGTTAAGACACATATGCAAAATGTTAAGGCTGAAGGGAACGAAAATATATCGAAAGGGAAAAATATAAATAGCAATATTCTTATGGATAATGCAAGTGAAAACAATGATTCCATTGGGGAATGGCCCATCAGCCGCAAAATCGAGAATGCATCCAATATGTTAGACTTTCCAGCCAGGTCTAGTACTAGCGGTAAAAAACGGAGAAAAAAGTGGGCGAATAATCTCTTTGAAAAAGTTTTTAGTCACAGTACTGCCAAACTAAAGGAAACAGCGTAATTTATTCGTTGAATATTTTGGCAACTATGTTACTTTATGTATACACGATATCTATAATATATATGATTTACTTCGCTTCAAAATATAATGCAATATTTTATTATTTTAAGTAAAATCAATTCGTTTAGAATAAAAAAAGTTGATTACTTGGGATGAGTTTATTGCATGGCATAAAAATACTTTTAATCAAAAGTTTCTCTTCTAGCATTCGAAGGTTTGATATGGCACCAAAGATATGGTTGACTTCAAAAAGATTTTTTAATAGTTGTGTACCTCAGTCTTTTCTGAATTGAAGTTTTTCGGCTGCTTTGAAGATATACGCTGCTTTCTATAGCTGGGTCAAATTAATCATGACCCGAATTTCAACTTTCTAGTCTAGTTAATAACAGTCATTTAAACAAAAGGCAGAGTACACCTAATAATGTAAACAACTTTTTTATGCACTATGGCGCTTCTTTTATTCTTTTATTCACGTGTCGGGAAGGTGTGAAATGTGTTGGGCGCGTTACTTTCAAAATCTTAAAAGTTAAAAATTATTTTTCTTTTTAGCACAAGTGTTCCATAGTAGAGCAAAATGCCGTATAAAGTTTAGATTCATTTTATTGATTTTCAAAAACTAAGAATTTCTAGATACTAAAGACAAAGTCGAAAACTAAAGCAAATTTTTTTTCAGTAACTCACATTTGAGAAATAATTTCTTTAGATTTAACAAGAAAGTAAAAATGATACATTGAAAATATTGCAAATTGTTAAACGCAAACACACGTATAGCTTTATATTCATATATGCGTATGAATGCGTGTATGCGTGTACATACATACGATCAAGAATGCATATGTATGTTGTTCTCTTTGTGTTAGACTATAAATATAAAATATTAAGTAAGCAGAAAAAAGCATTTTTAAAGAAATTTTTTTCGCATTTATGTTGTGTCGTGCTTCTCTAATAATGTATCCAGACTTTCGCTGCGTTTAGTAAGTTGCTTTTGAATGGTGTTTACGCGCTTCCGCGATTGTCAATTTTCCGTTGTCATGTTGCCAATATCATCATTGATAGCGAGGACTTGTTTTATGAAGTCTCTATCCATCACTACCTCGGCTAGGGACAGTAGAAGTTTTGCAAGGTCCCGTTGTTTCATATTTAGTTGAGGTGCTAACTTCTCCAAATGATTTTGGATTTGATCGGGAATCTGTAATATTTAAAATAAGTTTTAAATAATTCGAGAGTATGTAACCTTGATTAAGAGGTATTTACCTTAGAATTATTTTTGAATATGTAAAATGGAAATTTAGCTTTAATACGTTGGTCTGTGCCTTCGTAAAATATCGTGAAATGTGCATCATTACAATCGGGGGAAATGGGAAGGTAAATGCCTGCAAACACACGTCCCTTTGCGTCGCGCGATAACATTGATCTGAAGTTATAAACTAAATTACGTCGCACAGTTACGTCAATCGCAGTCACATATGGTTGGTCTATATATACGAGCGAAGTTTTATATGTAGCTTGATCGCCACGCGTCTCCCTCTCCATCCATTCGATATATTTATTATTCTGTATATTATATTTGTAACAGTAGTCACGTTGCAAGTGCTGCTCCTTTGATTGCGTAAACCAACCTTGAGTAGAAAACAAAGCAAATAGATTCCATGTAACTGTCCAACATTTCAATTGCACAAAATAAACATGACGGTGGCAATTAAAAATAAAAGATTGATTGCTAACATACTTAATAGTGGTGAACTTTTTGAGCTTCTGATATTTCTATATTTTAGTTTCGCAATGCGATTATAAATAAAAATCACGGCATAGTCAATTTTACATAAACACTATTTACCTGTGTGAGGATACATTTGGTCTTGCATTATCGTTACGGCGCGACCTACATGATAGCCGGGATCCAAAATCAGCACACCTCGACGGCCTGCGATGCACACTTTCATGGCAACCATGGCATGTTCCTTCTCGACATTAGCATGGGGTGAATTGAGGCCGCCTAGTTCTTCCGCAGACTCAATGTAATCACTTAAAGATGCTACCTGCTCTTCACACGAAACTATATAAAGATAATGTAGAAGAAAAGGAGTCAATTCGACAAGACATGCCATTATTTCCATAGCTAAGGAGACACACATGTGATGGCGACGATTGATTGGTATATCATAGAATTGATAAAACGATCTCAAATCTGATCGGCGAGTACGTTTGAAAGCTTGATAAAAATCAACAAATAAATGAATAGTGTCATAGTGAGTCTCTTCCAACATGCGTTGAAGTTTTGTTTCAATTATCGCACTCAAATCTTCATACTGCCAAACAGAATCGAAATACAGAATTCCTTTTTGCTTTTCAATATCGTTATGAGATATCCAATCTGGTAGTGGTAATGGATGGCCAATGGGCCAAATACCATTGGTTTGATTAAACGCGGACAAATTATATCCATCATCGCTGTCCCATAATTGTGAATTTTGCCAAATGGTTTCCATAAAAAGTTTTTCACAGGAAGGCACACATTCAAGCTGAGTTACTTTTAATTTTTCAGACCACCACAAGAGATGCTGCTTTTCCAATACTTTCCCGATGCTAAGGCCTTGCACCGATGGTAGATTAGATGTCAGATTTGCTTCGGTAGTTGACGAAACTTTAGACTCTTTGACAACCGCATCACTTGCGGTTGAAGTCGTTGCACTTTCACTGACTGTCCTTTGCTTTGTATGAGTGTATCTGAAAACATCATCCCTTTCGTTTGTGTCAACATTTGCTGGGTTAAGAGCAAGATGTACATTTTTGTTACTGCTGCATGTCTGTGCAGCCGCAAAGCATTTAGAGGTTTTCTCTTTGTCGGCATCAGCAGTCAATTTAGCTCTGACTGATCTTGCCAACAATTCGGGAGAAGCACTCTGTTGTACTGACGCCTCGGCGAGTCAACTTGGCCATTCGGCTCCCCAGCGGCCAACGGTGGGCACATAACCACTTTCGCAATCATTCGATGAATTCTCTAGATTAATTTTGCCGGATGCTGGGTTGATGGTTGTAACAGAAGTATCAGCAATAGAATTGGCAGTTGTGTTGCCGTTATTCAAAATCGGACTATTCCGGCCCTGTGCCTTTTTGTACAGGTCCGGCTCGTCTCCAAAACTTATTGGCTGTTTAGGTTGCGCTACAATCATAATAAAAAGAATATATACATATATGATTTCAAGAAATTTTAGTTTTTATATAAAAAAACAAGCTCGGGGTTTGGAAGTATTAATTTCTCCATCCTATTCTAACATAACCAAAGGCGTGCTGCAAAGGATGCCTACTTTACACACAGGAAGTCATTGCAAATTTTTCCGAAAATCAATTTTTTTTGTTAAGTCAACAGATGCTTTGAGCTTCCTATGTCCTATATCCAAAGACTAGTTTGAAATTTCGAGCGCTCCGAAAAGACCATCTGCGTCAAATGAATTCCTGCTGGGAAGTTATAACCGTACATTCTATGCACTTCTAATGTCTGTAATGCTTTAACAGATGTCGAAAATGTTGTGCGTATTTTTAGAAAAACTGCCATCTTGTAAATGTGAACAGTGAAATATCCTATCCTGTCTTTGGCAGATACTGTAAAGGCAGTAGGCTCTAGGATAAAATATTTGGAAAAGAAGAATGATGAAGAATATTAGAAAATGGCAAAAAAATTTGTTACCATTTTAGATACATATTAAAACCTTAAGCGGAGCAATTTTCGTCTTTCTTGTTCCAGTTTTTTACAACATTTTTAAAATGGGATTTTTTTGCGAAATGAGTAGGGGATTTTCGATAAGTTAATGTAAACGTTATTGTTGGAACTGGACGTTTTTCTTAGACCGATACCAAAATGAGTTTCCTCCTATTTTAGACATTGGTTTATGCGATTTTTATTTGAAAATGATTTCGTACCGGGTGTCTATATAAAATCAATCCTGGAATACCAGTTTTTGCAATTTTCCACATAACTCTACTGTTATTTCATCAATACTACAAATAATCTTGGTGAACATGGTCATTAAGAGCGCGTGGTTTATTGAAGTAAGCCAATGTTACAACATAATCTCAAAGTATGGAGCCCAACAGAGTTATATTGCATGATCTTTGTAGGAAGTTCATATAGGCATTTTTGGATATTACACGATGATCAAACATTTTTGGCAATATGTATAGCACATTGCACCATTTTGTGAAAGCCACACATCGTCCAAGTCAAAGTTATCTTATTTTTGCCTATTTCCCTAGCGTTCTATATAGACAGCGAGTGCAATGCCATTTTCGTGTTCGCAAATGTCGTTTTCTGCCCACAAGCCGCAATTGAAATTTCTTGAGGAACATCAAATGTCTCTCTCGCTTACCCCAAAGGGGCAATAATTCTTATTCACGAAGTCATTTAACCAATTTCATCTCGCTGTGCAACTATCTCGCTTTTGTATTCCAGAAATAAGCCAGCGGTCCAATCCACATGCTGAAAAAAATTTGTCTCACATCGCAAATTGCAAAAGTGTGTTTTGTGTACATTTTGCGACTTCTTCGTCGCGTTTTTAAGTTTTTCTACAAGAATTATGTACTTCTTGCGACTGATTAGTAGCTTCGGACGAACCGACACAAGAGCACTGAACAGGCCCGTAAAGCAGCAAAGCTAGCCTGGGCGGTATTCCACGAACGAAGTGCTCGGTCGATGAAAATGTGGTCATAATTATTTGTGTGGTAACTCTTTGAAGATCAGTATATTGTATACTAATCCCCATAAAATTAATATGGGAGAATAACTTAATCGTATTACAAAACGAAGGAGGTGCGAGCGCAGAGTGAAGGTTTAGGTTTAGGTCCCAACAGACTAGATTCGGCTTAGGTTATTAAAATACAAATGAGGTTATGGCAAACTCAATTAAAATAATTTTTATGGTAATAGCTAGGAAAAGCTCATATAACTTCAGGTAAACGAATAACGAGGTGTGACTAATAGAAAATATTGGGACCTATCTGTGACTATTACTTCAGAATCAAAACAGCACTATTAGAGCTTAGGCGATATGCAAATCTGAAATTATTATAAGGATGACAATCATCTATAGTTCGTGTTTGGTAACTGGATTGCTTACGTAAAGAGTGTGAGAGATTACTAATCAATTAGTAATAGTTGAAGAAATGCGACTGTTACTAAGAATATCTATCCATTAAAAGTCACCACTAACTTTTCTGATAACTTTATATTTGATTTGATAAGATAATAATTATTCTTTTATAGGTAAAATTTCAGATAGGTGAAGTAATTAACTTAAAGTTTCGTGTGCTTTGCTATTTTCCCCCAAACTGATGGCCCAAATAATAATGGAAACCCCCCGAAAATGATGCAGAAAATTCCAAGACGCCTTCATCCATGATGTGCAAAACATTTCACTTTGTGTGCGCGCGAGTGTACATTTATTTTTAAATTGTTCCACAAGATTTGATCTAATGGGTTGCGTTTACTTGCGTCACATATCTTGCGGAATGTATGCCCGTATGTCATTATGGATTTTCGATATGTAAGGAACAATCGATTTTTCATTCTCCTAAGGAACTTTATCTTGAAACGTGAATATCATTGCTAATAATTAAAGGAGATTAGACGAAATATAAAGCTTAAAATTTTGCAACCTCAATACACTTCGACACCCAAGCCGCCTTAATATCCCAAGGGGGCGAATGATAACGTCCAGGCTGGTGTTGGAGTGCCTTCAAACACTGAATGAGCTAGGCAGGCGCAAATATGTACACTTGTGTGCTTCGTCATTCGGGTGTTGAGCACAACGAGAGGGCTGACTGTCTAGCTAATAGGGGAGCCCAAGACACAATGGTAGGCCCAGAACCATTCTATGGCATACCAAAAAGTCATATTAACAGGTCGGTATAGTAATGGGCACGGAATAAAGCGGATTGCCGATGGAAATAATGTGCAGGATAACGGCAGGCAAAAAGATTCATAAAATCTTCCGGTAGGGTACACAAGCTACTGGAAGGAGAAGGAGAAGCGACCTACATTTATCATAATTCCCTCAGGTACCACCTGAAAAAAATGGTTATGTTTGATACCGTTCCATGCAGATTCTGTCAAGGGACGAGTGAAACGTCCCATCATATTCTATGCGAAAGTGAGGCCATCTGCAGAATCAAACATCAGGGTTTTGCCGAGCATATTACTACGCCGGACACTGTATGGTACTGTGATCCGAAGAAGGGATCCATAACCGTTCTAAATATGGATGGCAAGGAGCATGGGCGTGTACAATCGATCTTGTAGGCCGCGCTACGTCTTGCCCACGTAATTAATAATAAATAATAAAAGTCCGATGCAACGTTTTCTTGTAACCATCATTGCACAACCTGCGATGACTGTTCAAGACCAGAATTGGGGATGCTTTTGAGTAATGGAGCTTCTATTTGAGATTTCGTCGAAACTAGACATCATAGCGATAGACGACGGATAAAGAGGCGGACAAACTCTATGTGCACGCATTGGATCGGCTGATTTTCAAATTTGCGCTAAAGGTTATGATGAGAAAAATTACAATTCAAACATCTGGTCGTTATCAAACACATTTAGAAATGGAAAGCATGCAGAGAAACGCCGACCATTCAATACACTACACCATTGTACGTGGTCACATTTTGTTGGCATGCAAATGCCTATTTTCTATAGGAAGAGTTAAACGATCTTTTCACACTCATTAAACTACATTACAAAATTGTCTCAAACTCTTCGCTATCCTTTCGTATGACTTCCAAAAAGGGCAAACAAAATATTGAAATATTACGAATCGCATTTTCTAAAGCACTGAATAGAATATACGTATTTGCATTGTGCGTCATTCAACCAAATGGCAAAATATGTTCGTTTTGTAAGTGTTTGGGTATAGTGCGGCATATATAGTTTGTATTGCATTATATGGCAGCAATGCAAATGACATGAATGGGAAACTTTTCATTTGCTGCATACAGTTGTATTACCAAGCAAAACAATTATGTTTACAAAAAACCGAACGAAATCATGTGTTTAATATTTCAAACACCATATGATCTTAAAATAGTACGTTGTTAATTGCTCCTGTAATTAGTTACAAATACTGTATTATTAATTATTGTTAGCTTACAAAGAGCGATTAAAATTGTTTTGTTAAAAAAAAAAAAAAAAAAAAAACAAAAAAAAAAATTCTTCTTTATTAACATTACGTTTAATAATAAATATCTATGTAAGTAAAGATTAATAATATGTTCAGTCTTTTAAATCATATGACTTTGCTGCAGTAATGCAATACAAGCTATACAATGTGCTGGTTTAGTGTATTCCATCATTATCGCTGTCGCTAACGCTCGATACAAATGCATTCATGATGCTCAGTGCTTAGCTTTCCTTTCCTTTGTTCGTAATTACTAACGTACACATGCCACCTCAATTATTATTTCTTAAGAATATTATAGTATATAAAATAAATTATGCTAAACAAAGAAAATAAAAAAAAAAAACAGAATTATGAAGAAATTTGGCTAATAGATTGTAGAACAAGGATAAAACAAACTGTTAGCATACCTATGCAATTACGTCAAAGACCTTTTATCGAGCTTTCGTTTTTGCACTAAAACATGCCAGTGATTCAAATTTGTTTAAAACGTTTACAAAATTCCAATCTTTACGTTTGAACGTAGAAATACATGGACAACTCTACCGACTGTCACTCTTGAATTTTCTGAATTCGCTGTAGTATAATAGAACTTGGGCCTTATCTGAAGCTATTGTGGTATCACATTGACACAAGCATACGCGCAATATTCAATACTCGCTTACTTACTATACTATACGATAAGTGGGGCAGTATGCAAAAACGTAGAAGAATTTCGTTTTGAAAGCTACCGTACGTATAAATTATTCACTGT